TTCTTCCAAAAATGCATCATTTTCCCGATATTTGATTTTGTATCTTTCAAATTTGGCATTTGAAGAAAACCGCTGAACATTGATAGGCCGTATTTCGGTTCCTATTATATCCCAAAAACATTTTAAAAAATGAATTGTATTTGTCTTTTTAAAAGATACAAATTTGTTCTCTACAATTTTTTTGATAAAATGCACCATTTTCGAATTATTCGCGAAAAATCGATTAAAAACGTGGATTTTTTCGTCTAAAAGTTATTACTTTCAATCGCGAATAACTTGAAAAATATAATTTTATAAAAAAAATGTATAGCACATTTTTTGTTTAGAATCACTTTTCTAATCGAAACCTGTAGTTAAAACGTAAAAAAAAATTCACCCCGGAGATGGGGTGGCAACCACCCCCTAGGCTTTGGCGCACTTTGGTTCGATATATATTTTGATCCTTAGGCTATTACCTACCTACTGTTAAATTTCAAGTCAATCCAGGGAGCACGAAAAAATTGCGAGGTGAAATGCTTCATTTCCTGGACTATAACTGGTTTGACAGCATAAATCGTAGATTTATTTGTAGCTTTCAATTTTTATGAGTTCAGAATCCAGCAGCCCGCTAAAGTATTGGATTTTTATAATATAATTATTTGACAATATTTTGTTGGCCAACCAAGTACAGCAGAATTGAGCCGAAATACATTATATTCCTATGTTCCGAATTTATTTCGTTCAATGTGTATATATATATATATATATATATATATATATATATATATATATATATATATATATATATATATATATATTAACGACACCTTTAAAACAACTCGTTGAGAGTGTGAAGTAAGAAGTTACCTGATTTAATATGACGTCACTTCTTGAATATCCAACACATATTATAGTACAAGTAATTTGGCACTCTTTGGTTTTTAGTGATCACTAAGTATATATTTAAAATGTTCTAAAAATACTGTTAATGGTAACTATTATATGGAACTTCGCCTTCTAGATTAATCCAATGTACATTATTAACATATATATGAACTTACAACAGATACATCTTGAAAAAGAGCAAAAATATTAATTTTCTAATATCTACCACGATTTATAGGCCGAGAGCTGGTAAATAATTTTTTAGAATCCGTAAACTAATTTTCGAATTTTTTACAAAATTGGTGCATAAATCATATTTATGCAAAAATGTTTTATTTAGCACTCTTAAACTATTTAAATGTGTACTCAAAATTAACCACCTTTAGTCTAGCTCTCGGATTATAAATATTTTGCAATGAAAAAGATATATCTGTTTAAAAGATACACCAATCAAAATATTGGAAATATTAAGTACAGAAGTATATAATTTATTCTCAAAGATGCAGGTGGTTAAATACCATGAAATAGTAAACAATTCAGCTGTTTATAAATGCACATTAATTATTAAAAAATGTTTCCTTACTTTCTTTAAATGTATGACCTAACTAATGTTATCGTTGTGTCTCTTACGCCGGGACACAGTCTCTGATATGCAAATAAATATCATCAATAAATAAAGATGGTTCTAAGATCAACTAATTTTTTTTATAATCGAGATTCATTTTCAATAACAAAATAAAGTTTATTCAGTATTTAGTGCAATATTTAGTTTCTTCAGTGTATTTCTGTTAAGAAATAAGTTAAATCAAAGTAAAATAGATATATCTGACATATTTTTTGATGTTTCTGTAAAAGAAGTTTTTGTTGATCATATAACCATCATTTTAAAAAATATATATATAAAAAGTATATCAATATAACTACAATACGTGAGCCAAAGAATGGAATGAGACATCGTTGACAACTTTATGATTATTCCTAATATGAGAACTAAGATTTCCTGATTGAACGAAAGCTTTGTCACAAAAATGACATTTGAAAGGCTTTTCATCTGTATGGAGACGAATGTGATTGTTGAGATTACCTGATTGCGTAAATGCTCTGTCACAGTGAGGACACTTAAAGGGTTTTTCACCTGAAAACAAAAAATACACTAATTAGTTTATTTCTCTCCTAGACTATATAACAGATTTGAACGATATTAGTAACGCAAAGAGTTTACTACACTATATCAGACAAATAAATTGAATATTTTGTCTAGTATGACCACAGCACAAACATCCCAGTCTCCTAAATTATACATTTAAGCACAGTTTTAAAATCTAGACTTAGAAACTAAAATTGAGATTTTACTTGCAGTTTGCAGATTTAAAAAGTCCTCCTCATACATCAGGTGGAGAGCTACTAGGAAAGACACTAGTTCAATTAATTGAGTGTATTTGGGAAAAAGAGAAGATGCCAGTAGAATGGACTGGCTGGGTACTTGGTAGTAAAGCTTTACACAATATTCATTGATTTCAAATAAGTATATGATAGAATTAATAGGAAAAAATAGTCTTAAATGAGTCAGCTGGGTATTCCAAGTACATTGGTAACAAAAATCAGCTAACAAAACTAAAAGTTAGCTTAGTGAGTTGACTTTGCAATGCGGCAGAAGAGTTCCGATTCAATGAATGGCATTGAGAGCCTTGTTTGGCCATTTGTTTTTATTTATTTATATACGGCATCCATTTACTTACAATTTTTAGAAAGTTACATCTTAAAAACAATATATTATTAAAATAACAATCACAAGTTTTACAAAGTTACATCTTAACAACAATAAATCATTAAAATAACAAACACCTCAGAATAATACAAACATATAAGAATAATACAGATGTACAACCAACTTATTGTAAGATATTTTTTAGTTGTTTTTTAAACAAAGTAATTTTGGAGTCAAAAATATCTATTTGTCTTGGCAAGCTATTAGCACTCCGGACCAATCGTGTAGTTGGTTCATTGATACCATAATTAGTGTGGTGAAATGGCACTGAAAAGATTTCTGATTGTCTGTTGCTTCTACTAGTAACTTTAAGACTAACAAGCGATAAGAGTTGAGGACAATCTATAAAAGCATTGATAACTTTGTGTAAGAAACATAAATCTAACAATGTCCTCCTTGACTCAAGTGTTGGTAAGTTAAGACTATCTCTTACCCACTGATAGTCATATTCCTCTCTCCTGTATCCACTCTTATAGGCTGCTACCCTCAAAAATTTATTCTGGACTCTTTCAATCTGTTGAATGTAACAGTGGTATGATGGGGACCATACAACTGATAAAAACTCAAGAATGGGCCTAACGAGACCATAATAAAGTCTTCTAAATGTAAATAAAGACAGATCCACAGATGTGCATTGGATAAATCTCAGCACTTTCATCGCTCTGTTTGTTACTTGGTTAATGTGGCTTGAGAATGACAGTTTGGTGTCTAACCAAATTCCCAAATCTAATACTTCATTTTTCGAGGCTAATGGCAAGTTATTTATGTAGTAAACAAATGTAATTGGATTTCTTTGCCTCGAGAAAGTCATTTTATGACATTTGTTTATATTGAGTGACATTTTGTTTAAAGTGCACCAATCATAAAACGATTTAAGATCTGCTTTTTCATCTGCTTTTTCATTTTATTTCATCTGCTTTTTCATTGCCCTTGTGACCCTCTTGCCCTGTCTCCCCCTTGCTACAGTCTCCTAGTTTATTTAGGGCACACATGCAATCCCATACTAGCTTAGAATTGACCTCAACAGAATTGAGTGCCTTAAGTGCTGCCTGACTATCTGTGAAAATGGCAACTGAACGTTGATGTTATAGGAGTGATACCTTACCTGTATCTAATTTATATCCAAACTATTGCCTTGTCTGGATTGCAACATCACAAAATCATACTAAACACAAATATGGTGTATATAGACAGATCACATCTGTTTCTAAAGGTCTAGTTACATTCTGATGGGCTTATCTTAGGTAAAACAGAACAAGAATCTAGTTTACTACTTACCTGTATGAACTCTCATATGATTGACTAGATTACAACTTTGTGAAAATGCCTTATTGCAAACTTCACAGGTGTGTGGTCTTTCCCCAGAATGAGTTCTCATGTGGATTGAGAGATTGCTTGCAGTATTAAAAGTTTTGTGACACAAGCTACAATAGAGGCTTTCTTCTGGAGCTCTAGTTAAAATATCATGTTTTAGTAAATGGGTTTTCATTCTTCTGAAAAATTTTTTGCATATTGGACATTTTTCTAAAGGACTGGATTTTCTTTTGGTATATGTTTGACCTGCACTTTGAGCTTCATCTTGGGACACTAAGCGTACTTTTTCTCTTGGAGATCTAAAAAGGTGTGTTATTTATAACAAAGAATTAATTGAGGTGCAAGTTTGTCTTGTAAGGGAGAGTGTCCACCAAACTGGCATGGCAAGTAACAAGTAGCACACTTCTAGCATGTTACTTAAAATGTAACCAATAAAAACAAATTATTCAGCTCACACCAAAATGACAGTGACGTCATTCATTCTAATCATTCGTTTGTATTGGTTACATGTTAAGTAACATGCTAGACGCATGCTACTTGCTACTTGCCATGCCAGTTTGGTGGGCGCTCTCACTAAGATGTAAATATGATTTTTTTTTTCAAAATTCAACTTAGTGAAACTTCTAAAATATACTCTAATAGGTTAAGTTTTTAACTGTAGATCAAGCCCATATAATACTAAAGTAGAAAAGTCGCTAGAAGAACAGAAAGTTTGCACCTGTCTTTCTTCTTGGAGTTAAATATAAATTAAGCAAGATTTTACCCAAAAAAAAAACAAAACATTTCAGGTAGTTTTTAGGATTATAGAAGAATGTTAAAGTTTTCAATATAAAATTCAAAATGGAATTGCTATATTGAAATACTCTGGAACAAGTGTTGAATAAGCCAATATTGATATTATTCTAAATCAAAGTCTACTGAAAAACTTTTTAATTTTATTTTAATATACGACAGACAAATGGAGAAAATATCCATTCAAAAATTCATTTTTACAAACCAGGATGCACATTTTTCAAGAGAAGTTCCATTTGACTTAATAAAACTAATATTTTCCTTACCTAGTAATGCTGTGCACTTTATTATTGATATCATCATTTGATGGAGAAAATTCTTTTTGAAACAATCTTATCTTAAATTGTGGTTTTTTCTTTTTAACAGGTATAATTGAAATCTCTGGTCCAATTGAATTTATAATTCTTACATTTTCTACATTACCTCCTCTTAGCGGATCAGAATCGCTTCCACAATCCTAGAAATATAATGTGCGTATAGGTAAAAAAAATATAGCACAATCCAAACATAAAAATGCATAAACAGTTTTACACAATACACAAAAATCTAATTATTTACCTCTTCCAAATCATCCTCATCATTTATTATCACCACAGGTTCCAGAGATGAATGAAATTCATCATCATCGCTGATATCCATATTTATATAAAGCTGAAAATTGAATTTATCTTTTAAATTTCATTTTTTTTTATTTTTGTTTTCTTGCAATACAAAAATAAACAAACACATTAACCTGAACATTATTACTCAAAATGAAATAAATACCTATAGCAATATTTTTTACTCCTGGTTTAATGTTAAAAGGAATGAAAATTTGATTACAGATTAAAAATAAATCCAGAAAATTTGGATCATAAGCCAAAATTCTAACATTTCTCAAAAAATATACAAAAAATCCGCTTTCCTGTCAAAATACAGTCTTTCCTATAATCGATTGGAGAATGATGTATGTTGGTACCAACATTATTTGTCAATTTATTAAAATTTTATGCAAAGAAGAAGAGTAAAAATTAGATTTTAAAAATTTTAGATTAATAAATGGTTTGTAGAAATGACTAATGACTAAATCAATGATTTTATTTTTAAAGATTAATAGTTGTACAATTTTATAGTTTTTTAAATGATTGTAGTTCAAATGAGCAAATAACTTTAATTATTTTTTAAATATTTGTTTAAAAGAAAATAAATGCAAATAAAATTTAATACTTAATTTTTAGTGTAATATACATATTTTTAAAGTCTAAATAAATATATTTTTGCGTATTAATACATTATAAATCTCAAATTGTTCTATTTTTCTTTTATATGTATATATGTATATTTTTAATATACATTTAAATATTTAGTACAGATTACCCAAAAAGTTTAAAAATTTTTTAAAAGTACAATCTTCCCAATTTTATATTTGCTGTGTCGTGCATGAATAATTATAGATTTTTTGAATCCGATACCAATCCTATTAAAACTGGTAACTAGGCTTATTAAATAAAAAGATTTAACGAGAATTTTAGATTAAGGTTAGTTTATTTCAGAGATATTTACATATCTCTGGTTTATTTAATTACTTCGAAAGAGAAATATTTGATATTTTATTTGTGGTTGTATACGCAACTGAAGTTTTACTTTTTAATATTGGCATTAGTGATTGATGGGTTACTAAAACCATTGCAGTTGTTTTGTTGGTAACAGTTATTATTTCTTTCCGGTCAAAGTTTTTGAGCCGTCAACATGGGTGAGTGTCGTTCTGTAAGTTTTTTTCATTTTTAGTGAAGTATTCTAAAACTATGGTTTTTTGATAAACTTTTTAAAATTACTAAACGAAAACAAGTCTTTTGTTTCATTAATTCGTTACTGTTTGTGATCGTTTTCGATAAATAAGTTTGTGTTTGTAGTAGCAACGCCTTATGAAATTTGTCAACCAATATTTTTTATCCTTCATCATCGGCTTTTCTATAGCATAATTTTTCAAATTTATAGTTTATATACGTTAAGTGAAGTTGCTAAATTTGTTTTGTAGTAATATTATGAGAGATTTGATGATAAATTTATTTATCAAGGTAAGCCCCGTGGATTGAGAACCGCTAGGAAACATGTGAACCACCGTCGTGAACAAAGATGGGCAGATAAAGACTATAAAAAGGCACATTTAGGAACTAGATGGAAGGCCAATCCTTTTGGAGGTGCTTCTCATGCTAAAGGAATTGTATTGGAAAAAGTGTAAGTCCATTTTATATGTACTGTTTTAGTTTTCCGATTAAGACTATGTTAGATTTGTATAATTACAGTAAATCTTAATTAACTCATTATTTTAATTATTACCTGTGTTTATGGTGTAATTCTAGTTATTAAAATATGAAACAGAAAAAAACATGTTCAAATCTAACATCAATCTTAGTTTAAATAGCATTGAGACACCATCAATACTAAATTTTCAGTATATGATGTTAATTCTTAAAACAATGCAACATTAAAGGCGCTCTGAACCATTGGGTAGATGTTTCAATCAACTATACACTCTGATATGCGCGCTACATCTATTTTCAGGAAAAATCACATGAAATTCAACGGGCAGAATTTCCTCGTGAATGGGCTTATTGCATTCCAATCACAGGAAAATTCTGTGCGTTGCGTTTTGTACAGGCATCAACTTTTGGTAAGATCTATTGTAAATCATTTACAGTTTGGCTGATTGTATATATATTTGATTTTAACTTGTTTTGCAGGGGAGTAGAAGCGAAACAACCCAACTCTGCTATTCGCAAGTGTGTTAGGGTACAGTTAATTAAAAATGGTAAAAAAATCACAGCCTTCGTACCCAGAGATGGTTGCTTAAACCATATAGAAGAAAACGATGAAGTTCTAGTGGCAGGTTTTGGACGTAAAGGTCATGCTGTTGGTGATATTCCCGGAGTTAGATTTAAGGTAAATATTTGATTTATAGGTAATCAATCAAAGCTATCTATATGTTACTTCAATTTAGTGGTTAATTTGCATTTATGTGTTCCAATTATTTCAGTTAAAGTTACAATACTCTTCAAAATTTACTAAATGCAAGGATGTTATCAAGTTAATCTTTCATCAATATAAGAAAGAATTCTAAGAACTAAAGTCTGCTTTCCTCTAGACCACTTTTGATTTAGTTCACAAGTTACAATTTTCTTAAAAATTTACTAAAGCCAAGCATGTTAACCTATGTTTTAAATTATTGTTCATGTATACTACTACTATTAAACATTTTTCATCAAATTGCAAGTTATATATTTCATGTTCTTTTGTATAATTGTTGTTAATGTGCCTTTTTTATTTTCAGGTTGTTAAGGTCGCTAATGTGTCACTACTAGCTTTATATAAAGAAAAGAAGGAAAGGCCAAGATCATAATTAAAATGTTACTTTTTTATTTATTTGCTTGGCACTTTTAATTTTTAAATAAAGTGTTAAGCATGTAATTTTGTACAGTGTTTTATTTCAATAAACAATTTCATACAACCTGTGCTGGAAATTATTTATGATACAATGTTTATGCATCAAAAATAAACTAAAAAAATTGGCGTTTTTACAAATAATATATTGAATCAACCCGATTGATGGTTGATCAACAAAAAGAACACTATCTTAAATAACAAATATAGATTTTTGTATTGAGTCAATAGGACTGGTTTGTGATAAAACCATTCATTAATTTCACCTTTTTATGAAAAGAATTCTTTGAAACATGTTCTCTTCAGGTAAATTATTAAATTTAAGGCATTCCATATGTGGGAATTTTTAACATTTGAAAAACTAAATATTCTGAAACCTAGACCTTTTCTTGGTCTGATACTTCTGACAGCTTGTTATTCTTCCTTTGTGTCTATTATCTTGATATTTTGTTTTTCTTGTAATACCTTCATTTTCAAACAGCTGGTTTTCTTTTTATCAGATTTGAAATGCTAATTGAAAAAATGTAATTGCCACCAAAAAAGAGATCATAAAGAAGTTTAAAAATTAAGCAAAATAAAAAGTATGGTGAGATACTGAAGAAATCAAGCAGTCTGTGGTGGGATTTGTCCACATGGTGGTTGCTTGTGGCTAGTTTTCAATCATGTGGCTATGTCAAGTGAGTACCTGAAAATTACAAAAACACTACTGTAGGAAATTAAACTAGAGAATTAACAAGAATGTTGTCACATTGTTTTAATAGTCAAATACAGACTTTAAATTCAAAGGAATATTTGGAATTTTATCCTAATATATTACATCTTTCACTGTTAATCTACTGTCCCTAAGTATACCTATTTTGTGGAGTGTGAAGTGAAGTTTATTTCATTCCTCATTTGTGAAAGCATGTTTGAAAATTTTCTAGGTGATTCTGTAGGATATTTGATGCCATTTTGGGATCATATGTTACTATAGGGAATATAATTGCGAGAGAGTGCTCTCTATTTTACTTCTGAGGGATATTATAGAAGAGAAAGGTCAGGAATAATGGGAACTGAATGCCAGATACATAATCATCATAAGTGGCTCAACAATATGTTATGGATCTTGACTTGCTCACAAAGAAGTCAATTACTGGCAACTTCCCTTCATCTTAAGAATCTGTAGGTCTTCTTTCACATCATCAATCCATCTCCTTTTTTGGTCATCCTCTACTTGTGCCCTCTGGTTTTGAAAATGTTAATCTCTATATGTATGCATAATCTGACATCCTAGCAATGTAGCATCCTACAGGTCCAAAAAATTTTATAAGAATTTTCCTCTCAAAAATACCAAGAAGTCATTCATCATTTTGGGATAAGGTCCACATTTTAGCTCCATATATCAAAACCGTTCTTAGTCTTAAGATATATTTACTGCATGTTTTTTATTTTTTAAATGTATTTGGAAACGAACAGCTGTTTGCTATTGTTATGTGTCTTTTTATTTCGTCGCTTGTTGCGTTTACTAGCGATCCAGGATATGTGAATTCTTTGTCTTACTAAAGGTATATTTGTTAATTTGAATTCTCTGTTAGATATTTCGCCGGTTTTTAGAAACAACATATTTTGGTTTTTTCCTTGGTTATCACTAGTAATAATTCTCTTGCCGCATCCGCAAGCCTTGTAAGACACTGCACCATGTCTCTCATACTTCTTCTACTCACTATAACTATATCATCAGCGAATGCGAGAATTTGTGTCGATCTATTAAAAATAGTTCCATTTGGTGTAATATTTAATTGTCTGATTGCCTTTTCCAAGCCAATATTTAAGAGGAGACATGCCAGCGTGTCCCCCTGTCTTAGACCATTATTAATGTCAAAGAATGTAGTCAACTAACTTAGGTGGGATCCCAAAACCTATCATTACATTATATAATGCAGTTCTTTTCACATTATCGTAGGCTGCTTTGAAGTTGATGAAGAGATGGTGTGTATCTATATTATAGTCTATTTAGTGACTTTTCTATAATCTGACTATGTGCTTAAATTTGATGTATAATTCACTTTCCTACAGTAAATCCGCATTGATATTGACCAACAATATCCTTTGTAAAATATTTGGCCTAAGATTTGATACACAGATTTTGATCAGCGCAGGGTAATCAACGAAGTTACCCCACAACGGACATTCCCTTTAGTCACAGCCACTCTTCTGGTACCAATTCATCCCGTCATATAATTACTATTAGTTTATGGATTGCTGCAAAAAGTTGTTCACCACCTTTTTTATACATTTCCGAACAAATTTCTACTTTTTAAGTACTAAACGCCTCCAAGGTTGTGGTAGATAATAATGAGGACCAAGCTTCAGGATAGCAGAAATACTAGCGATATGTAGGTGCCCATTTACTGACAATGATCTGGTAAAATATTGTGCCTTGACAATCACCGGAGAACAAAAAAAATTTGAAATCTCATTCTTGCTTTGAAATAATTCCAGTCTATGGTCTATAAACCACGAAACCAGTGTACCAACCTTAATATTGTCTAAATAATAACAAGACTATAGTATAGTATAGTTATAGTAGTTTTATAAAAAACGATAGTTCTTTTTGCTAATCTCATGGTACCACCTTTGCCGCCAGTATTATGTTCGGGCATATCAATAACCACAGGATAACAGGGAATTAAAGGAATTGTATAACGAAGCAAGCATCAGTCGCTTTATAAAATCACAGAGAGTGAGATGGATGGGGCACGTGATGAAAATGAACAGGAAGAGGATGATAAAGATGATTTTAACGCCCAATCATGAAAAGAAGGAAAGGACGACCCAGACAAAGAGGGTTTGATAGTACACCAAAATCTTGGAAAACAGGGAATTGATGGTTAGGAAAAAAAGAGCAACAGGGATGAATGGAAGAGAATAGTACCTAATTCAATTTAGTAGCATGAATCAACAAGAAGTTACTCCAGTTGGCAGTTGATACAAGTTTTGTAATATATAGGTATTGTATTAATTGTATCTTAGCCCAAGGCCTGTTGAGCTTTGTAAATAATGATACTATAGTATAAAGGTTCTGGTAACTGTATTTATGTTGGAAGGTCTGTAGGACATTGAAGGATACTTCAATGTTGAATAACAGTTTTTATAAGAAAGCTTGTCGATTGTTGACGCGTTATCTCTAATATTGTTCTGAAACTTGAGAACGATTTCCGAAGTAGAAGCCGAAATGTCAAACTTATTATAAAGTAAGGGTTGTGGTAAATATATTAAACTTTTTATTATATGACGATCTTTTGCATGCCGCAGACGTCTGGCCTTAAGATAATTCTCCAACGCACTATGGGTGCACGGCACTATAAGAAGAAAAATGATCATTAGGCTAATTTGTTTAATGTGTTAAGAATCTTTGTAAGCGATTGTATTATATTTTACCTCTCAAGCACAACAGTTAGAAAGTTTCTGTCATATTGATCTAAACTCAGTATATGTATATTGTAATTCAAACGTGTAGTTTGAAACTTCAAAGACAGTATCTGAGAGTGGTCATTCTGGTTGTTATTCAATATGTGGTTATATTGCCAATAATGGGGCTCCCACCAAATATTAATTTGTTACTGTTTATCGTTATTTCATTATTTAATATAAAATAGATTTAAATAAACAAAATAGATATTTTTAACCCAGACTTCCTTATTTTTGTTATCCATTTTATTCAAAAAAACTTTATATAATTTTCATTTTGTTTCAATTTACATTTTCTAAAATAGTTTTATTTTATTTTGATTTTTTAATTTTAATCAATACATTGTGGGTCCGCCACTGGTAATTAACGTCACTTTGACGTAAAATGTTCGTTTAAAAGGAGGTAAAAATTCAAAAAATCGGCTACCAGACATGTAAGGGCCTAGGGCCGTAACTATTCAATGGTTGCAGCCGTACATTATTGTAAAAATCAATATAATATTAAGAGCCATTGGCAAAACATTAGTTTTTCAAAAACTACGCGTTAGTTTTCGATTTACGTCATTCCTAATTTTCAAGATTTTGCCAGCAACGTTGTAAAACCTGCATTGATAAAACTGGCATCACTGGCATCTTCGCGAAGCTTTTCGAAGAACAAGTGCGGCGCATTTGCCAGAATGTGAAATATAACGTATATACAAAGAATGATGTATTCTTTGGTATATACTCAAGTCTCTCATCTAAATACTTTATAAAACAATTCTTTTTTTTGGAAGTCGTTTGTTGTCATGACCCGTGTAGTATACAGACTGTCATGCTGTGAAACTACATATTAAAAAGTTTCTTGATTTGCGTGTTCGAATCTTAAAGTTTATGGTAATAATTCATGAAAAATATGTCCATTAGAAATGTGTAATATAATTTCAATCACTCTTATAGGAAAGTACTTGTAAAACATGTTCTACTGTAAAACATAAATATATTTAAGTTATTGTTTAATAGAACAGGTTTGGTACTAAAACAATTAAGCCCGATTAATATCACTTTCCATTTTATTTCTAGAAAAACTATGTGGTATAAATTGTAATATGAAAACGTGAATTAGATTCATGGTGATTTTTCGAATAAAAAGAGCAATAATGATGTGTTGACACTGTTGACTATATTTCAATAATAAAACTATTATTTTAATTTTTAATCCCTTATTGCAATGTATACACACAAAAGTGTTTAAATTCATTGAAATGAAAAATATTTTCTTTACTAAAATCTGGCAACACGGCCAAGAACAAATAATAATGGCCATTTGTGTTTTGGCGGTAGAGACATTACACACGTGCCATTCCATCCATTCCAATATTTTATAAAATATGAAGTATATTTTAGTTACGGGAGGTGTTATTAGTGGTGTAGGGAAAGGTGTTATATCGAGTTCATTTGGGGCTATACTAAAATGTTGTGGAATTGAAGTGACATCCATAAAAATCGACCCTTACATTAATTTGGATGCTGGAACTTTTTCACCGTACGAACATGGTAAAAATCCTTGTGATAAATTACTTTTGAATAAATTCTCTGCCCTTTTGAGTTATTATTATAAAACAATTGAATTTATTGCGCATTATAGTCAATGTTACAAAAACAAAGAAAATTTTATTTTGTTTTTCTTTTGTCAAATAGGCATTAGGTGATGTTTTTAAACATGACTACAAATACAAAGGATTACGAACTAGAAATTACGTATTGTTATTAGTAACTGATATATCACTTGTGTATTTAACATTTATCCTGTATTAACATTGTGTACTACTGGATTTTAGACTCAGGAACAAATATTACTGATTATAAACTGAAATAATGCTTTAAAGGTACATCTTTCTCAATATATCAAATTGGTCAGTAGAAATGGATGGTATAATCAAAAACCTCTAAAAATATGTAGAATAAAATAAATGTGAAACCACTCAAAAAGGTTTCTTTGTTTTTCTTACCCTGTAAAAAAGTCAGTACCTACTATAAAAAACAAGTTCTACAATTTTTTAATAGCAGTCATAATGAGCCCTCTAAGTCAGATGATTGACTAGGGAAGGAATATGTCCTTAAAGTGGAAATGAAATTCAAAAAAATTCAGTTTTTTTTTCAAGCCAATTTATAAAGTATTTCTATATTTTATAACGATAGTTGTATTTAGATATATCTTGTAACAAAAACATCAAAAAGCATCATAAACTATAATAAATATAAATTCTCATATAAAACAAAGATGCAGATTGTGAAAATTTCATAGAAATATTGATAGTTTAGATGCCGACAAGTGCAATGGTACCTCATATGACCAGGTGGTCCCTATGTTAAGAAGTTTAAAAGATATCTACATTAGAATAGTTCATAAATTTAATTATGGTGATAACTTATTATTATCGTCTAAGTAATATTACATATTGTCCATCAAATTTGAAAAAATATTCTGTTTTTGATCTACAATAATTTTTAATTTTTATTTTCATTTTTCACTCATGTAACTTAGCAACTAGTTTCTTTAAGAATCCACATTCATATATTAATTAGCAAAAGCATATAGTACCACATCAGTTATCAAAGCATTAAAATGGATAAAATCACTTCTCATAGATAGGTCTCAAAAAGTATGCCTGGAGAAAAGGGGGTGTAAGGTTTATTCTGAACCTATCAATTTAAAATTAGGCATACCACAGAGGAGTGTCTGGTAGTTAGTAGTTCCTCAAACCATGTAAATTTCACTGATAACTCCAATGTGCTTTTCTGGAAAAAACATTAGAAACACTCCTCACAGTGGCAGAGCAAATTCTAAGCAAAGCTGAACTGGAAATCAGTTGTTGCTTAATACTTGAAGAAACATAAGTTACTGACTAAGAATTTCCTGACAATATAAATATGCTATTGTCTCTTAAAAAACAATTTGGGATTATACAATAAATAGGATTCCCACTTAAGGAATTTAGGATTCACATTATCACATGCTTGCTTGCTTGGTATCTTATATTTAATTTTATTATTTTTGATTTCATTTGAACTTAAAGGAAATCATTTGTTGTCAATTGAAAAATTGTCAGAAGTAATTTGATTCTACCACAATACACATCAATTTGTACAACAGTTTACAAATAATATTGTTAAAACATGAGTGCTGTGAAACATAAACTAAAAACTTTAAGTCTTGTTGAAGAGTTAGAAATGCTGTAAGTTATGATGTGATTTGTGTTTTTCAAGATTTCAATCACTACCTTTGAAATATGAAGCATGGATGATCTGCAATTTTCAAAAACTGGCTTATATTGTATAATATTGATAACTAATGACCAAAGAAAAATCTTGTTATTCATTAATAATTATACAGCCCATAATGATATTCCACAGATGAAAGCAGTTAAAATCCAATATCAGCTCACCAATACCATATCAAAATTGCAGTCTATGGATCAAGGTATCATTAAAAACTTCAAATTATATCGAAAAGAAGTTGTCAGGAACATGTTAAATAATATAGAAGAAAAATAATTCTACTATATATCTATTGCAAGCCTTGAGAATGGCTGATACATAACAACCTGTTACGTCAAGCTATCAGCATGGTCAATAGAGGAAGCTGATACCAAAAAATGTTTCTATTTCTCCTTCCGAATAATAGAATATAATTAATATCCTTTGAGGACTTAGTTGTTACTTGGGATGATGGAGTTATCATTGGTGGGACATTATCTGATGATGAAATTATCAATTCAGTAGCTCAGAAAACAGGTACTAATGATTTAGGTGGCATAGAAGGAATAAATAATGACATGTGCTCACTGGGTTTCCATTGAAAAAGCAAGAATAGCATTGAACAGCATTTTATAGAGCAAACCAGCAACCAATTTTCTGCTCTGTATGCCTTAGACAATGCTATAGACAATGAACAACGAAATTCTATAAAGCAAAAAAAAAATATACTGATTTTTTAAATGTTATATATTATAATAAATAAAAATATTTGTTACCTATATATTTTGAATTTTTATTTTTTTACCTCTGTAACTCAAAATTGGTAAAAATGACTCTCAGCTTCTTTGTTGGATCACAATCTGCCACACATCGAAATCCTCCATAAGTCAAAAGCTATGTATATAACATGAACTTTTTGATGTCTCCCTTGAAGTTCAACTTATAGATGTTCTACTATAGTTAAAAATTTTAATTAATGTAAATTAAGCAATTAATTTTATAACCCCTATAACAATTTATCTTTATAAAAAAGATATTTTTCATGAAAGGCGTTTTTATTGATTTCTATTGTAGATCGTTTTGAATAAACATTGACTATTTGGTATACTTTGATCTTTCTATTCCATTTTTATAGAGACTTTTCTGTTTTTTTTTGTTTAGGTGAAGTATATGTGCTTGATGATGGTGGAGAAGTAGATCTAGATTTAGGAAATTATGAACGTTTTTTGAATGTAACCCTACATAGAGAAAATAATATCACCACAGGAAAAATTTATAAGCATGTGATAGATAAGGAAAGACATGGTGATTATCTTGGAAAAACTGTTCAAGGTAAATTAATATTCTTTTTATATGAGAGCATTTAATTGTCTTATTTTGTTTTAATAATAGACTGAATCCAAGCATTACAGAATTAGGTGTATTTTAGCTACAATTACTAATTTATGTATGGTATATTTACTTATACTACTTTTACATAAGTGTTATTAATACTTTGGATTCATTATATATTTTAATCGTCATAAGAACAATTTATTCACACAGGTATGATGAATAATTTTTAACTAGGTCATGGATTTGTGAAGCTCAAGGAATAAATTTCACATTCCAGTTGCTAAATTCTAATATTTAACAGATCATGCAGTCAAGAAAAGGAATTAACATCTTACAGTCATTATGTTGAACAAAATTGAAGTCAGATCCAAATGAACAAATCCTACACTAGATCAGTACTGCATTATGGTTGTTCTTTTTATGACCACATGTCAAAAGGTCAACAAGAAAACATAAAGATCACATAGTAAATATAGTCAAAAAGTACACCAATTGATTGTTTATTTGCAGGAGTGATAGAAACTCCACTAACATATTGCTGAAATATTTAGCTTCCAATTTTATAGCTAAAAAATATGATGAATCTAGAAGAAAAAAATTAATTATATATCTTTGTAAAATTAGAGCAGCAATATGATTGTATACTTACCTAACACACAAGAACATAAGCAAGGAGCACTCCTTTAGAGTTTCTGCATAAAAAAATACAAAAATAATTCCATACAGGTAAGATGGACAATGGACATAAACTCCGAAGGCAATAATCTATATTATATTCAAGAGTGTAAATTTTTTCTATAGATCCAAGTTTTGACTCACAATATGTCACTGTCATATTAAAACTTCATTAGGTTCCTGGGAATTACTGGTAGTGTGTAGAGATGGATATAACTTCATTAGGTTCCTGATAATTACTGGCAGTTAGTTTATAGAGATGGGTTAATATTTTAATGTCTTATAGTATAGTGATTTGAATAACTGTCCTTTTTGGTTTTCATGAATAAGTAACATAAGATTTACTATAGTATAATATATAATAATAAACTGCCATTGATTCTCATTGAGCTACTTGACATGTTCTTCTGTTTTTTTAATTGAGTATTTTTGCTATGTTAATATTACTTGTATGTGAGTATAAAAATTTGAATTCGATATAAATGGTAGTTTTAGGTAGAAATAATTTTTTTGACTTCTTGTTTTAAAAATGTGTAAATATTTTTGATTGTTTAAAATTTGAAATTTTGCTAGAGGTAATGGATTTTATAAAGAGCTATGACATAAATAGTTTCGTAAATCTAACTAGCAAATATTTACATTTTCGAAGTAGAAAGTTGAAGGTTTGTTAAAAAGGTTGATCAGGAGATTTTTTGTATGATTCTTAAACAATACATTTCACCTTGTTGATAGAAGCATAACAAGCTTTGGCCACTCTTTCCTGCAAATTCCTCATGGAGATAGTTAGGGATTCTTGTTCCTTTTCTTTTTTCATAAACTGAGTCACCAAACTAAGAATTGAAATTAAAAATTTTAATAATTAAAAAGAAAGCAAATTTTACTGCTCTATTAAAAGGAACAGGCAAGAAACTCATTTCAAAAATTCAAGCCTCCATTATCCAATAACTCATTAAATTTGGAAATCCGTGAAAAGTTTACAAGATGTTACGTGTGGTCTGTACTTTTGTATGGATGTGAAACTTGGACTTTAAACGCCGATATCTTGAATAAAATCGAGGCGTTTGAGATGTGGTTGTATGGAAGGATACTAAAAATTCCATGGACTAGCAGAACCAGAAACGAAGAGGTTCTTCGAAGAATGGGACATTAACGAACTCTATTAAATATTATTAAGAGGCGTAAACTAGAATATCTTGAACATATAATCAGAGGACCAATATATGAGTTCCTTCGGCTAATTCTCAATGGTAAAATCGAAGGAAAAAAATGTTTAGGACGGAAGAAACTCTCTTGGTTGAGGAATTTGCGGCAGTGGACAGGTTTGACAGCGGACCAATTGCTACACGTAGCGCAAGACCGAGATCAGTATAATAATATTATAAGCATGGTAGTCGAAGACGTTCCGTAGGGGTATGGCACTCTAAGAAGAAGATTAAAAGGTTTGGAGTAGAAACAACCTGAATGAGGATCTACCAAAGAATAAATTGAATGGCTGAGCTTTTAGGATGATAAGTACAACTTATTTCAGATGTAAACTTGTGTTGTGTCGATATGACTCATTGCTCTGTAGAAAATCCATTACCTCTAACAAATTAACAGGCATTTGCTTTTTATTGATTACTAAAAAACTTTTGACAATGTAAGCCTTAATGTTTTGGACGTGGGAGATTGGTTTTAATGGAAAAGATGCAAGAGTGATCCAATAGCTGTACTGGAATAAAAATTCTGATTTTAGAATTAGAAAATGATTTCCTTTCAAACATTTAGATTTACTAACAAAACAAACTTGTAAATGAGTTTAGTAAATTTTATTTATAGTAAATATTGGTTTTATAATGTACTTTTTAACTATTAATTTCAGTTGTCCCTCATATAACTGACGCAATACAGGAATGGGTGGAGCGTGTGGCACAAAAACCAGTTTCAGAAACTGGAAAAATCCCAGAAGTGTGTATAATAGAATTGGGTGGTATAATAGGTGATATCGAAAGTATGGCATTCGTAGAAGCTTTTAGACAATTCCAATTTAGAGTAAAGAGAGAAAATTTCTGTGTGGCACATGTATCTCTCATTCCACAACCCAGAACTACGGGAGAACATAAAACTAAACCGACTCAATCATCTGTTAGGGAACTCAGAGGATTAGGATTGTCTCCGGACATTATTGTTTGTAGGTCGGAGAAGCCCATTGGACATAGCGTTAAGGAGAAAATTTCAAATTTCTGCCACGTAGCACCTGAGCAGGTAAGATATAACGTCCAAATACCAATAATTTTTTGAAATATCAATTGAAGCTGTAGCTAGAAGAAAGGCCTATCTGCTAAAAGTGTATTTTGAGAAACAAGCTTTCAAAGATTTAACATCCATGCCTAAGGTGAACCAATAGTTGCATTGGTTAGTTTTAAGAATTTTCGATCCATTGATAAAATAATAGAGAACACCTTTATAAAATATGTCCTTTTTTTCTTTTCAAATGAAGAGTATTAAAACAAGTTTATATAAGCCCTTCTTCTGGAGAACACATTTAGCAGATTAAAATGTCTTCTGTAAAAGAAAGGCCTATAGCTTTTTACTCTTGTATAGTATACTACAGTTATACATTATAGTATACAAATGTTTAAAATAATAATCAAGGTCTTTGTATAACAAGAAAACTTTTATTTTGTTTACACTACATTATATTTAATATAATTTTATGCTAAATTTCCTTACTATCTGAGTCATCAGCAATACTGTCATTGTCCTTTTCAGCCGTTGTGTTTTCTTGAAATAAAAGCCTGTAGTTTCAGAATTTAGTGTCTACAATTTTGATACTCAACTATAGTTAGTAAAATTTCTATTTGTTACTGTTTCAGATTATTAGTATTCCAGACTTAAAATCAGTATATGAAGTTCCAGTTTTTATGGAAAATCACGGTATGGCAGAATATTTATGTAGAAGACTACACTTAGGAATTACCCCCTTACCTCCATTAAAAAAGTATATGAAACCGTGGATAGATCTTGGAGATAGAATGACCAATCTCAAGAACGAAGTAACGATAGGAATTGTGGGGAAATACACACGATTGGAAGATTCGTATACGTCAATTACTAAAGCTTTAAGACACGCGGGAAATAAAGCTGGTTTTAAAGTTAATTTGAAGTTTATCGAAGCTTCCACTTTGGAAACTACTATGCTGAATGACGATCCGGCTTCTTACCATAATGCTTGGCATAATTTATGTGTTTGCGAGTGAGTAACTGTTATTTTATTTATTTCTTGTAATTTTAAACTGGTTTTATTAAAAATAAAATTTGTGGTCATATTAACCCCTTACTGCATGATTTTTTATTTTTTATAAAAAAAATCTATGATTACAAACTTGACTTTTACAGTAAAATTATCAAAAAAGACCTACTTGGTTAGTTTTTTGTTTTATATGTAATCTTGTTTTAATGCATAGTGTGTCAAAAAAATACCAAAATATAAGGAAATACATGAAAATACTTACAAAAATTCTTTCTTGAGATCTATCCTTGATGTCGCTATTTTCTTATACAAAAATATTCAGTAGAAACTTCGATAATTGCATAATATCAAATTGCATAATTCTTATTAACAACTGTCAGACCATGGCATTTACAAATTTTCATATGCAAGTTCACTTTGCTGCATTGAGATGGCGTTTTATTAGTTATACGAAATATGTGCTCTATATGGACATGTCAGACATATAATATACTTTAAAATAAGATTCCATCTCTAACGGTTAGGTATAAAACTATTGTGCCATATATGACCCTCTATGCGGTAAGGGGTTAAAATCCGTAGTGACTTGTCATATTTGAGTCTGAGAAGCACAAAAACTGTTATTTGACTTTTGTTTTCAGTGGCGTTGTTGTACCTGGAGGCTTTGGAAAACGCGGAGTTGAAGGAAAAATTGAAGCTTGTAAATGGTGCAGGCTGAACGACAAACCCTTTTTAGGTATATGTTTGGGCTTCCAAGCAGCTGTGATAGAGTTTGCTAGAAATGTTCTTAATTTAGCAGGAGCCAATTCTACTGAAGTGAACGAGACCACTCCATATCCTGTGGTTATTGATATGCCCGAACATAATACTGGAGGCAAAGGTGGTACTATGAGGTTAGGAAAAAGAACTACCGTTTTTAATAAAGCTACCAGCCTCGTCAGTGAGTATTTTTTTTATATATTATTATTATTTAGACAATATTGTAACAACAGATTTTGCTTACCTTAGGGTAAGAACATAGGGTTAGAAGATTGGTGACAGAAACTACTGGGGGTAGGGATGGGGTAAACAAAATAATCGAAACTGATGCGTACGACACTCTCCAACAACCACAGGGGGTTGTTGGAGAGCTGGGTCATAGATAAGTTGAAATAAATTGGTCGGATTGGGGTATCTACAAAATGAAAACAAAGGGATAATAAAGAAAATTTCTTCCCTAAAATCAACGATATATACAAGGGTTAGGAGACTTTTCTAAATTAAAACAAAAAATGGATCAGAGAAACTAATCAAACGTTTATTTTCGTCTCAAACAAACAGTTATCAAAAATACAGATTTCACAAGAAGCATACTATATAACATAATACAAAATTAACAAAAACTTACGTGCTTATCTGTTTACAAAGGAGATTGTTACAAAAATTTTCGAAATGGTTCCTAGGTTATTTATTAATATGGCCAAAATAGAATATTATGATTAAGGATATCCTTGTTTATGAAAATATCTTAACATTTAACCGTATATATGAAATATCTTTTCTATATAATAATCAAATTAAAATTGTTTTACAACAACAGCAGATTTAAGCCAAAATGTCATATGTCAACATAACATTGTAAGAGAATAAATTATGACATTTTCTTGGCCACGGCTCTAACACAATGTAAAACTTTAATTATTACAAATTCTTTTAATTTTTGAATAAAAGCGATTTTTTTTTAAAATGTCTATTTTACTTGGAAAAATTAATATATTAATTGTTACTTTAGTTCACAAACTTTTACACTTAACTTTGAAACTTGTTAAACATTTATGGGAAAGCTACTTGGACAAATTCTCACACTGGAACAAAAGGAAACCATTTCCATACTCAGGAACGACGATCTAAGACGTAAAAGGGGGTAGATCAAGCAGGCAAACAAAAAAAGATCCATGGGAACATCCTATAGACTTAATCCCAAAATTTCATCAGCCTCCGGTACACTACACAAATCTTATGATGATTACTCTGTTATGCAAAGAGTATTAATTATCTTGACCGGTCTTAAGACATTACACAAAAAAAATGAATCGACTGTTGATTCAAAATCGCCCAAACATCCTTCTAGTCTGAATGCTCTTGCTTGACTGGCTATCTGCGTTGTTTTACAAATTCAACGCCAAATAATTTCCAACAACCTTGCAACAACCTTGAAATATTCCCATCTTTATTGCGTTGTAGAAAATTGAATACCTGACTTGCAATATTTTTTCTAAGAACGTCTTTTTTAACCGGATAATTAGGGGACTTGGATGTAAACAAATCGTCTTCAGCGACAAAAACAACTATATTTTGCCTATATTATCAAAAAAAAACTTGAAATATTTGATTGTAAACAAAGACAAAAAATATTCTCAGCGTTATTACGTATTTGAAACTCAACTTAAAATGCCATAACATATCGATTGTTTTAAAAATTCCTTTATAAAAGACAACGCATAAAAACAAACTCAGGAGTGTACTATAAAGTTTTATACAGAATTTATAATATTATATAGATATTAAATTATAAAACGCTACAATATTAAGGTTGGTACACTGTTTTCGTGGTTTATATACCATACTGGACAATAGACTGGAATTATTTCAAAGCGAAACAGACTTTTAATTTAATTAAATAATTTAATTTAATTTTTGTGGCGCAATGCTTTACACATTATGAGGCAAATTAGTTCTTAATTATTTTTGTTTGCAGAAACATTGTATGAAAATAGAGATAAAATTGATGAGAGACACAGGCATAGGTATGAAGTAAATCCCGAATATATTGAGAATTTTGAGGAAAACGGCATGCAGTTTGTAGGTAAGTGCAAGTATAATTTGAACAATATAATATCAATTTCCGGCATATAATGCGTATAAAGATTTAAATAAACTGTAGACACATCTTTTTAAAAAATTTGTAAGAATATTATCAGGACCATAACTCAGTTTATCCTTGAGACCTTTTATATACATAATTAGATAATGTTATTCGCATAAAATTCCACGTTTCTCATCTGCTCCGAATGCTTGCCATAACTACATCTAGAAATATTCTATAGAGACTTGATTCTTTTTATTTTGATTATTTTAAGTTGTCTGTTGAATATATTACAAATTTTGTTCTATAGGTGTCGACATGGACAAGAAGAGAATGGAAATCTTAGAATTAGACAAGCATCCTTATTATGTAGCCGTGCAATACCACCCAGAATATTTATCAAGACCCATGAAACCGTCACCGCCATTTTTAGGTCTAATATTAGCTGCTAAAGACAGGCTTAAAGCTTATATTTCACGTGGATGCAAGTTCTCACCTAGAGAACCTCAATCCGATTATTATGACTCAGGTAAGTTTTTTATTTTGATGTGATATAATTCATTATGTTTCTTATTCCAGTTTGAGTTCTCAGTTTTTAACATTTTTCTTCTTCCTCTTTATAAGCAATTCTGCTTGTTCATTGTAATCCGCCAATAGTTCCCATTCTGCAACCTGTTCCTTTGTTAACGCTTTTTATGGTTTATCTATGATTAAATTGAAGAGCATAGGACTCAATGAGTCCCCTTGTCATATTGTAGCCTATTTCTATAGGTTTTGTAAGTTGTCCATCTATTCTGACTTACATTTTGTTGTTTTGATAGATATTGTCGATAGTTTTTATAATATTTAGGGGAACTTCTGTTATACAAAAGATGTCTTACCTCTTTGAGTCTTACTCTGTTAAACACTTTCTTTAAGTCAATCAGACACAGAAACATTGTAACAAAAAATGTGTAGGAATATAACAAAAGTGTGCATGCAATGAAATACAAGTAGTTGGGGGTAAAGTAAAAGATAACATATAATTTTAAAGCTGGCTAGCAGAAGTTGCCGGAGAGTGACTACTTGACACTCAAAGTAGGATTCGGCCAATTTGCATGCCCTACAGAGACCGTAGAATAAGAAAATGAATGACAAGGTTATAAAAAAAACTATAAGAATGTAACTAAGATAAATAAAAGTGATTATAGAAGTTGCTCCAAAATGTGAGTGGGCGCCAGGAAAGTATTTACATAAACTTTCCAAGGTATCTTGTAAAGCTATGTGCTGAAATAAAAAAGGATATAGGTATGCATTGAAATATTTAATTTTCACCAAAACTTTAATCCCTAGCCAAATATATACAATATAAATTTATCTTAAAATACCCACCACCAATTATGTACAGTCAACTTAATTATATACAAAAAAATAAATGCCCTGGTTATACCCAACTGATCCTTGATGATCTAAATTTACAAATAATACAATATGGAAAAAAATGGTAATGATTGACCTAAAAAAAGTAATTTACTTGCCTCAGAGATGCAACTCTGTATTTTGGCTTTCAATTGAATGTAATTGTAACAAGTAATAAGGACACTATCTTGACGAGATAAATATCCAAACGTTTAAATATATAATAATAATAAAATTTTAAAAAATATAACTCTCTGATTACATGTGTACACGTAAAACCGTACAACTGAGTTAAAAGGGAGGATTTAAAACCTCGACCTGGACGTGACAATTTTAATTCTTATGTAATTTATAATTATTTAGAAAAAATAAGTAATGAATAAAACAATATAAAAATGCAGAATGTTCCACCCTCTAAATAAGGGAGGTCTTTAGGGCTGGTATCCGGAAGTGGTCCGAGAGTAGTCTGAGAGAGCTCTGGACCTCTGATGGAACAGACGGGCAAATGGGCAAATTCGAAAACGTAAATCTTTTCTTAGTGTAGTAAATCCCCAAAAATAAATGAAAAAAAAATCCTTGACCCTGGATTTAACTTCTTGGGGTAGGCTAAAAAGAACAATTGTGTTACAGTTCCGTTCAATTGTGTTCCAATTGTGTTACAGTACGTTTAATAAAAAGAATGGAAAAATACAAGGTTTGTAAAAAAATATTACAAAAAGGTTGCTGGGAAGCTCGTATCTAAGAAAAAGCTGTAGTGATTTTGTAGATAATGTGACCTTCGCACGGTCTGACAATATTTGATGTAAAATAAATTGATCAAATAGATAATTTTAACGAAAAGGCTACGGATATATTTTTGAATATAAAAGAACGGTATGAGGTAGAATATTTTTACAGATGGTCTCAATAGATAATAGATAAATTTAGCGATGGATCATTATATGTTTTTAAGGCTGGGAAATAAAATGGAAAATTGATATGATTTTATAACATTATTATATCCAAATCCAGAATGTTTCTTAATGAAATAATGTGAGAAATGACAGATAGATATTAAATAATAGAAGGAAAAGTGACGATATAATAGAAGTTAAAATGGCTGATGGTTTTTTTTTTACTTTTTATTTATAATTGCATAGACTTACCGACTAGAAGTGGCTTCTAAATCAACGAGTAACTACAAAACAACTGAAAACTCCTTATTCTTCCTTCCCCAACAAAATCAATATTCTTTAAATAAACTTAGCCAGCCTCTGTCGCCTACCCTTTTTCCCTATTAAACGAAGTTGTTTCTCAAAAAGTTAAAACCAGAATGAGCGCTAATTACTAGCCGGATGGTCATGTCGCCTTACAGCGCCGTAGGTGTCGCTGTTTAATACCAACTTAAATTTTAAAATTCAGAAAATCGTTAAGAGGATTTTGATTTTAAAATTTTATTTAAGAATGTTTACGGATTATTAAAGTAACGAACTCGTTACAACATTTAACGTTGTTATCTTTCGAATTTTCATTACAAGTTTACAATATGGTTTTGGATTTATTTTCTACTAAATGTTCCCCTACATATTGAGGGTACCTTAAAGTATGGTAGTTTGTGGAAAGATGCATTTTTCATCTCCTTCACAAAATATATCCTAGTCTATATGTGAAAAAATCATCGATTTCACGAAAAATTTTACTGTTTTTGAAGGTTCTAAAAACCAAATTTTTCACCTTTTTTTATTGGACTAATTAAATCCTGTAAATCTACTGTCACTGCATTGTTTTATGATCTACTTCTTTTTATTTTATTCTGGCACATTGCTGCTGTTGATGCTATGGATTCCTAAAAAAATTTCTAGACTGCTATCACTCGGGAGTCAGTTTCATTTGAGTTACTGGACATAATTTCTCTATTATTTGAGCATTTGTGGATAGAACGGCATAATGCTCGTGTTGGTGTTTTTAAATTTAATATTTTGTAAGATTATAATTGCATATTTTTTTCAGATGAAGATTTAAACGAGTTGACAGTTAAACAGTTAACTGTAAATGACGTTGACGACAACAGCAGTGCTTACAGTAGTTCCAGTTTATCATAATTAAGAACTAAATTTGGTATAAAAAATACCAAAGGATGAACATTTTTAACCTTAATACATTTTACTATTTTTTAAATGATGCACAATAAACTGTTCTTTTTAAAGTTTATTAGTTTTTTATTTGTTACCTTGGTATCAAAACCGTAGGACATAGCTTTGGTACAAAAATGTGCATGGTTGGCTACGCCACAAAGTAGTTCACCAATTCACAAAGAACACTGCCCAGTAATAGTAAAACAAAAATCGTAGAACAAAGGAAACTTAAAAAAATATGGCAAAGAAACAAAACCAAGAATTACCAAGAACTCTCCTTGAACTACATTGCAAAGATATCATCCCAGAAACAGCATCCTGCATTTTTCCATATATGCAACCCTGGCCTTCCTCCTAAAAATAAGACTAAAACTTTATATCCCTCATTGAAAGAATAAAGTTTACAACTTTCGATAGGAATCGTTTCAATGCATCGCTACATATAAATGCAAACTATCCCCCATGGACAAGCCACCCATTAACTATTGATGTAACACTTACCAAGTATCCCAAATCAACTACAAATTCCACAATAATTAAATCTCTATTCATGGAAATTCTAGACCACTATCCTAATTATTTGCAAATCTTTACCGATGCCTCTAAAACTCCCAATGGTCACGTTGCTGCCTACTACTGTAAAGAAAATTCTTATAGCATATTGATACCAACCAACTGCAGTATACTAACAGGTGAAGCTACAGCTATTTTGGAAGCCCTAATCTTCTTCGAAAAGAGTAGAACGATGAAGTGCATTATCGTAACAGACTCATTAAATGCATTACTGAAACTGAAACAAATATATACCAACAACTCTATTATACAGAGTATAAAAAACGTACAAAAAAATTTCCATCGGCTTTTCCAAGGAAGCGGCTTTTATTTGGGTACCTTCACGTACAGGTATTTGGCAAAATTATTGGCAAAAATTAGGTACTAAATTAAATGTAATTTGCCCAAAAATAACTGATGTCCTGGAGACTCCTTTAACCCATCTTTTACCAACGGTAAGAAAAACGAATATAATTTCACAAAATTAGTTTTATTCGTTAAAGTAAAGCCTAATTAAGAAAAAAAATTAACAAAAAAATTTTTCATGTCCTTAACTTACAAAAAAAACACTGGTGCGTATACGCACCACTGGCTAAATCCGTTAACAATGGTATTGTGAAAAACAGTTGGCGTGCAAATGAACTTTGCACTTTTGGCACGTATATACTGTATGATTATGACATACTCTGCAACGTCTACGCTTTTCTTGCTTAAAAATAACGTGATCCAGATGATCTGTGCGAAATTCATTTGGTAAATTCACTGGAGCCGCATGAGATTCTCTGGTATTTTCGAATTTCAAAAGTCGCAAAGCTAGGTAAGATCTAAAGTCGATTTGCGACATTTTATCATGATTTGCTATATTATATATTTTCCACGAATTCACGATCATATTATCTAAGACATTTTTAAATAAGGGCCACCACCACTTCTTACCCATAACCGCTATCCGGTAGTTGGAGACACCATTGTCGTGTAAATCTACACCACCCATGTTTTTATTATATTGGTAAATCACTGCAGGCTGTGGCACACTAACAATTTTTTTTTGTGGTCGGCTGTATCTCCTTGCAGTTGCCAATGGTTCAATATGGTAATGAGTGCTAATCAATGTAACTATTGAGTTATCGTGCCATCTTACTAAAGAAATGTGCGTATTCTCCTCAAAATAAGAGTCATAACAACCCCTAGGGCTTTTTTTCATAACGTTTGCACATTGTAGAGGACACCCTTCTGTTCTATCTGCTCTTATCGTGCCTGTTGCAAAAAACCCTTGTTCTTTCAGTGTTCGAAATAAACCATAGGATGAGAAGAAATTGTCGAAAAATATGTTGTGATTCTTCTTATTTTTTATAATTGATAATAAATCCAGAACAACTCTGGTACCCAATGTTTGTTTTTTGTCCACTGGCTCAGCAGATTCACCTTGATAGGGCACAAATTTGTACATATATCCCTCGCTAGAACAAATACACCAAAGTTTAAAACCAAACCTTACTGTTTGCCTTTTATAAACATTTTACACGAGTGTCGTCCAAAGTATGGAACCATTTCTTCGTCTATAGATATGTTGTGTGAGAACACTCCAAATTGCATGAACTTTTCATTCGTTTTGTCAAAAAATGGGCGCAATTTACAAAACTTATCACTTGTATCAAGCTGTCCACTGTCACTTAAATGCAAATTGCGTTTTATGGAGGTAAATTTGTTACGGCTCATGCAGTCTTTTAGCACCTGTACCCCTTTATCTTCGTCAAGTGACCAATACATGTGAGTTTGAGGTAAGGTGTGGTATCCCGATAAAATTAAAATTCCAATGAAGTTGAGAAGGTCTTTTTTAGTTAGACTAAAATCATGTCTGTTATTGGCATAAGCATATTGTAAAGAATATTGAACAATCATATCTTGAATATCTAAGTCAAAAAATAAAAAGAAAATTTCTAATGGTGTCAGTCCTTCCAAAGCCTTCAGAGATTCAGTAGATGCTTTTTCGTTTGATTCAGGCAACTGCTTATGTAAAAATTGACCTTGTTTCCACTTGGGACTCTCTTTCACATTTTTTTTCTTTCTTACTTCTTGATTTACTGTTTGTTGGTAACGAATTGTCACTCGATTCCGCTACGAAACGCAAATCTTCTCCTACATCATGTAAATCTTCCTCTCTAGTGTGGATTTCAAATGTGCCGGCAATATCTTTATTGTGGCCCGTAAATTCATTTCCAATTCCCTCTGGATCTGGAATATCTTCCTCATCAGTTAATTCATTCACGTCTGGTGGAATATAAACAATATCTATTTCACCTAAAAATTACAGATGCTGCAGCATGCATACAAGATAATGTAAAATAAAAATACGTACGATCATTTTCCAACTCAGCAACTACCTCCTCTAAAGCTGCTTCAAGCTGTTGTTGTGTAAGAAATTTGGGCATGATTATAATAAGAATAGAACAATTTTTTATAACCAACTATAAAACATAAGAATCTCAACTCAACGGCGCCGGCGTTTGTAACAAACAATACTAATCACAGACAGAGACAACATTTCAGTAAGATCCTTCAAGGCCAAATCCAATAACACTGATAGTAGGGACGAACTACATATTTAGCCAGTGGTGCGCTAACGCACCAGTTGTGTTTAGGGTAACATTATAAAAAAAATTGAAAAGATACAAACATTTCCTCGTATAGTATTATAACTTCAGTCTTTCCTGTTACTAATTTCAGCATATTTTTTACATATACAAAAAATCAATAGTTTAAAACAAATGTCAAAGATGGACGTACGGATAACACCAATTTTACTAATTTTTGAATATTGATTGGAGACTTATTTTATTTCGTAGGCAACAGGGCATATTTTTTATGAGTTGTCTGTAACTTCAAAAATCAAGTGAATTTATAAAAATTTCAAAATATTTGACTACTGTGGTAAAGAAAAAATTAAAACTGAACTGGTGCGTTAACGCACCAATGGTAAAAGATGGGTTAAACAGAAGAAACCAAGTCATTATTAATCGTCTAAGAATTGGCCATACTGCCTTGACACACAAATACCTAATAACAAAAGAACCACTACCTATCTGCTCCAGCTGCTCTAACCCACTGACTGTCAAACATATCCTGCTTGATTGTCCTCAATTCATGGAAAAAAGAAGATCCCACGGATTCACAGATGATCTCAAGACAGTTTTCACCAAAAAAATATCAACAGTGTTAAGCTATTTAAAAGACATAAATTTATTCAATTGTATTTATAGTAGTATTTCATGTATTTGTTATAGCCACTAATAACCCTGCGCGGTTGATGTGGTTTTGTGTATAAATAAAAAAAATAATTATAAGAACAAATTTAATTATGCTTTAATTCAACGAAAAAAATTGATACGAACGCTTATCAATCAAAATATAAAAAATCGTCTCGAACAATTGTCTCCATCAATTAACAATGAATACTCATTATGGGAAGCCACAAGATACCTAAGGAACACTGAAGTCAATACCACCAATCAGAAATATCGTTGGACAGTGTGCAAAAAATAATGCAGAGAAAGCTAAAGCATTTTGTATCAAGCCACACAGAAGCTCAAAATATAGGGAGGGTCTTAGATGAGTCGATCCAAATGGAGTTAGGAATAGAGAAATTTACACACACAGAATTGGAACAACCACTATGGAAGAAAGCTACCAAGTAAGGGTACTAGTAGTATCTTGCAGATATTCAATTCAATAACGGAAAATAAGGATGTACAAATTTCACTTTGTTGGCAGTTTACAGAGGAGCTATATCTTATACCTATATACTTGTAAGTCGAACTTTACCACCACGTATTGTTGATATCGATATAGTACCGTAACATAATGTACATTCTGAAAAACCTCTTACGATCGTGTCTCAAAAATAAGAAAAGAAATAATGGTTACGAAAAAAAAAGTATTTTCAGATATGTTAAAATTCAATTTGTTTTATAAAAATGTAAAACCGACGTTTAAAACATAAACGAAGTTGATAAAATCCTATAACAATATAATCACGACGCAATACTACTCTTTCAAAGTGAAGATGATTTACAATGTACGCTGCACCAATTTAATACAACCCCCAGATAATTTAACATGGTAAATCCCCCAAAAAAGACAAAATGCATCGTTACAACAGCAAATTTACTAAGATTTAAATTGGAGCTGGAAGGTCAGATAATACAACAAGTGATAGAGTTTAAATATCTAGGCATCACAATGGGTGGAATGCATAAAAAGTAGTAGATGCTATTGCTTCAGCAAATAGTATCTGGTTTGTAGCATTTACTTTTACATAAAAGGAGGTGCTTTGTTGAAAAGACCGTACTATACAACCGAAGTACTTGCTACTGACCTGAAGGTTCTACTACTAAACGTAACGCCAGCCGTAGTGCCCTTGTGTGCATCACACCAATCGTATTAGAATTAGTTTTTCATGTGATTTTTCAACTTTTTATAAATATTTTATATTAATACCTAAATATATATACATATGCAGTAAGCTAAAATAAGTCTTACCTGCCCCCTATTCTCCTACTTTCCCATTGAAAAAATCAAAGTTATGACTGTCACCTGAAGAAAGATTGCTTAAAGTTCGAAACATTGATGCTATAATATACTATGATTATTTTAAAAATCGATGTTTTGCTTATATACTAAAAATAAATGAGTTAATATGGTGGGTTACACTTATTTCAGCGCACTGTATGAATAAAACTGCACGATTCATGATAATTACCTGAATATATTACGATTAATATCGTCATTGTATATTCTTCCTGGTTTGTAGATTTTTCTACGACGAACATTCATAAATGCTGCCATTTAACAAACATAACAAAAAACACCTAAGCCGAAGTTGTTTATCTACCAACTTCACCTAAACTGAAGCAAATTCTACTAAACTAGCAAATACTTCAAAAGCGTAGTACATCCTTCTATGTATCTGGTAAATACTACGGAGGAGAGCAAAATGCTTTGTAAGTGTAGCAAGTACTACAAAAATGTAGAATTACTTGAAGCATTAGCAGATACTACATTTTATGCATTCCACCCATTATCTAGCTACGGAAAGCTCGAAACTGAAGTGGAAGATCAAGTGAATAGAACAAACAGAGCTGCTTGAATTAAAACAGACAGAGTCATGTCTATATAAAAATAACGAAAAAGAAGAATAAGGACAACATAATTACAATACTTTGAGGTTACCATCCTGTCACCCAGATCTTAATCCAATTGAGTTTGTTTTGGCGTCGCTTAACCCATGCAATGCTTACGGTTTTTGAAGGACATTGCAAACACCTTATCATGTTTTTTTGTTAATAATGACTAGAAAAGGGTGAAAAATATACATAGTTAATTGCAGTAAAAGGTTGAGATAAGGCATGGGCATGCGAAAAATTTTTTAAAAAATTGATTTTTATTGAAATAAATTACTACTTAATTTTTGCCTGTTACAAAATTCTAAAAATTCCCTATTTATGTACTTTGCACATTATGAATTACTTAGCTATATTTAAGAATCTTTCCCTATATGTGTCTAATATGATCCCTTTTTTATATCTCATTATAAACGGTCAATTTGAAAACTAAAAACTGTGACTAACTAAAAATATGACTAATGTACCTACAGAAGATATAGGGAGTGTTTTATTGTTATTGAATATTTAATATGACAAAAATATATTCATACAAAATGTAATTCAGGAATATTTATACATAAATTAATCTTAACTTAAATTCTACAATTAACAATTTTCTTTACAGTTTTTAAGCATTGATTTTTTCTCTTACATTCTGCTTTCATCGGATTTTTCTTAAGGATCTCCAAACAATTTTTTATATTTACAGGTTTTTTGCTGATCTTCTTTGAAACGTTAGCTGCAAATACTCTCTTCCTATCTTCTCTTGAAATCGTCAAAGACTTTGCGGGATTAATAATAATTTCTTCGGCCTGACCTCTTTCAACCTCCAAAGCATGTCGAAGTTTATCCCTCAAAACGCAGTCACTTAGGCAAATACTCTTGAATCTCACATCTGATCTTGCAGTTGCCAACAAAGACAATGGATCCAAAAACCTACAGTAAAATAAACAACTATTAATAAAACGAATAAAAAAAATATAGTTAAAAATATCAAACAAAAAAAAATAATAAAAACTTACCTTAAAATAGTAGACCACATTTCCACTGGAAGTACACTCAACTCAAAGCAGGTTGCGGCGATCACTGGCAATAAACGGTACATCTCTAACACTACCACTTAACCACTCGAAAGAACAAATTGAACTGACTGTAGTGTCTAGATGTCGCCATTATATAGGCGGTTTTCCGCGCCAAAAAGCCCGCGCGCAGTGAACCACCACGTCAGTCATTTGGCTCAATGCAGGCACAGTTAAAATATCACGCCTGCCACGTCTTTATAGAGACCCTAAGATATGGTATAAATTTGATGGTGACTTGACTTGGTGATTGAATTCACGAATTAGATGAATAAATAATTAATTAATTTATCGATTTGATCTCAGACTGATTAAGGCTGGAAAATATTGGAAAGATAGAGACCCTCACATCCAAAATCTGTTGGCCATTGGATTTACGACAAATCGAGAATTGGATAAGAGTGAGACAGAGGATAGAGTGAGAGTTCGGGACGCGATACATTTATTATATGAAAAGGGAATATCACTGGATTTAGTAAAAACCATTGAGAATATATATAAAAATAACATAGCTATGGTAATATGTAAAGGGAAACTATCGCAACCTATCAAATATGAAACTGGTATTGGACAAGGAGATTCGCTGAGCCCACAAATATTTAATCTGTCAAAATAAACTGTCAAGATACGGAAAAGTGGAAGAAGAAGTACAAAACGTACTATAATAATAAGTAAACGTACTAAGTAATACAAAACGAAAACCAAGATATGTAAATCAACAATAAGACTGATGATGACGTACACAGCGGAAACAAGAGCAGATACGGCGAAAACACAAAGGCTGCTGGAAACAACAGAAATGAAAGTCTTGCAAAAAATAACAAACCAAACTCTAAGAGACAGAGTAAGAAGTGAGGAAATATGAGCGAGATGTGGTATAGAGGAAATAAACACGTGGACAAAAAAAAAAGAAAAGTGGAATGGAATCAATACATCGAAAGAATGACAGAAAATAAAATAGTACGAATAGTAAGAGACAAATCGCTAAATGAAAGAAGACAATTGGGACGACCGAGGAAAAGATGGTCAGACAACGTCAATTGAGGCTAAAAACCGAAGTAAAACAGGCATTAAGCCTATTTATAAAGTGGGAAGAAGAAGAAGAAGAGGAGAATTGGATAAGGATGATTTGAAAGTTGATCTCAGATGGATATATCGGTATCAAGACTGGGAGAACTATTGACATATAACAAATGATGCGGTACTGAGAAGAGCTAATGTCCAAAGATAATTGTTAGATCTCGTTCGGCATATCTGATGCCAATACGATAATAAGAATAACGGAAGAAGGATCTTTGTACATTGAACAACCAGCATTAACGTTTATATGCTGCATACCATATGACACCTAGAGAAGTATTTTTTTTAATAATTTTGAATAAAAAATTCGTTTGTTTTTCTTTTTTTTTAATATAAAAATAATTAGTTGTACAAATCACAATTTTAGTCTTTACTCAATTTCTTCCATAGTATTTTGAAAAATATGGTAAAATGCAGTCTCTTATATCCTTATTTGGATTATGTAAATGGTCACTAATGTACACTGTATTAACAAGATAAATTCCCTGTTTAGCCAACGGAATATAATCAGTGAATTTTTCTACGCTTTTCTGCTCCAATAAACAATGTGTTGCATGAACTGTATCCTCGAATGGCGGTCTAAAACAAAGAAAAATAATTACTGCAAGTATTCCTATTATAACAACATTTTGTGTTTTATAGTATGGATTATAGTAGAATCAAAAGCGATGTACATATTTACTATTAGTTAGTGTTTGGTTTATTTAGTTTTAAATCTTTTTCGAGAAATCTTCGATTTCTTCGCAGAAGGTTTTCCAAGCAACTCTTTGTCTTTGTCTGCAGAGTTTTTTAAACTCTCTGAGATTTGATTGGTAAGAATCCCTAAGTTTGGTGCGTTTTGCTCTATTAAAAGCTGTTCGTGTTTTCTTCCTAAGATGTTCCAATTCAATGCACCACCAAGAGTTGGTTTTGCGACTTTCCTGGACCATCCTTATTGGACAGGATTTTTTATAAGCATAGCTTCTTTTGTTTTGGATATATACCGTATACCTTTCCAATTCTGTATTAGTTCCTGGAGTTAAAGCCTTTTCATTCCGCAGAGCATCTTCTAAGAGTCGGTTGTAAAGTTCTACATCAGTCCTCCTAGGGTCGCGCGATTTGATAAGGCTTTTTTCCAGATCAATATTATAGGTTAGCCAGCGGTGGTCAGACATAGAGGTATCGTCCGATACTTGCCAGTTCTGAATTTTATTCGATATTTCAGCTGTTGCTAGCGTGATGTCTATGACTGTTTGGCTACGAACATTAATAAAGGTAGGTTCGGTGCCTCTATTTAAGATATACAAATCGTTTCTAACAATATAGTCATTTTTAACATCTTCATTTACATTTACATCTTCATTAACATTTTAACATTCATACAGCGGATCAAACCTTTTCTTTTCCTAACCCCGAAAATCTAAATGATTACTTTGTTAATGTGAGTAAAAATATAACCTCAACTATTTCGCCACAACAAGATCCAGTTTCCTATCTCTCTAATTCAAAAAACATTGCTGATACCTTCTTTTTAAGACCAGTTGATAAGACGGAACTCATTTCAACAATTCGTAGTATAAAAAGCACATCGTCCTGTAGTACAGATGGATTATCTATTAAAATTTTCTCAAATCTACCGCATAATGTTTTGGAGGTCATGGTCTCGCTAGTAAATGATTCCCTTGAAAAAGGTGCATTCCCTAACTGCCTAAAGACTGCCATCGTCATTCCTCTTCATAAAGGTGGAGAAAAATCTGATGCCTGCAACTATAGACCTATTGCCTTGTTACCAGCACTATCAAAAATTATTGAAAGACTTATAAAAGTTCGACTTATGCCCTTTCTCCTTAAATATAATATTTTATCGCAAAATCAATTCGGCTTTTTGTCTAATAAATGCACTAGTGATGTCATATTTTCTGTGTTACATGATGTATATCTATCACTAAACAGTAACCTCTCCTCCGCTACCGTTTTCTGCGACTATTCCAAAGCCTTTGACTGCGTAAATCACGACATTCTATTAAAAAAATTAACTTTCTACGGAATTCGGGGTGTGTCTTTGAACTGGTTCAAAACTTACTTGGTAGGTAGGAAACAATTGGTTAGAATAAATTACACCGACTCTAGTTGTAAAGATATTGAGTGTGGAGTACCGCAAGGTTCAGTATTAGATCCCATTCTTTTTTTACTTTTCATTAATGACATCACTTACTTGAAAATTAAAGGGAAAATTTTTCTATTTGCTGATGATACCAGTATTACTTGGAGCAGCTCTGATATTTCAACGCTTCGTTCAATTATAACCGATGATTTACTTATAATCAAGGCTTGGTCAGACTCCAACTTACTTAGCTTTAACGTGGATAAGATTGTAGCATTATCTTATAAAGGAGTCATGCAACCCTTGCTTTTGAATGAGAGCCAAATCAATATCGTAAATTCCGTGAAATTTCTAGGTATTCTCATTGACAGTGATCTCAAATGGTCCTTGCATACTGACTCCTTAAGGAAGAAACTAGCCTCAGCTTGCTTTGCAATAAGATCTGTTTCGAAGGAACTAAATTTATCTTCTGCCAAAATGGCATATTTCTCATTGTTCGAGTCCCATCTTCGATATGGGCTTCCATTTTGACGCTTCCCTCTTTATTTATTTTGGAAACGGTTTGTTTGATTCGAAAGCATCTAAACATTTTTCCCGATAGACCTGACCATGGCTACTCCATTAGAAATTCGGATTGTAACGTTTATTTGCCGATCCCGTCCACTCAGCTAGTAAAGAATTCTATTCTATATCGTGCAAAGAAACTTTATAATCACCTTCCAAGAGAAATTAAATCCGCATCATCCTTCATTAAGTTTCGTAAGGTGACAAAAATCTATCTCTCAGAAAGACCATATTATTCAGTTGACGAGTTTCTTAATGTATAACAAAGAAACAAAATTAGTATTGTTTATAATTACATTTGGGTGTCTCAAGCAGTGGCTACAATTTGTCTCATTTGTTGTTGTCTGTACAAATTATGTAGGTTATACAATAATTTTACTAATTTAAAATTGTGTTATTCTGTTTTTTACTATATTTGTTTTTGTTTTATACTTTTTGTACTATTTGACTGATTTATTTTTTAGCTTTGTCCATAAAATTGTTCAATAATTTTCAGTGACAATAAAACATATTTCTATTCTATTCTATTCTTCCTCAACATCATCCATAGGGAAATTTTCTAATCTGGTATTTAAATGTGAAAACCTTGCCTCAAATCTAGGAAAATCAGCTTTAGTTGATTCTACATTTAATGATTGAGCACAACTATATAAATCTTCTACAATCGACTTAATCTCACATAACTCTTTCTCAGGATCTACTACATTACTAACCAAATCGACTAAACTTGAAGACGAAGTGGCCTCCTTGGCCAACAAAGCTCTTAACATCTTTCTCTTATCATCAACTGTCTTATTTGGGACATTTTTACCTCTTATGAAAAGCTCATAAGATAACTCTCCTGATTTCAAGTGATTAACCTGAGTAGACTTCATTTTTCAAAAATTGGTTAAAAGCAAACACACAAAATAACTAAAATCAACTTCAACAACTAGTAGAAAAGATGATAATTTTAAGAAACAACCGTTTCCATTTATCACCTGATAGTAAGTCTCACTTGCACTCCCGCGTACTGAAATCCAAAACTCAATCAGTTTGCTGCAACTTCTGCTCTTGACTTAGTAAACAGTTGGTAAACAAAAATGAGGTCTCTAACCTGTCTCCTAAAAGTTCACACTTCCACTTACAAGGACTAAAAAAATGGTTTCAAACAACATGGGACAACATGGACAGTAACAAACAGCATAAACCGTATATACAGGGAAAGACAAAATACTAATAATATTGAAAACTTGACCTTTGAGTGAGCTACACTAAATAACACCAAAATAAACCAACTCTTGTTCCGAAAACTAAATGAGACTGCTCCTAGTCAAAACTAAAACAGCATCTCCTGATCACAAATATTATACCTGTGGTCATTCAGATACAAGAAAGGATACACAATAAACACACAGTCTACTACTGAGACTAAACTTGTCGAATCTTCTCTACGACTCACAATGACTACTCATACAACAACTTTAATTAACCCTTGGCATTTAAATACACCTTCAGAGACGGTTAATTAGAAGAAAAATTGCATAATACTACTTCTCAACTACATAGCTCAAACAAAGTCCTTAAAATTGACCGAACACACATTTACTCAAACTGACTGAACAAATAAAAAATTACAAAAACTGAGTATTCTGTAAAATTTGTCAAATCAATAAAAAAATAAATGTAACAGTAACTGTATAATTTGCTATTGTTTTTAAATTCTTTTCAATATCAATACTTCAATCAAAATTCATATTTAAATATTCAACTCAAATATTTGCTTTCATTTATCAATACATATGAAGAACAATACATATGTCATTACAAATACATTACATGAAAAAACAACAATACATAATGTTGGTACAAAATACCACTACATTGTAATACAAATACTTTACTGTTTGTGAGACACTTTGGGGCACTATTCAAAAGGAAAAAAGTTTCATATAAATGGCTTGGGAAAAATGAATCAAAATCTAAAAAAAAATGGAAATATTCAAATGCCCCACCGATTGGGCGACAAAATTGTAACGACTATTTTGCTTACCACAGGGTTTTTTTATTGCGTTTTTAACGAAGAAAACAAATAAAACCTTTTTTTTATCAGGGGGCATCATAAATTTACATGATACAAATTAACAAAATAGCACGTATTTAAACCGGAGTTCTACCTGACTGTAACAAAAGGTTCGATATTTGAATCAAAACACAGACAAAAAACATCTATATTTACTTTTGAATCGGTAGAAATATACGCATTATTGATTATTCTAACCGGAATATTAGGGGGACTTCATGTAACATAATACCTCTTTGGCGACAAAAAACTTGTTGTTTCACCTAACATTGCAACACAGAGATAAAAACATATTTCCAGCATTAATACGCATTTAAAAATCTCGTCAAAAAAACTTGAAATATTATTTCGATTGTTTTCTTTGGTAAAAGCAACAGGAGCGTAAAACAGAAATCTTTTCTATACACTTTAAATAAAAAACGCTACAAGATACCCCAGAGAGCTATGTGGTGACAGGAACTCTTCTAGCGTGGTCGTTTCACATCCTTCTATACGTCCCATTCACGAGGCCTAGCCCGTTTATAGTGGGTACCTTCATTAAGCGGAGAGCTCATTATTAGGGAGATCCCATTCATTCACATGCACATACTTGTTTCACTAGACAGACTACAGCTCTATATGAACAGTCAGCTTAAGCCTCCGAACCTACGTGAAGGTCGTGCAGCCCCTATCGGACGCCAAAGGAAGTATTACAAAGCTACATGTGAGAAACGTCTAAGGAAAACGAGTAGATGCGAAATTTTCTAATTAGGAAAACTTTTAAAATATAAAACGCAACAACTTCGCAAGTTATTTGAATATGATATATAATGTATAACTTACTTCAGATTGATTACAACTCCTCCTCCAGCTTCTATTACTCGAATGATAGGTTCCCTTTTATTTGCTACGACAATCGCTCTCATATCATTAAAAACTCCATATCCTCTTCTGCCGACCTCTTTTCTCCACCAATGCATTTGTTGTGTTCGTGTTTCCGTTTCTCTATCGTGTGAAATATTGAATTTTCCTACGGATTTGGGATTGCCAAATTCATATTCTTCTTCCTAAAAATAATTTCAAAATTTTTAGTAGAGAATACATAAATTTTTCCTCGTTATAGATACAAAAAGAAACATTGTATTACTCAAACTTATAAGTATATAAAATGTAAATAAAAAAACTGTTCGTTTGATCACAAAAAAAAATACTAACGTTCAGAAAATGTCCGACCTCTATCGACTTCTGTAGGTACGAAATATGTAAGATCCACTTTCCAGCAGCCATACAAGATAAAGACTTTTCATTTCTAGCAGGTTTTGGACATAAGAGATGTGTACAAGACGGATCATAATTGGCTAAATTAGATACCGTGGCTCCTAATTGCTCCAGCTCCGTTACCATCTTGGCCCTCTCTGTGTCGTCTGCAATTCCAGAAAGCGAAAATACTTTCATTTGATTTTTAGCTTGCTGATGCTGAAATACGAGACACAAGTATTATTACAAAATAACATAACATTATAATAGTATCAAAGCCCGTTGTAAAACTCACCTCTTGCGACCTAAAATCCCATCCTACCGTGCAGGGTTGTGAATCCTTGAATTCTGACGTGCCAGCTAAAAAAAAACAGTATTTATTGTATAATTTTTTTTTGATTTTTGAACAGACAGAAAATAAAAACTAAACCGTGAGCGTGAATAAGAGTTTTATAATTTGTCTTTTTCAAACATACAATTTTGTTAATTTTCTTACAGCATAAAGATATAATCCTAATAAATACTTATAAATTTTTTGAAACTTTTCAAACTACACATTTTAATAAAAATTGTTAATACCTGGACCTGGGATCAGAGCCTGGAAGTTCGTACTTTGTCTTCTAGCAGACCCACTGGCACTAAGCATGTCTTCTAATTGTTTGATTCTGCTTGCTAACTGTTGGTTTTCCGGCGTTACATCTCCCTCACTTGACGTCACCTGGAAAATGCAATGGAATTTAATTAAGATGATAACAACCCCTAACCGCAACTATTTTTTACATGTATTGTAGCGTTTCAAGTTTCTAATAATAACGGCCCTCAAAATTTTGATTATTACACACAATATGATATACACTATTTTGTAAACTGTTTTTTATTAAGTCAAACTACGCCATACTTCAGTTCAGTTAGTGCCAGGCTACTTACGGAGCCACCCTTTGTCAATTAATACGACAACAATCTTCTTTCTTCATCGTCTTAAAGGAGACGAGGTAAGAAAGGAATTCGACCTGGTTCAAGGGTTAATTCCCTGATTTTGTGTTAACATATAAACCCCCGATGTTAAAGACTTTCGAAAGTGAGTGTGTAAATTAATTAATTAATTAAATTTCGTCGTTATTTCAATTATTAGAAAGTGACGCATTTTTGAGAATATTAAAAGTATATTTCCGTCGACCGTCCATGTATGATCAATTTTAACACCCTCAAAATCATTGATTAATGACCCCTATTAATAAATGATTTTCTATTTAAGAACGATTTCATTAAAAGCAACACAACATACATTGATTGCATAAATTAATTAAACGCTCTGTGATTGGCAGTGATCTGTGATGTAGGCAACCAAACATATACCTATTTATATTCCCACTAAAATTTTTTAAATGAAGTAGCCGCTGTTAATACTATCTGTCATTGTATGCCATTATTTACTTTATTGTTTAAAATTCTGTGTATTTGAAAAATCAAAAGATCGATATTGACGAAGAGTTTAATTTAACTCCATCAGAAGTGGCAGAAACTGCAAATAAAATAAGTTTACTGCCTGAAAAAAGCAGAGTGTTGTACGAAAAATCATATGCTGAATTTATTGCATGGTATGACGAGAGAAAAATAATACGATATTCAGAATCTGTATTGTTGACATATTTTTCAAACATTGCCGAAAAAGGACTAACAGCAAGTTTGTGGCCCAAATATTCGATGCTAAAATCAACCTTAAGTTTAAAATCAAACATTGATAAATTAGTTAATTCTGTTTATCAAGAAAAAAAAAGAACAGGTCATGTACCAAAGAAATCAAAAACACTTGAAAAAGAACAAGTTCAGAAATTCATCTCTGATGCTCCTAACGACGTGTTTCTAATGATAAAGGTAAACCAGTAAATTAAGTTTATATATTTAATACTCGTATTTCATAACATTTCATTTTGTAGGTTGCATTGATTTTAATAATGGCTGGTGCCTTAAGAAAGGACGAACTATTGAAATTAGAAACAAATAACGTTCAAGACTTGTAGTCAAAGTTTCTTGTCATAATAAAAGTATCAAAAACACACACATACAAATAGAATATTTACCACAGTAGATAAGGAAGCAAATACCATTCTCAATGTGATCAAAAACTATATTTTGTGACTGTGAGTTTTCAGCTATTAAAAGACTAGGTGACTGGAAATCGACTGCTGTAGCAGAAGGTTATACAGTACGTTAAGTGTTTGATTAGGTATTGCACACTATACGGAGCGCTAAAATCGGCAACGTTGCAAATGTTCGTTCTCCGACCCGAGACTATCTCAGTATCTACACCGACAGAAAATCCTTTATTTTAGTTTAGTAACTCACAACAACGTTTGGGATGTACTTCACTGTCGTCCGATCTCATGTTTCATTACGTATAGCCGATTTTAATAGTAGGAAATTCGATAAAAATGCACTGACCTAATCGGTGCATTGTTATCGAATTTTGTTAATGTGAAAATTTTTTTGTGGTTGAATTAAAAATAAAAGCATATTTCTTTAAAAAGATAAAATAAAAAATATACTCTTATTGAAAATTAAAATATTATTCCTAATAAAATAAAAAATAATTCTTTATGACCTACAGAAATGGTTCAAATAGTTGACCTTCTACGGCTGAACAGTACCCCAATCTATCATAAAAACTTCTGCGAACAGATGAAAGAGTTTCTGCTGTAATAGAATTGGAGACTACTCTTATTCGATTTTTTAATTCATCCAAATTTTGGGCTCTAGCCTCAGGATGATCGTAGATAATGCTTTTTAAATGTCCCCAAAAAAAGAAGTCCATGGGTGTAAGATCTGGAGATCGCGCAGGCCACTTAATATCGCCTGTTCCACTGATAACTCGATTCGGGAAAGTATTGTTTAAATACTCCCTAATAATTCGAGCTTTGTGAACTGAACAGCCGTCTTGATGAAACCAAACATTCTCCAGATTTACATCAGGAAGATTGAGAATAGCGGGAAGAACATGATTCTGTAACAAATCGAGGTATACTCTACTATTCAAGTTGCCCTCAATAAAAAATGGACCTATTATGTGGTCTCCTAAAATGCCAGTCCAGACTTAACTTTTTGAGGACGTTGAGTTCGGTAAACAACACTTCTGTGCTGGTTTTCCCGCGCCCAATACCTCGTAATGGAAGGATTGTGTCTCCCTACTAATGAAACAGAAGATTCATCAGTGAATAAAATGTTTTTAATAAAATTTGGTTCACTATTAGCCTTCGTTATTAGAGTTTCACAAAACTCCATTCTTTGAAAGTAATCGTCTGGATAAAGCTGCTGCGTTTTCGAATATTTAAAATTCTTGTAACCGTGCTTTTTCCATACTTTCGTTACAGTAACATTGCTAACATCTAACTCTCTAGCAACGCTTCTACTTGAACGTGTTGAATTTACCTCGATTGTTGCACAAATTTGTGTATCCCGGTATTCTCTTTCCTCAACTTTTTCTGGTAACACTTCTTGAGTGTGACATTTTCTGCAATTTTTGAGGCAATAACAACTCTCAAAATTTTTAACAATATTATAAATTGACTGTACACAAGGAATTGGTCTTCCCTCAAAAAACACAGAAAATAAATCTACACACTGTTGTGCAGAATTGCCACTATAAAACCATTTTATTATTTGAGCTTTTTCTGCGGCCATATAAACAGACATGTTTACAAAAATAAATTAAAACTCTACGCTGTTATTCCTTTAAACAACCACGGTATAATGACAATATGACAAATTTGCCGACGGGCGACGAGCAACGACGAGTCAACGAAGCAGATATGTAGTGGCAAGTCGACGACGCGCAGTGTTGCCATTTATAGAGTGTATACCTAATCCAAAACTTAACACACTGTATAGATAATTCTAATAAAATTAAACTTGAGACGGCTGAAAAACTCTTGGGACAAAATACCACTAAACCTTGGTGTTTATCGTTAAGTAAATAAAAATTTAAACTAAGATATCTTTATTTCTGTAAAGTACGGTCGACGGAAAAGTTTTGTAACGAACTCGTGAATTAAAATGGCGATTAACAATCTCGAACATTAACGCGCTCACGCGTTAAAATATCTCAATTGTTAATCGCCCTTATTGATACACTTATTGGTTAAATAACTATTAAGTGTGATTTATAATGAGTAATATTATATAAGATTCAAAACGCTTTTTCCGGTTTGACAGATTGTAGCCCTTGCTATAAATTTAATGAACATACCTCAGGATTCGTACAAGTAGTATCCAGTTGTTGTTGTTGTTGTAATAGTTGATCCGGAAGGTTTCCCCCCGTTTCGTCGAAATTCAGCTTATAGGCTCCAATTTTGGCAACCTTTTCAGCTAACTGCCGCTTTATTTCAGAGAGAGGCTGAAAAGAAAAAAAAAAAAAGAAATATATTATATGTGAGCGAAACTATGTTAGATTGTTTTGTTTTCCTTTTCAATTTTCGTTAAGCATCAAAACTAAAAGATTGACCCGACACAAAATTGTTCTCTTCACAAACCAAGAGATTCTTAATTAAATATGCTTTTAACCATAAATAATCTGATTTATGGTTAAATTCTTTATTCGATCAATAATCTTAAAGAAAAAAAAACAATAAAATGAGCACAGAAATCAGAAAACAATTTAACACAGAAATATTAAAAGTTAATACTACACAGAAGTATGAAAAACGAATAACCAACAGATTAAACGAAGATCCAGGAATATTAGATCTGGAAGTAAAGTGGAAAAGCAAAAAAGAAGCAGTTTTAGAGAAAAATAAAGAAACCTTATGAAAACTAATAGCAGATGCAATTAGAAAAATAAGAACAAAAAATAATACTGAAAATATATACTAACCGTGCTTTTATTACTTTTTGGAGACGGCTTATCAGGAAATTGTCCCAGCCAATATTCAAACTGCTTTTTCAAATTGGGTGACGGATCCGGTTTTAAAAACGCACCGAGCGGTGTTTCAGGTGTCTTTACAAACGCCCAAGGTTGCGGTATGCTGTACTCTTTTGTTTCTTTATTGTTTTGACTGAAGTTTAAGTTGCTCTCCCTAAATTGTTTCATGATTTTATTCACTGGCGTGACTTGGCTAAATTTCTCTAAAATCAAATTATATCAGATATACACTGACGCATCCAAATCTTCAGACGGTGTTCGTGTAACCATCCTCACACCCAATACATCCTTAAAATTTAAATCCAATCCCATTACTTTTTATAAATTCTAAAAAAGATAGCTTAAGGCCTTTATTTTGAATGTGAAGAATTTTAAATTCATCATTAAAAGAATGATTATGATCTAGAAGGTGAAGTGCGTATGTAGAATCTATTTTTCTATTATTGAAAGCCCTTTTATGCTCTGCTATTCGTTTATTAAAATTTCTACCAGTTTGACCGATGTATACAAACTTAAATATGACGACTGCCCAAAAACTTACAACTTGTTAAGCCAAAAGTTCTGAATGCCGCTCGGTCCAGGAGATTTCCAGATATGAAGCTCTTTGATAAAATTTGAAACTTCTTCAGTAGTGAAGGGTTAGCAGGGAGTAGTAACGTAGTTGGCAGTTGTGCGCCGTATCTTTGATCCATCCAGCATTGGTGTAAAAAGCAGATGGTGTGGAAAGTTGATTTCCCCAAAACTCATGGACTCTTCTTGGCTTGAGTACGATTTATTGGCACTTTCTGCAGTAGAATTAAGTTTCCGTATTATCGGATTTTCGTTTGTTATTAATGAACCATAATTATTATTATTAAAGAATTCTTGTGACTGTTGCTCGAAGAATTCATCCGACTGAAAATTTACCGATTAGCTTTTAACACCTTTTTCAATGACCCAAAGATATGAAAATCGCAAGGCAATAAATCTGGACTATAGGGTGGATGCATTAATATCCATCATTGTTGTGCAGGAGAATGAAAGAGCTTCCCTGTACTATTTAGGTTCTGTTCCTCCTCTATTTGATATCATGTACCAGTTAAAATGTAGGAAAAATTTTAAAAATCATTTGAAAATAAATTCTTTCTTTAAACGACTCTCTTCGAATTTGACACCGGAGTTCTGTACGCTGTAAGATACCTGTCATTTTAAAAATAGATACCGAATGTTTTAGCCAAACTCTCGTAAAGTGAAGAGACTACAACTTTGGTTCTGTAAAATATATGAGCAAGGATTCTTCATGGTCGAAAAAAAAATGTTAACATGAACTTGTCTTAAAATTACTTTGGTGGCGAAATATTTGCGTGTTTCCATTGCATTGATTGCAGTTTGTCTACGATACTGGAGATACTATGGAGAGGTCCTATGCTCAAATTAATATTGTCTGAAATTGCTGATTGAAATTCGACGATTTTCTCTACTCAAACCTTCCTTCATCTTCTTTTTTCCACTCCTAAACTTTCGAAACCGATCCTTGACAGTTGTGTAGGCAAAAAATGCTTTTCCATACACTGCTTGCATTCGCGTATGAATTTGTAATGGTTGCAAACCATCAGCACACAAAAGTGGGATGACCGCACGCGGCTGATTATATTTGGACATATTCTTAACAACAAACGCTATTTTTAAGTCACAATACTTCAAATCAGTCAAATAATAGGAACTGATCAGGAAAGGTCAGTACGACCTTTACAAACGTAACTAATATTACAGAATGTTACTTAAAAGATTACAATTATTTCCAAGGCTAACCTTGTAACATTTGAAATTTCGTTGATTCTTTGGTGTATATTGCAATCCCCTCATATATGTTTGAAAAATCGCAGAATATTTTTTAATATATTTCAGTTTCCTATTTGTACGTATTAAAACACTGAATTCGTTCAATTCCTTTTAGCGTCGCCAAGTAATAAATACCATTTTAGAGTTGTTTATTTATTTCGTGGCTGCGTATTTTCCTGTCGATAATTCTTTGATGTATGCCGCCCGAAGTACTGCGTTTTCAAATTAATAATCTACGTCTTAATTTTCGTTGTGTTTTGTTTATTTCAAGTTATGTGAACGAATTTTTAAGATAATTTTATCTTAAACTTACTTGTCATTCTTACTTGGGTCGCTGTAGGCTCAGGTACGGATCCAAATTCATCCGTCGAATTTGTAGTTTTCTGTTTTTGACCCCTTTTTATGGAAATATGTAGCAGTGAAAAGTAAATTGTGAAATATGTCTAGTTACAGAGGAGGTTAAAAAAGTATTTAAGAGATTTGTGTCGCCTGCAGCAATTCTGATGTTCCAGTTTGTTTCCAGTTGAAGTGCTTCTTCAATCTCGCTGTTCCTGCTTTGTTTCTGAAGCAGTTTGTTTAGTTTCAGTTATAGTTCCAGAATTCTAGTGTAAAACCCAGTGCAGTCCAGGTAACTTTTGTGCAAATATTTAAAGTAAAGTATACATTTTTTTAATAATATAATTGCTTTCATTAAAATTCCATAAGATTTATAGAAATCATTCATAAGATTTATAATAATTAATAAATTATAAAATTTTAGGTTTTGACTTTGGCTGTCAATTTGTGTGTTCAGTTTTTTTTTTAATTTATTGTTAACTTATGACAGCTCGTTTTATTATTTTTTGATTTTAGTTTGTTTTCTTTTTAAAGAAGGTTAACCTCCATGCAATTTTGTAAGATTTGTAGCAACAGAGTTTGTAAACGGCTAGGACACATGTAAGTTTTTTTGTTATTCTTGTTCTCTGTAACTATTAATCTATATGTAAATGTGTGCCATTATTTTGTGGTAAGACACCAATAAATGTTAAATTTTGTTTCTTAACATTTTGTCTATTTTTTTTTTAAATTAATCCCTTTTTTTGAATAGTATCCCAAGTTATCGTTACAAAAATGTCGCCCAGATATGTTTTGATTTTTTAATAATTATTTCCCTAGTTACAACTATGGTCTGTTTTTAAACCAGGAAGAGTAATTCAAATTTTCCGCGCCATAATGCTTGTTTGTAATTGGTCGAAGCGCAGGCAAGTTTACTCCACTAAATTATGACATATTGACACTAATGACATTTGTGAAATTTTAAAATTCAAAATTTATATCGACAATTTTTTGTATTTTCTGTGTTATTTCTTACATTTTTGGATTTTTCGTTTGCATTTATATAAAAAACAGTTCTTTTCAGAACTATTTAGCGACATATTAGTGTTATTAAGATAACAATATGGATTCAATGCCAAGTACTAGTGGTAATTATTCTTCTCCGCCTTAAAAACGCCGAGTAGATTTGGATCATTTATCATCAAATGAGAAATAATGTACTATAAACATGTACAAACATGAAAATTGATAATTCTGGAATAAAAATAACAGTCACGGTAGTAAAAATAAAACAGGCAGCAGGTTAGTTTTACAGAATAGTTATTATTAAAATCAAGACTTACTAAAGTAATGTGCTAATTTTAGGTGTTACGAATTCAACTATTTACAACAATAGAATTTAGGACAATTAAAGAATATAAGCAGACTGGAGCAGTAAAATCTCCTAAAAATATTGAAGGTCGACCTTATATTCTTGCAACATAGGATGAAAGAGTTAAAACATCTATACGGCAGATAGTACACAGCTTCTTTTTCGAGAATGAAATGCTCACTTTAGGTAAAATTTTAAGTGAAATTAACAACCGCTCAGATCTTCCAAAATATGTGTCGTTCATTATTATAAAATTCTTTAAGCAAATCAATTTGAAGTAAGTACAAATATCGATATGTAAATATGGGTAAGCTACAATTATATAGTAAAATTAACTAAAACATTTTATAGATTTCATTTTTATAATCAGGTATATTATTGTTACTAATAAATATTAAGTTTTAAGTTTTTATTTGTATACTCTACTGGAATGTTGTCAAGTATTTTGGTTCAACAGATATAAGAACATGGAAAGGGAAGAAAAGGAAAAAAAAGGATATTTTTACTTTACATATGCAGATTCAATGCAGCAAATATTACATAGCATAACTATAGATTGTTTATCTTACTGTTTATAGGATCATTGATTTATTGTCTATATTATGAATGTCTTACCATAGTTATTTTTTAGGGGAAATTATTAAAAGAATAGTTTATACATTGGGCTGCTGACCAAAAACAAAACTTTCTTGCTCAAATATCTGAAATAGATTCAGTTTTTGCTGAAAAAATAAATCAAGAAATTCAATATGGTGTAGTTGTTCATTAATCTCACCAAGACATAAATGGAGAGATTTTGGAAGAAATAAAATTATTAAATTTTTATTTTTACATTCATTCCGAATATATATTATGCACAGAATATTATATAAATCGATTTCTAACTCTTTAAGTTGTTTTTGTAATAACTTGGACTTGGTGATATGCGATAATAGTATTTAATGTGATATTTTTCTAGCTGATATATATAATAGAGTTTACAGTGTTTATAAATTTATACATGTATGATATTTATATCTAATTATCATAAGAAAAACGGCAACTATCTTTTAAATTTGTGTATACTTATTAAGAAGCATTTTCATTTTGTTTTCATCACAATAAAAGAACATTAGTAATGTTGTGTTTTACTTTGATTGTATTGATACAGTTGGTTTTGTTCTTCCTGTTGTAGATCATCACAAGAAAACTACAAAATTATACTAGAATGTAACATAATAGTTTAAATTATTTGATTATCTCACAGAAATCCAGTATTTTTTAGTAAATTTTATTTATTGATAACAAATGGGACAAACTCACTGTCAAAATTAAACAAAAATCCAGTATTAAAGAAATTGCAAGTACACACTTATTTATACAAATTTATTGTTTTGCATTTTAGTGCTTCAAATAGATCCTTAAGATATTGATACATAAGTTAAATCTATCTAATGAGGTAACTGATTACCATGCATGAAAAATAGGACCACACCTATATTTGAACCATAATTTATTCTGTGATAAGAAACAAAAAAGTCAATTCTAAAGCAGTGAATGGGAAGGAATATGTAAAACAAACTGGCTGAAGCAATTCAGAAGATTGGATTATTAAGCTTAAAAATAATGATCAAAGTCAAAGTTAATTCTTCTGGAAAGAAAAAAAACCTATATTCAAGAAATTAATCACACCAGAATAAGAATATGGTCTACGCAGTTTAAAAGAACAGTATTTCAGAAATCTTTGAACTCTCTCTAACTTTTTGATACGTGCATTTGCATAGCTTTGTTGCATATAAGATCTATTTGCAAATTAAAAGACAAATTTCTGAGAAAAACCATACTTAGATCTATAACATTATTGACTCTCTGGATCAAAATATTCTCTAAATTAAGTACCATCGACTCAAAAGATTTATAAAACTGGATCACCCGATATTTAAATACATATACATGGGACCAAATGTGAAAAACATCCTTTTTTATTGTAATATATATTGGAAGTGAATTAAAAAAAATATTATTCAAACATAAAGTTAGGTTAGAATTGACGTGTAAGGTTGTCCGATATTGATTACTTGATTACCGCAAGGCCGAGATATACAACTAAAAAGAAGATGTATTTGGTGACTTTTCTAGTAACTTTCTTGGGTGTGAATCTGTCTTTTTGGTTTACTCCTGCTGGTTAAAAAACAGAGTTATAGTTGTTGTAATAGTTATAATTAGGCACCTCGAAGTGGCGCCCTATATTAAATTACTAGAGGTGTTTCCTGTTTATTTTTATTTTGTTTGTCGCAAGAGATTATGTTAGTACCCCTTTTGTTTCTTTTCTCTGTAGTTGCCCCAACCCAACCCCCTTGCAATTTTATTTTGCTTGCCCTATCTCCACCCCCTTAGTTTCTGTCCCCAATTTTCTACCCCTTATATTAATAACAAAGTAAGCAAAATCTAATCGTTACAACCTGCCTAAATATGAGTTTTAATTGATCAAGCGTATATAATTACCTGCACTATTTAAAAATTTCTTGTGATAAGGTGTTACATTGTTAACTGGCGTTAATACTTTCGACGACTTGCTGGAACCTGCTAAATCTGAAGGGGTTAAATATACTTTTGCCGTTTCACTGGGAACTTTATTTTTTTGTGGAGTATTTTCTACATATTCTTCTCTTCTATCGGGTGCTAAAAATTCAAATTTAGAGCCAAACAATACATGGGATTCACATAAATTTGTAAGAAAAGTTTTATAAATCTTTTTTTTTTTGTTTGCTGTGTAATAAAATGAGGACAAGCTGTGTAGAAAAGAAGGTGCCGAAATAAAATAAACATTTTGTTTGTTACTGCGTAAATTAAAGAACTAAAACAGCGATACATGTTAAGTTACAACTTTGTAAAGTTATAACTTTAATTTATAATACAAATTATTAGTTAAAACACACTTTACCTGCAGATTGTCCAAGTAGAAAATCACCTTCGTACACTTTCTTTCCGGTTTTTGCACATTCCAATAACCAATCTTTGCTTATTACGGGTAAACCCCATTTTAAAGCAGCTTCATATTTTTTTCCGCTCGCCTCGAAACTTACCAAATGCGTAGAAGGAAAAAGGCCTTTGCTTTCCGATCGCACTCTAGAAAACTGTTCTTGGGCTAATCCTCCTAAAGCTTCTATGAGGTTTCGTAAAAAAACTCTTTCGGTTCCCGAATAACTGCTAATCGTTATTACACAGTTTTCTACCGGTTTGGTATCTAAAAATAAAATAAAAAAAAATATAAAATATATAAAAGATTTACAGATTTCAGCAAACGCTTTTGCTATCGCTGAAAACGCCAAATACATAAAGATTGGAACACAATTCGTCAAACCTTCCGTGTATGAATCGGTATCAATAGAATGTTATATCGTTATTTCTGTGTGCCTACGTCTTCAGACACTTGGGAGGATACAAACTCATACACGGAACGGTGAGCGAATGTGTCCTGCTATTCCATACCTCAAGTGGTAGTTACAAAAATGCCATCTATAAACATTCTATAAACATTCCCTTTCCCTCTTCTTTTTCATATGTATTAAACTGTTTTTCAGTATTTTTCTATCCCCCTTGATATGAGAAGAATTTATGAATTTACATAAAAACTACAAAGATTGTAAAACACTGCAAAAAACTGTAGTTTGGATGCAGATTTTTATTTTTAAATGAATATGCATAAGGGTTAGATGAACGTCACAATTTAGCAAGAGACACTGAATAACAAAATAAACAGTAAATGTAAAATAATCAAACCTGGTATATCGAACGGCCGATGGTAATAAGCAATGCTCAATAAAAGTTCTTCTTCTCGAATGCATTCGCCAATAAAAAGATCATTTACTATTTCGGAGGCAGTATGGTGTAGTTCATTTTTGTTAAATATTGGGACGACAGCGTAGTCTGGTATTCCTTTATATGATTTGGATACCACATCACCTCCCAGATCTGAAAAACAATGAAATCAACAATTTGTTTTATATAATTGAGAGAAAAATTCTTTAGGATATTATGATAAACATATAGAACTGACAAAAAATTTAGTAAAATTAGATCTAATAAAAATGTTCGATTCATCAACTCGATTACTTTGATGTCGTAGTTAAATAATACATTGGGATTATACTTCTGCAATTTTTCCCCAATTAAAATGGATTAAACGTAACTTTAACTGTGAAATACACTGTGCAATATTTTGAAATATAAATACGTTATATGAAAATATACAGTAATTTCAGTATAGTCAGGTTGGCCGAGCGGTCTAAGGCGCCAGATTTAAGCTCTGGTTCCCGAGAGGGAGCGTGGGTTCGAACCCCACACCTGACAAAACTTTTTTGGAGCTTTCTCATTTGATAAAATATTCTAAACATAAATAGCACACTCTTACATCTTTGTAATTAAATAATTTCATTTTTTAACTCTATCTTACTTCACAAAATTGTGCAATATTATATAAGATTGTGCAATAATATAATAGTAACATTTAGTAGATAATTCTCTGGATTTTAACCCATAAACTTATACAAAACGATGAAAGTTAATACAAGTAATGCCTATACTCTTAATTACTTATTTGTACTCCAAAAAATAGCACCAAATCTTAAGCCTTCCTAATATTGTGCAATATTTTGAAATATAGATACATTACATGAAAATATACAATAATTTCAGTATAGTCAGGTTGGCCGAGCGGTCTAAGGCGCCAGATTTAAGCTCTGGTTCCCGAGAGGGAGCGTGGGTTCGAACCCCACACCTGACAAAAACTTTTTGGAGCTTTTTCATATTGATAAAATATCCTGAACATAAATAGCACACTCTTACATCTTTGTAATTCAATAATTTCATTTTTTAACTCTATCTTATTTGACAAAATTGCGCAATATTATATAAGATTGTGCAATAATATAATAGTAACATTTAGTAGATAATTCTCTGGATTTTAACCCATAAACTTATACAAAACGATGAAAGTTAATACAAGTAATGCCTATACTCTTAATTACTTATTTGTACTCCAAAAAATGGCACCAAATCTTAAGCCTTCCTAATATTGTGCAATATTTTGAAATATAGATACATTACATGAAAATATACAATAATTTCAGTATAGTCAGGTTGGCCGAGCGGTCTAAGGCGCCAGATTTAAGCTCTGGTTCCCGAGAGGGAGCGTGGGTTCGAACCCCACACCTGACAAAAACTTTTTGAAGCTTTCTCATATTGATAAAATATTCTGAACATAAATAGCACACTCTTACATCTTTGTAATTAAATAATTTCATTTTTTAACTCTATCTTATTTCACAAAATTGTGCAATATTATATAAGATTGTGCAATAATATAATAGTAACATTTAGTAGATAATTCTCTGGATTTTAACCCATAAACTTATACAAAACGATGAAAGTTAATACAAGTAATGCCTATACTCTTAATTACTTATTTGTACTCCAAAAAATAGCACCAAATCTTAAGCCTTCCTAATATTGTGCAATATTTTGAAATATAGATACATTACATGAAAATATACAATAATTTCAGTATAGTCAGGTTGGCCGAGCGGTCTAAGGCGCCAGATTTAAGCTCTGGTTCCCGAGAGGGAGCGTGGGTTCGAACCCCACATCTGACAAAAACTTTTTTGGAGCTCTCTCATATTGATAAAATATTCTGAACATAAATAGCACACTCTTACATCTTTGTAATTAAATAATTTCATTTTTTTAACTCTATCTTATTTCACAAAATGGCGCAATATTATATAAGATTGTGCAATAATATAATAGTAACATTTAGTAGATAATTCTCTGGATTTTAACTCATAAACTTATACAAAACGATGAATGGTAATGCAAGTAATGCCTATAAACTTAATTACTTATTTGTACTTCAAAAAATGGCAACAAATCTTAAGCTTTCCTAATATTGTGCAATATTTTGAAATATAGATACATTACATGAAAATATACAATAATTTCAGTATAGTCAGGTTGGCCGAGCGGTCTAAGGCGCCAGATTTAAGCTCTGGTTCCCGAGAGGGAGCGTGGGTTCGAACCCCACACCTGACAAAAACTTTTTGGAGCTTTCTCATATTGATAAAATATTCTGAACATAAATAGCATACTCTTACATCTTTGTAATTCAATAGTTTCATTTTTTAACTCTATCTTATTTCACAAAATTGCGCAATATTATATACGATTGTGCAATAATATAATAGTAACATTTAGTAGATAATTCTCTGGATTTTAACTCATAAACTTATACAAAACGATGAATGGTAATGCAAGTAATGCCTATAAACTTAATTACTTATTTGTACTCCAAAAAAGGCAACAAATCTTAAACCTTTTTAATATTGTGCAATATTTTGAAATGTAGATACATTACATGAAAATATACAATAATTTCAGTATAGTCAGGTTGGCCGAGCGGTCTAAGGCGCCAGATTTAAGCTCTGGTTCCCGAGAGGGAGCGTGGGTTCGAACCCCACACCTGACAAACCTTTTTTCAGCTTTTAAATGTTGAATAAAATGTTTTGTATTTTATAAACATAACTTATTTTATAAAATTCAGGATAAATGAATTTGTGATTTCGATAATTATATTTAGATACCCTTCGAACTAAATATCGAAACATATATAAATATTTTTGTAAATTTATTTGAAATTTTTATTATAACCTGTCGTTTCTTAAGTTCTTAAATGTGATTTTATTAATATAAATATTATGGTTACCTGTTATTGATTTTTTTAGTTCAGCAAATTCCTCATCGTCAAAACCAACAATTAAGAATTTTAAATGCTCAAAAATTCGGCTAACTTCAGTCTCAGCGTCTTGAGTAACTGACATTGAAGACTGTTGGGTAGACATTTCCGTTGGTTGAAACTGTGGTGTAGACTTGGGGGGTTCGTGAACTTCCTTAATTAAATTTGTGTTATCAATTCCGTCTAATAATCTACCCAAAGTATCAGATTCTAAAATATAAATGATATATAAATAAAAAATTCGATCTTAGGATGGTTTGGTAATATTATTATTTGTGTTTCGTTATATGCCACCTACGTTTAAGGATTTTGCAAGAGTTTGTTAATTGTTTATACAAAAAAGTGACAGGACATCCACGTCCACTTGCGCAGCACCGTTGATAATATTCAACTGAAGAATCGCAGACTGCTAAGTTCCAAAAAATAGTAGGAGAGAAAGTCGAAATAAGAAATTGTGGGAATATTCAAAATATACATAGAGACATACAGGGTGATTGATTAGTGTGATAAAGCTCAGTAGATCCGATATAATAATAGGCAGCAATTGGAGATATCAACAAAAACTTGGTAGGCAACTTTGAGGTTCACATTACAATATTAATTAGAATATTACAGGGTGCTCGATAACATAGTGTCAGACCAAACTTATGTTTTTTTAAATGAAACAGCCTGTATTTTATTTTATATTCGAAATTTCCTTCATTTCCCCATCACAAAAATATAAAGTTTTGTTATATTATACACAAACTAGTACTAGCAAAAAGAAAAATTTAATATAGAATTACTGTGGAACGATTCTACAAGAGAAATGTACCAAAGGAAGCTAGCACAGCAGATACAGCTAAAACAAATAGACGACATCAAAGATATAAACGCGAGATGGGAGAAAATTAAAAACAACATTGAACAACAGAAGGAGCAACAGAACTATTTTCATAAAAAAATAGTTAGGGAAGTCATGGTGCATAAAAATAGAGGCAAAATTGATGATAATGAAAAAATATAAAATGCGTCTAAAAAGACTTTTTTTTAAAGTGCCTACTAATAAATAAACATGTCTTTTATATTTTTTAAAGAAAGATTGGGGCATTAAAGAGAAATAATGGTTTATAAAGAATACAAATCCGAAATCAAACGATAATTTTGGAAAAAATCTTGTCATAAAATAAGTTAAAATAAACATCATACAACATTTTTATAAATTAGACTACATTTAAGTTTACCTTACCATTTGGTGGTGCCATATTTTGTGGAGTAAAGTCATTATCCATTTCTTCTTCGTTCATATTATTCATTTCTATTTCTTTTTCAGTAACTGTTCTATTTGATCTGAGTAAACTTAATCCCTGGAAGAAATTAAGGAAAGATGAAGGTAAATACATTTAAATTTTAAATTTTTTTTTTATAAAAGTATTAACAGTATACAGCAATGGTTCTCAACCTGGGGGGCGTGAGAATTTCAGGGGAGGCGTGAGGGTACAAAAAAAAATTAAAATTAATAAATATATATTTTGTTAAAAAACAAAATATTTTGTATTTCGTATTTATATTTTGTTTAGAACACAATTAGAAAACGATTGTGGACTTTTCAAGATTTTTTGAGTTTTAGTAAATATAGTGGTTCTTTTTTCACCAATATTTGTTGTTCTGTTTTTTAGACTGCATCCTTATCATGTAGTTCTCCACCAAGCATTACATGGAAGAACAAGAACAACCGGATATCATGTCAGAGATTTTGTGGACAGACGAGGCTACGTTTAATAGTGCGGATGGTGTTCACCTGCATTATTGGGCTGAAGAAAATCCGCACTGGATACATGAAGTGCAGATTCAAGGTAGATGGAGTCTTAATGTTTGGTGTGGCATAGTTGATGGAAAGATCGTAGGTCCATATTTCTTTGATAGAACTTTAAATGGCGAAACATATTTGGATTTTCTGGAAAATCAGTTGCCTGTTTTATTGAAAGATATTTCCTTACAAACAAGAAGAGCTATGATATTACAACATGACGGGTGTCCTGAGCACTTTTTCAGACGAGTTCGAGATTATTTGTATGCAAGTTATCCAAATAAATGAATTGGAAGGGGAAGTATATTTTCAAGGCCGGATAGAGCTCCAGACTTAACATGTCTGGACTTTTATCTGTATGGAAGAATGAAGGACTTAGTGTACCAAACTCGACCAACCACGCGAGACGACATGAAACAGCGCATTATAAACGCAATAAATAGTATATCAACAGCTGAGATTGAAGCAGCTGTTATGTCTATATATATATATTCGGTTTTATAACGTCTTACGACGTTGTCCGACTCCCAACCGCCACTGTATTCGGTCTTGAGTTAGGTCTTCGTCCAGATTTCGAGCGCTAATCGCTTTCCTAACTCCCAGGTTCCAGCTCTGTGGTGGTCTTCCTCGTTTCCTCTTCTCTGGGGGTTGCCACATCATCGTTTTTTTAGGCAATCTTTCGTCCCCCATTCGGCTCACATGTCCATACCATACGAGCTGTTTTCTCTCAATATCCTCAACTATAGTGCCCTCTATACCCATTTGTTGTTTTATTACTTCATTTCGTATTCTGTCGGCTCTTGATATTCTCATCGATCTTCTGATGGCATCCATTTCCGTGGCTTCGACCTTTTTCTTATATTTCTCGGTTATTCTCCATGTCTCAGCTCCATAAAGTAGGCTAGTTTTAACCATTGTCTCATAGATGTTCCATTTTCTTTTCTTTGATATTTCTTTACTCCATAGAACTCCGTTCAAACATGCTATAGCTCTGCGTGCTTGTACAATTCGATGTTCTATTTCTCGTTCGTCTTTTCCACTACGGTCGAAGATGACGCCCAGGTATTTATATTCGTCACATGGATTTACTTTTTGATTGTCATCGATATCGAGTTGTTCTGCTTCAGCTCCAATTGAGAGGTATTTTGTCTTTTCTAAATTGATATTTAATCCCCATTTCTGGTATTCTTCAATTAGTTTTCTAAGCATGTATTCCATGTCGTCTTTGTCATTTGAGATCACCACCTGATCATCTGCAAACTGTAAAGTATATATGTAATCCTGATCGTTCAATTGTATACCCATTCCTTTGACTTTCCTTTTCCATTGTTTCAGAGCTGCAGAGATATAAATCTTAAACAGAGTCGGAGAGATACAACATCCTTGTCTGAGACCCTTAGTAACTGCAAATTTTTCAGCTAAGAGATTTCCGAATTTCATTTGGGAGTTTGAACCATAATATAGATCTTTGAGAGCACTAACCAATGTTTGATGTATATTTGATGTGCCCAGGACTTCCCATAGTTTATTTAGCGGGACTGTGTCATATGCCTTCTCAAGATCTACAAAAGTCATATGTAACTCTCTATTTGTCACAACTTTCTTTTCTATAATTTGTTTAAGACAGAAGATGTTATCTGTACATGAACGACCTGCTCTAAATCCTCCTTGTTCTTCGTCTTCAGACGATTGATAATCTTCCTCTATCAGGTCCCGTAGTATTCGACCGTATAGTCGACTCATTGAACTTGTGACCGATATCCCTCTATAGTTTTTACAATTTCTCCTGTCACCTTTTTTATATATTGGGGTCATATATGCTGTTTTCCATTCATCTGGTGTTGGATGTCCATTAATATATTCGTTAAATATCACCGTGATCATTCTGTGTAATTTCTCTGAGCCATTCTTTATTAATTCCGTAGTTACTCCCTCTGGTCCACTTGCTTTCCCATTCTTCATCCCTGCTATAGCTTTTTGAACTGTGTTGATGTCTATGGTAATATGCTCTCCCAGAATTTCGATTCTTGATGAATTCATATCTTCTTTAAATTCGTCTCTGTTCTCATTTAATAGATGTTTGTAATAGTGTGTCCAATCCTCGGGATTTATGGGATTTAGAATCACTTTCTCGTTAGTCGGCTTCTTAACAGAGTTTATAAACTTCCACGCCTCAGTGCATTGTCGTCCTCCAATATAAGATTCTATCTCTCTGCATCTTCTGTCCCATGTCTCATTTTTGGAGGTCATAATTATCTTTCTAGCTTTCTTCTTCATTTCATTGTATCGGTCTTTGTCTGCGTCATCTTTTGTATTCAACCACTTATGGTATAATCTTTTCTTTTCTGTTACCGCATTTTCGACGTCTTCATTCCACCAAAGCTTGTTACTAATTTTATTTTGTTTGATTCCTAAGACCTCCTGTGCTGTTTGATGAATAATTGATATTATGTTCTCATATATGCATTTGGTATTTGTTAGTGTTTCGTCAAGTTTGGTGTCCATTCGAGTCTTATATAGTGTACGGGTGCTCTCATGAATTAAACTGGACAGATTGTATTGAGGAAGATCAATTCTTTCTAAAAGTTGTTCGTCTTGGCTTGATGAGACACTGTCCTTTAATCTATATGGGAAAACAATTTTTTCCCTGACCATGTGGTGATCTGATCCGCATACTGCTCCTCTCATAGCTCTAATATCTCTAATGAGTATTTGTGAATTTTGTTTAACTACTGTTATGTCTACGCTATGCTGTTATGTCTACGCGCGAAAAATTACATGTTTGTGTGGACAACGATGGTAAACAATTTGAACATTTAATTGGACATTAAGTTTTATTGATCGAGATATTTGTATGATCTTTCACATATTTAATTTTAAGTTATAATAAAGGGTGAGTCAATACTATACTTACTTATGTTTATGCGTTTTTATTCATATCTCAAGTTCGACAAAAGCTATCAACATGAGGTTTGCGCCATTTTGTTACGAATTTATTCCAGTTCCATTATAATGTACAATAAATAGGTGTTTCCTTTAAACATTTTAAAGAAAAACAAATTTTAATTTTTTCTATTCAAAAGTACCCTCTACCTATGACAATTAAAACTAAATATAATTATTTGCAGTAGATGTAAATTAAATCATCCACACTCTTTCTAATGACACTAATTTCGTTAAAATCGGTTGATCCAAATCAAAGTTATAGGTATTTATCCACAAATTCTTTCCTTCTCTACCCCACCCTTTATTTGAAAAAATAAAAAAAATACTTAACAACTTTGTGCGGAATTTAGGCCTCTTTCTAGTTTACTTATTTAACACTAGGTATAATAGGGCATATTTCCCAAAAAACTAGTTTTCAAATTTTTGTTCACAGGTTACGCCCCCTAGCGGTTAACCCAGAAACTTGAAAGCTATTTCCAGCGATTTCTATTGGCCACTTTTACTAAAGAATTTTTTCTCCTAAAGTTATAACATGAATAGTTTCTTATATATAGTCGAGAGATCGGCTTATTGGACCACCCGGTAATGGTAGAAAAGTGTAATTTGTATATAAAAACTATTATAACTCAAAAAAGGTGCATAATAGGTATAGGGAAGTATTAAAAAAGTTCAGAATAACGTGAATAGTTCTAAAATTAAAAAATATACAGGGTGTTCCATTAAAAAACGAAGTTATAAGCAACTTTCGGTATAACTAATATAGAAACTAATAAGTTATACAGTAAGTACAGGGTGTTTCAAAAAAAGGTAACCCCGTCTGTAGGGTAGGTAAAAAACTGAAAAATAATTGGGGTTTGCTTAGTAAAAAATTTTTGTAACGCCATCCGTTTTCAAGATACAGGGCGTTGAAGAAAAAAAATTTTACGCATTTTTTATGATTTTGCCGAAACTACTGGCAACATTGTAATGAAATTTTATACGAATATGTTTTGGAAGCTGATACATCCCATGAATTTGTTTTTATATCTGATTCTCATAGAGGGCGCTAGTTACACGGATCGTACTAAGTATTAGTCAATATAACTTTTTTAAGAGTATAATTATTAATCAAAATTCCAAGTAAACTTAAACATCATTCAATTTTACACGAAAAAGGTACTCTTCTATTCTTTTTTCTAAAGATTCCATTAACCTTCTAAACGGTAGGGGATTACCTATGATGTCATTAAATTGACGTTGAATTCTTTCTTCCAATTCTTGGCGTGAATTTACCTCTGTAGCATAGACTTTTTCCGTAATATACGACCAAACTGCGTAGTCCAAAGGGTTAAAATCGCATGACCGAGGAGAACAATGAATCGGAGCTTCTGTACCTCTACCAATCCATCGATTCGGAAAATGATTACTCAACCAATTACGACACCTTCTATCAAAGTGTGGTGGAGCTCCATCGTGCATAAAAAATAAAGATCTTCGCCCGTTTAGCGTTAAATCTTCTAATATCTCGAATAAGGAATTGTATAAAAAATCACCATTTACATATCACCATTTAAATTTCCAGGTAGAATATGATAACCTATTAATTTGTTACCTAAAGTTGCTGTCCAAACATTAACTTTAAATGAGTGTTGGTAATGTGATACCCTTTTGACTCGTGTATTCTCATCACACCAGTAGTGTGCATTATGGGAGTTAAACATACCTTGCCGCGTAAAGGTGGCCTCGTCCGTAAAAAGAATGCATTTTAAAAAATTTTGATTGTGGGCTGTCCTTTGTTGCAATGTTTCACAAAAATCCACTCTAACCGGTAGATCATCTGGCAAGAGCTCTTACATTTGTCTGTAATGATAAGGATGTAATTGCTGTTCTTTCAGTATCCGCCAAGTACTTGAAGAAGAAGTATTTGTTTGTCTTGCTATATTCCTTACGCTAACTGTTGGATCTTGATCACGTAAATTTCAAATATTATTTTCTTTATTAATTGTTCTTGTTGTTCTTGGTCTACCAGAATTTATTTTATTTGGTCTCACATTCCCAGTTTCTCGACAACGTCGTTCAACGGCTCTAAATGTTTTTTTACTTGGTAAGTTTCTTCTAGGAAACTTTTCTGCATAACGTGTCACAGCTGCACTAGAACATCCTAAACATTGGCCTACGGTTAATAGCATGTCAGTGTATTCAACATTTTAGTACATTTTGATTTGATTTTACAAATAACAAGATTTCAAAACTCTAATTATTGTTGATTTATCGTCATAACAATCAATAAATGTCAGATTTCCATGGCACACTTGGAGAAAATAGAGGTATACCTATTAGAACTTTATCATTACTACCAGCATCAATTATTACTTCATAATTTTAAAATCAAAATATTGCGAAAACGGTACATAATATCGAGTTTTACCAAGAGTACCTTTTTCGTGTAAAATCGAATGATGTTTAAGTTTACTTGAAATTTTGATTAATAATTATACTCTTAAAAAAGTTATATTGACTAATATTTAGTACGATCCGTGTAACTAGCTCCCTCTATGAGAATTAGATATAAAAACAAATTCATGGGATGTATCAGCTTCCACAACATATTCGTATAAAATTTCATTACAATGTTGCCAGTAGTTTCGGCAAAACCGTAAAAAATGCGTAACATTTTTTTTCTTCAATGCCTTGTATCTTGAAAACGGATGGCGTTACAAAATTTTTTTACTTAGCAAACCCCAATTATTTTTCAGTTTTTTACCTATCCTAGAAACGGGGTTACCTTTTTTAGAAACACCCTGTGTAAAAACAGTCAACAGTATCGATTCATTTTCGATGACTTCTTTTTTTTATGACAAAACAATGAAAAGAATATGTATTAAAATAATATTCTACTTACTTTCTTACTAAGTGGTGATCCCAAATTCCCATCTACGTCTACAGTTACAACTAAATATTTGTCTTCATTAACAGGTTGTTTTTGCTCCATACTATCTATTAACCATTGCAGAGATACCAGTACAGCTGACGAATTTTTATTCTTAATGATAGCAACTTCATGGGAGTTACTATCACCAACTATGACATGAGTCACTCTGTCTGAAAAAGTGTCATATCGAGTGGCACCGCTCAAATTTATAATTTTGTTGAGTTTGTCAATGTGCTCAGAACCGAAACCAGTTAAATAAACCTATAAGAAAAGTCTTAACATTATTGTTCTGAAAAAAGTTGAATTTAATTGAAATTGAATCATTTTGTAAATGAAAAATTTCTAAAATATATATTCAAAATACGTTTGAAAATGAAACATGAATAGGTGTAAGTTAATTCGAAAATAAAAAAAAATGCCACTCTGATACAACTGTTAGTCAAGTCAAGTCAAGTCAAATTTATTGATCATAGCGACATTATACAAAGTACATGTATGAGACAAGTCAAAAATACAGACATAAATCTTAAAATTATATAAATTAATTAAACACGATAAAACATACTTAAAAAATATTTTTAGAATATGGCTCTAGCTCACAAATGTATTGATGTACACACCTCCAAAAGTTTGGCTGATGTAAATTCATTCGTATATCTATTGGTAATTTGTTAAAGAAACTTATGGCTGCATAATGTGTGCTACCTTCTAACAAAACAGAACGATGTTGTGGAAGCATAAAGTGTTTGTCTCTGAATCTTGTTGAATAAACATGGTTAAATTGAAATTTATTAAATTCATAAATTTTGCTATGCAAATACATTATACACGAAAATATATACAGACCAGGAATTGTCAGAATATTGTTTTGTCTAAAGATGCCTCTACAAGAATCACTAAATTTCATTTTATACTTTATCCTAATAGCTCTTTTCTGACGTACGAATATCTGCTCTAATTCAGAGGTACAACCCCAGACTTCAATTCCATATTTGGCTATTGAGTAAAAATGGGCAAAGTAGACTGTTTTTAATATTGATGTATGAAAGAAACGTGAAAGAATTCTTAATGCATAACATGCGCTACTTATTCTGGATTTCAAATTAGAAATGTGGTTTGACCATTTACAATTACTGCCTAGAAGTACCCCCAGCAACTTCGTGCAGTCTGTTTTATCTATTGCTGCTTCTATAGTGGCTTGATGGTTTAATAAATTATTTGACGTGAAAATCATATACTTTGATTTCTCTTCATTCAAAACTAATTTGTTGGATAAGAAATAACTTTTGATGGTGGATAGTATCTGTGAAGTTTTATTTTGCAAATTTTGATCAGACGTTCCTATGACTAGAATGTTGGTATCATCCGCATAACTGATAATGTTAACCCCAGTCAGTGAATTAGTTACCAAAGTTATATCATTAATAAATACTATAAAAAGTAGAGGACCCAATACACTACCCTGAGGGATACCATAATGGATATCCAATGTGTTTGATTCGTTTACAAGTCCATTAGATGTTATCTTTACTTTTTGTCTTCTATTCTCTAGGTAGGAAGTAAACCATTTTAGAACTATACCACGAATACCAATCCCCTCAAGTTTTATTAGCAACAAATTATGATCCAAAGTGTCAAAAGCCTTAGACAAATCGAGAAATAAATCACATGCCTTCTCTCGTCTGTCCAAAGCATCCAACACTAAGCTGACGAAATTTGCAAGAGCTGTAGTTGTAGACTTAGAAGATGTAAAACCATGTTGAAAATTATGCAAGACACTATGCTTTTTCAGAAATCCGTTCATTCTAGTATAAACTAGAGTTTCAATTATCTTTGAAAACACAGATAAAAGACTTATGGGACGATAGTTGTTAAGGTCATCTTTATCACCACTTTTGAATAAAGGGATTACAATAGATAGTTTAAACATACTAGGAAATATTCCTTGTTGAAAAGAGGCATTACAAATATCCGTCAGTGGATCTGCGAGAGCATGAATGCATTGTTTTAATAACTTAGGGGAAATCTGATCAAAACCACAACTATGTTTGGATTTAAAACTTCCGACTATACTAGTTATTTCCTGTGGGTTAGTTGGATATAAAAACATAGAAGAACTATTACGGTTTTTTGATGCTGATGTAAACCCATCTATTTTAGTAGGATCCAAAGCGGCAAGTAGCTTTGGAGCCATTTCAACAAAATGTTGGTTAAATTTGTCTGCTAAATTACTGTTATCATCACTAGGTACTTTTGAGTTATTTTGTTTCCCGATTAGCAGAGCATGCGACACTTAGGCGTGGGAAAATGTTGTACGTCAATAGAATTGTAAGCTCATCCCATTCTGAAGTCACACATAAATTCAAGGGAATCTGCATTTTTCTTAGGGTGCCTTCCTGTGATGACTTTGTTGGTGGCTATGCGAAATAGCTGTGTTGAGGTCTTTCTATACCATGCTCTCAAGTTACTGGGGCCCTTTTCCATTCAATTTTACCTTGCAAAATGCATTGGAGTAGCTCATATCTGCCTTGACGATATTAACCAAATCCACGGTTGTGTTCATCTTCCGTAATACTTCTTCATTGAAGAAGTTTTTGAAGAAAATGATAATTTCTATAATTGAAGGGAACATTGGCATTAATAGTGGGAAGAGATGTAATTATATTTTCTGCAGTTGTAGTAAAAAATTGATTTATTTCGTCTGGAAATAGATCATGTTATACCGAACTGCATCTTGTGTTGTTGCTTTGGAAATTTACTATTTTCCAGCAGTCTCTAGGTTTATTATTGGAATTAGTAATAAAATCACAGTAAGTTGACTTTTTAGCACTTTGTAATTGCCGTTCACCTCAAAGAGGTGAACGGCTAATAGAATTCTGCCAAGAAAATGACTTCGCCATTACAAATACCTGGTTTCAACTTCCAGAAAGACGTCTTTACACGTGGAAATCCCCTCAAGATGGACATCAAGGCAGAATAGTACGAAATCAAATAGACTACATCCTAATAAACCACCGATTTCGAAACAATATTAAAGATGTAAAAACTTACCCCGGCGCTGACATAAACTCAAATCACAATTTACTCTGCTCCAAAATACAAATTAAATTGAAGAAATTAACAAAGCCAACTAAGTCTTGTAAGATATATCTCGACCCCCTGAAAAACCCTCAAACGCGCGAACACATAACACAGCAAATAAATAGTAAAATACACAGAATATCAAATATACCAAACGAAAACAGAACCATTAACGAATGCTGGTATGCCATTCAAAACTCGATTTTAGAGAACGTACAAGAGTCTTTGAAAACACCTACCATGTTGGCAAAAAATGAGTGGATGACACAAGAAATTCTAGATCTGATGGAAGTTCGACGGCAACACAAAAATAGAAATATTATCGAATATCGTGAAATTAATAAACGCATAAAAAGAAAAATTAAGCAAGCCAAAGAATCCTGGCTTGAGAATTTATGTAAAGAAATAGAAGACCTCCACAAAAAGCATGACAGCTTCAACCTGCATAAGAAACTTAAATATACAGCCGGAATTAGAAAACAGAAAAATGCTCACATACTTAAAAGCGCGGACGGAAATATTTGTGATCACGAACAACAGTGCAAAGAATGGGAGAGATACATCACTGACCTTTTTGAGGATGCTTCAAGGGAAAATGCTCCAAATACTGCATATGACAACAATTTGGACAGAGGTCCCAATATACTGAATTCGGAAGTCGAAAAGGCAATACAGCAAGCCAAAAACAATAAAGCACCTGGACCAGATCAAATCCCTGCCGAACTACTTAAACTTTTGGATGAGGAAAGCATTGCCTGCTTAACCACTTTCTTCAACAAAATTTACAACGAAGGAAAAATACCAGATGATTGGTTAGAGTCACTGTTTATAACATTACCAAAGAAAAGCAGGCCCAACAAATGCAGCGATTTTAGACTAATCAGTTTGATGAGTCACACACTGAAGATACTCTTACGAATTATACAAAACCGAGTATTCCTTCTATGCGAAAGTAAGATGGGTGATAAGCAATTTGGATTTAGAAACGGTCTAGGAACTAGAGAGGCACTATTCTGTATGCGCGTTCTATTACAAAAAAGTTGTGAATTCCGAAAGAATGTTTATGTTTGTTTCATCGACTTCGAGAAGGCGTTCGACAGAGTCCAACACAATACACTTTTTGACTGCCTACGGACAGCAGGACTTGACCACTATGATATAAGACTGCTGAAATACTTATATTACAATCAAGTAGCCTCTATCCAAATTGGAGACAGTCCCACTGAAAAAATACCCATCAAACGTGGAGTACGGCAGGGTTGTGTTTTGTCACCCACTCTTTTTAATCTGTACTCTGAAGAAATCTTTAGGGAGGCTTTGGATGACAGACAAGAGGGAGTAAGACTAGGTGGAGAAGTAATCAACAATATTAGATACGCTGACGATACAGCCATTCTTGCAGAAAGTTTACAAGATCTCCAAACATTACTAAATCTAGTCAGTGAAGCAAGTTATCGGAGAGGCCTAAAAATCAACATTTCAAAGACAAAGTGGATGGCAGTTGGAAAGATCCATATAGATCAAGGTCTGCTTTCTCTTAATGGAGAACAGATAGAAAGGGTAAATCATTTCAAATACCTTGGCAGCTGGTTAAATGTAAATTGTGACTCTGATGAAGAGATAATATCCAGGATCGAAATATCACGTAAGGCTTTTATGACCTGGAAACCAGTTTTATGCAACAGAAACCTGTCAATGAACATTCGTAAGAAGGTCCTGAAATGTTATGTGTGGTCGATCCTATTGTATGGTTGTGAGACATGGACGTTCAAAACCACAATGCTAAACAAGTTAGAAGCATTCGAAATGTGGTGCTATAGACGAATCCTAAAGATATCGTGGGTTTCGCACACTTCCAATGAAGATGTTCTTCAAATGATCAACTCAGAACGTCTGCTCATAAACACCATAAAGAGGAGAAAAACAGAATACTTCGGCCATATAATTAGAGGACCCAAATACCATTTACTTCGCCTTATAATACAAGGAAAAGTGGAAGGAAAGAGATGGATTGGTCGAAAGAAACTTTCATGGCTGCGTAATATTAGACAATGGTGTGGTTTCTTAGTAGAAGAATTATTTCGCGCAGCAGCCGACAGAGAAAGGTTTCAGGAAATTGTAAACATGATGATGGCCAACGTCTGAATACGGACACGGCACCCAAAGAAGAAGAATTGCCGATTATATTCAAAATTTTGTTGTTTATATACTGTGAACAAATCGAGATCCTTAGTGGCATCTGCAATGATTAATTACTAAATCTATACTAGGCTATGTGGACAATTGATATTAACTGTTAAGAATAGGTATAAAAAAGCAGGGTAAGAATATTAAATGACCAAAGGTTGCAAGGTATATTAAATGCTTTATTGGCTATATAGCTATATATAAAATAATAGCAGCCAAAAAGAATACAATGCCAAAGAAAAATAAAACATTTTTAGCCTTATTGGCTAATGAAATATTAAATTAACTATTAAACATACAACATAAATATATACCTATAAAATACTTACCGAACATCCATCTAAATACTCTCCTGATTTTTTGGCTTTTTTAATATCTAAGCTTTCAATTAACTCGTCGAAATTATCTTTAGCTAGAAATAACAAAAATATTTTTTGTTAACAATGAATATTAATAGTGATTCGAGTTTTAAAAATAGGAGATACTTTCTGGAAGGAAAGTATCTCATATTTTTCACTTTGGATAAAATTAGAAAGAGATCCCTGATCTTCATTGGTATATTAATGCACTACAACACAAAATTACTGGTGATAAACCCACAACTACCATGATAGCGAGTGTGATTGCTTGGAGGATGAGCCAAAAAATGTTCACATCTAAATTTGGTGTACTCATTTTTTTTCGTTTTAGTAGGTACCGTTTAATATTTTTTATTTCTAAGATATTGTTAGTTTGACAAAAATTAATATTTGTCACCTTTTTTTAAAAACGCGATATCTCCAACAGACACATGGCTATACAGATTGAACCAAATTAAAAAGGAACATACAATTTAATACATGTCTGTTTGAACTGCATTTAAAATAGTGGACCAATATAAAACTTGGACAAAAATAAATCCATACCTGGGTATAGACATTGTATAAAATATCGTTCAACTATCTGTCTCGCAACAAAGTTATTTGCGTAAGACGGGTTTGTCTAAGGAGGCGATAATAGTTCAGGAATTGAAGCTCGAAAAAAGTTAAAACCTCGCAATTTTTATGTGTACCTGCATGTATCCAGTTGAAATTTTAGCAGAAGGTAGGTAATAGCCCAAGGATCAAAATCTATATCGAACCGAAGTGCGCTGAAGGGTTTTAGGGGTGAAGACTACCCCTAATTGTCAAAAATTATAAAATAACATATTAAACCTGAATATGGGTAAGATTTGGTTTGAATTAATTAAATAATGAATATTTTATACTTTTGCATAGAGTTCCATCATATTTCAACCCTTAAAAAGCAACCCTTGTTAGAGATTATTGTAAAAAATTACTAATTCTAAAAAAATGATTTCGCCTTGGATCGATTTGGATAAAAATTTGGATTTAAGCTCAATTCACCCGCTGCTTTATAGTTTATGTCATGTCGACGAACCCTGATTGTTCTTAGGGGTGAAAACTACCCCTAATTGTCAAAAATTATAAAACAACATATTAAACCTGAATATGGGTAAAATTTGGTTTGAATTAATTAAATAATGATAGTTTCATATAAAGTTCCATCATATTTCAACCCTTAAAAAGCGACCCTCATTAGAGATTAATATAAAAAATTAGTAATGCGAAGAAAATGATTTCACCTTGGAACGACTTGCATAAAAATTTGGAATTAAGCTCAACTCACCCTCTGCTTTATAGTTTATGTCATGCCGATGAACCCTGATTGTTCTTAGGTGTGAAAACTACCCCTAATTTTCAAAAATTGTAAAATAATATTACAAATCCTAAGATGAGTGAAATTTGGTTTGGATTAGTTAAATAGTGAGTTTTTTATACTTTAAAATACAAATTCATACATTTTCAACCCTTAAAAATCAATTGTTATGAGTGCTATAGGTGAAAACAATTTTTTGCCAAAATTTTGCAACTTTTCAACTTTTGAAAATCACCCTTTACAACATTGCAGTTTTTATAAACTAATTTATAAGATATAAATTGAAAAAAGTAGAATTAAATACAAAAAAAATTATCAACATAAAAAGGCACCATATATTCTTATACATTTACATAAATAGTTGAAAATATTTACATTTATAGGTAAAACAATTATAATATTAATTTTATTCGTCATCAATTACATCTTCATCGTGATCTATGTCATCATCATCTTCCTCAATTATTGGTGGACTGTTATTGCACCCTTCACCTGAGCACCCAGAACAAGTAGAGTTACAGTATAAACCAACTTTTCTGCACCCATATGAAACGCCGCATCCTTTTTTGCATTGGCAAAAAATAATTTTCAAAAATTTATCGGGTGCAGGTTGTTTGTTCATGCGTACGGGTAATAACAAACCATCTTTGGAAAACCATCCCCAATCTGTTGCTCTGATATTTTCATTGCCAAGCCATAGACATATGAGCAGATGTTTTATTCTGTTGTATGGGATTTCAAAATAAGAACGCTTAAAATTTCGAATGTATAACGCCCCACTAGCTAATATACCGGTTTTGTAGATTATTATGCTCCGAAATGTACTGTACTATACTAATGGAATTTTCCGGAAAAAAATTAACTGGTTTTTTTAACGTATTTCCTTTAATTTTTAACGATAGACGTTTCTTCAAAAACGATTTGTAGAGGTTTTTAATAGCTACAAGGATCTGTGAATTAAATCTTTTTGGAACCCTTGGTTTTTAAATGGGGTGAGTTTAAAGGGCTCGAAAAAGATGGTTCTTGATCGTAAATCGATGCTTTACACGGCTATATCTCGCCAAATATTCATTGTACAACAAATCTAAATAAAGGATAATTTTAGTCATTAAAAAAGCTACAATTTGGTAATTTTTATTTTTTTCATATATTCAGTATTTTCGGGGATATTTAAAAAAAGAAGGGTAAAAAATATGAAATTGTAAATCGTTTCTCGCTTTAAGCTGTACTTTTTCTAAAACTAAGCATTTTAAATGGGTCAAACTTCTTGGACGTATTAACAATACATCTACAAAGGGAACTGCAGAAGGGTGAAGATCGATTTTAATTATGGGGGTGGTTAGGGTGTTGTTTTCCTCGATTTTTTCGTAAAAAATGAGGTATTGACCTTATTTTTTTATGATAGGTCTATTTATGCTCTTTAAAAAAGGTTTTGTGAGTTTTCTTCCAAAAATGCATCATTTTCCCGATATTTGACTTTGAATCTTTCAAATTTGACATTTAAAGAAAACCGCTGAACATTGATATTGTATTTGTAATTGTATTTGTCTTTTTAAAAGCTACAAATTTGTTCTCTACAATTTTTTTGATAAAATGCACCATTTTCGAGTTATTCGCGAAAAATCGATTAAAAACGTGGATTTTTTTCGTCTAAAAGTTGTTACTTTCAATCGCGAATAACTTGAAAAATATCATTTTATAAAAAAATGTATAGCACATTTTTTGTTTAGAATCACTTTTCTAATCGAAACCTGTGGTTAAAACGTAAAAAAATTTTTCACCCCGGAGATGGGGTGGCAACCACCCCCTAGGCTTTGGCGCACTTTGGTTCGATATAGATTTTGATCCTTAGGCTATTACCTACCTTCTGTTAAATTTCAAGTCAATCCACGCCGCACGAAAAAATTGCGAGGTGAAATGCTACATTTCCTGGACTATAACTGGTTTGACAGCATAATAAAATCGTAGATTTATGTGTAGCTTTCAATTTTTATGAGTTCAGAATCCAGCAGCCCCGTGAAGTATGGGATTTTCTATAATATAATTATTTGACAATCTTTTGTTGGCCAACCAGCTACAGCAGCATTGAGCCGAAATACATTATATTCCTATGTTCCGAATTTATTTCGTTCAATCTGTATGTTGTTATTGCAAATCAATAAAACTTATGTTAATTAACGTTCTATTTCTCTAAATCTAACCTCAATTGATTACGTTCTCTGAAATTACGAAAATGTTAGTACAATAGCTGCAGGAGACGTAATCCTGCGAATTTTTGAAAAGTGAATTACGCAGTTTTCTAAAAAAGCTCCTCAATCAATCTACACTACATACCTTTTCTTTTATTGTTTGAAACTCTTTCTCCATCTAATGATGTCATACTAAGTGTTTCTTCGATATGAGTTCTCGAAGAGGTATTAAATCCTCCAATAGCACTCAATACTGAAAATTCAGGATTGACGTATTTATCTCTTTTGGTAGGTGTCGAAGTCATTTTCTGAACTTTATATAAATCATGAGGAAGAGCATAACCTTTGACCACACTGTCTGTAACCCAGTTGACGTTGACGCATTTGATATGTGCACACTGACGGGCAGCTTTGTACTTTTCACTCTTCACACTAAAAACAAAAAATCTTTATATACAAAAAGCTCGTGCTGAACCTTTGAGGTCAAATGTCACGTTTTATGTCAAATGTTACGTGTTAGTCAAAGTGGCTTTCTATCTACTACTATTCGTCAATAACTACAGTGTTGAATATTACCTTTTTGACTTAATTTAAAAAAAAAATATTTGTTAAAATTATAATCCTCGCCCAACTTCACACTGACATCAAGCAATAAATATCATGTCATTCATCATGGTGACTATGCATCTATTGATCCCTATAGGTAACTGATTTCGATTTTTCGATGGAACTACATTATAAAATAAAAATATATCGTAACACTTACACATCTCCAGAACATACTAATATGTCTGTCGTTGCTAAAGTAAGTTTTCCGCTAAAGTTTCCTCCATTTTCACTGACCAGTTTCTCAATTTTATGTTTCTCCGCTAAATTCGTAATCCCGGTCGAACTTATTGTGAGATTATGAAATGGTAGGCATTTATGTTTTTGAAAATCTTCATCGTCAGCGTGGACGTTAGCGGTTTGACTAGCAGCCCAAACATCATCTATCCAAGTTGGACACATCAGTTTTAAGCCAGTTTCGGCAGCAATCTAAAATTAGATACAGTTTAAAACGTTTAATTCTCTTTATAAAAACATTACTAGAAGCAAAGCATTACTTTTATCATTAAGTTTATACCTATATGGGGTATCATATAACGAAAGCGATCAATTATTTAAAAAGAAAATAAAAGAAACTAAAGGGAGGATGTTACATGAGCAGTGACAAGAATTGGAAAAAACACTTCAAACTAAGCAACTAAGAAATGAAAGTGGTGCAGTTATAATAGATATCAAAGAGAAAATGCAGAGATGAACACAAGATAGCACAGCGTTGTGAAGGCAAAAACAGACACACCAAAAGAATTTAAAGATGATACTGGGTCTGACATTATACAAGAAGAAATCGAATGTGCAATGCAACAAGGTAAAAGTGGTAAATCTCCCGGGCCTGACAAAGTTCCCATCAAATTACTCAAAATTGTGGATATTAAATCTATTGGCCTTCTCCTGGATCTATTCAATACCATATTATATAGAACAGGTATAATACCTAAATATTGGCTCCACTCGACATTTATACTGCTTCCCAAAAAGCCAATGTAAAGGAGTGCAATGAACATCGCACCATAGCCTTAATGAGATGTCTTGAACTTCTTTTTAAAAGTAATTTACAATAGAATACATAAGAAATTAGATGAAAGCATAAGTAATACACAAATGGGATTTAGGAAAGGTCTGGGAACACTGGATGCACTGTTTGCAGTGAGTGTTCTTTTGCAGAGTTGCCTAGATCTTAATCAGGAAGTATATGCCTCTTTCATTGATTTTGAAAAGGCATTTGAAAGAGTGCAGCATAATCGTCTTAAAGAAATGGTGTTAAATAAAAACATAGACAGTAGAGATATTAGAATTATATGTAACTTTTATTGGAATCAAACAGCGAAAGTGAAAGTTGAAAATACACTGACTGAGGATACCCAGATTCGCTCTGGGGTTCGCCAAGGGTGTATTTTATCACCATTGTCTCTAGTGAGATCAAGTGGGATCCTTTTTTTATCTAAAGCTTCTCTCTTCATCTTATGGAAATTTAACATAATTGTCTTAATTTTCCAACCAGAAGAAGCCAGTGAGAGGCTGGCACAACCACACTAGTTTTGTCAGTTAAAGTAGTTATGCCAATAAAATATATCAACAAGTTGTTTAAAATTGATATAATGTGAAACAGAAAAAGAAATATTACTTACCAAATATTTTTCAGATTTAGCACTTCCAGTGACCAAATGAGTATTTTTCTCCACCAGATTATCCACATAACAACCTCCCATTAATTCAACTTTATTCCTAACCTCCATTTTATGGTTTTTAGTCAAATGTGAACAAGTAACTATACAATTATACATTGCAACGTTATACATAGGCCATTCATAGTTGGGTATTGCCTTTCCTTCCGTTAGGCAGATGGAAACAGCCCATGGTCCAACAATCCTACTACAAAAGTAGTTACTGTATCAAAGTATTAGGTATAATAATCATTTTTTAAATTAATGTTTGTGGAAAATATGTAACAAAAGGCAAAATAATTGCAGCTAAACATCAAATGCTAATATATATTGTAGATACTGATATACTGTATATAAAATGTTTCAAATCTAAAATCTTACAATATCCCAAAAGAACCAATCAGATTGTATATATGTAAGTCAGAATTTATACCATCAGTCAGTTTAATTTATATTTTGGATAGAAAAATGAGACAAAAGAAACATTTGTGCAAATTGGATTGAAGAATCCAAAAAAAGAGGAAAACATTTTTTTCTGCTCTGTACTAGGTTTTCCCAATCTTGAACCTTCAACAATTTCATTTTTCCAACTCCGTTTTCGTCAGCGACATATTTTTTTTTTTGTATCAGTCTGAGTGTTTATTAATTTTTTCATATAAGGCATATGCAAATGCCTGTAGCAGAGTCTAAATGTTTGTTTGGGATATATGACGCAGGTGTACACTCATGTCCCCCCAAACCAACCCTCCTGTCATATCCCATCCGAATATTTGCTGCAAATAGGTTGGTTCTGAACAACAATAAAACTAAACAAGTGATTTTCACAATGAGAGATGAGAGATATTGGTGATAGAAATGCTGGAGTTGTCGAGATTGGATTTTCAGTAGTTTTCTGGACCCAAAATTACAGTGGGGCCTCCAAATATTCATAACTTATCTGAAAAAAACTAAATAAAAATCTCTATATTTTGAGAAATCTTTCAAAATGTGTCTCACTGGAGACTATATGTACTATGTATCACTCCATAATTCACTTACATCTTTCATACCCTATTCTTTCTGGGGCCATGCAGCTGACACTCACAGAGAATTTGGTCTGCAGAGAGAGTGAGGGTCCTTGCTGGTTTTGAATTTAGGGAAGACTGCCATCAGGCTTATAAAATATTGGGAGTTCTTACTGTGTCAGCACAGTACATTCTAGAAAACCTTCGATTCATGAAGAGGAATACCAATCTTTATAGAAGTCACGAAGATCAGCATGGTTCCTATACTAGGCACAAATAGAATATAATACCAGCATATTGGCAGTCGAAAAGGTGTCAAAATGGACTAGGGTATTAGACAATAAAATGTAAATAGAAGAAACTTGCCTGAAAAGAAATTTGAAAATAAAATTAAAAAAATATTGATAACAAATTCCTTTTTCAATTCAATTCACAAATACTTACAACATAATTTTAACTGTAATTGATGTTTTGTAATTTTTTGATGTGTGTAGGATTTTATATTTTTAATATGAATAAACAGTATTGAGTAAAAAAGCAAAGTCCACCTCTTCCCATTTTCTACAACGTAGTTTATGGATGCTCCCTTTCGAGCAACAGCAACCTTTCAGAATAAAGTGTTAAGTAAATACGAGGTAAAATAAAAAGATTTTAATGGGTTACTACATTATGCACTTATTATAACATAATGTGGATAGTTAACTATAAGAAATAATATAATTTTAATTTGTAATACTTACGTGCTTCTCGTATCCCGCAGTTCTTCAAATAGAGGCCCTTCAAACTTTTCAAAAACCACAAAATCGGTTTTGTTTAAAGTCAAAGATTTAAATTTTGATTCCTTTATCCAGCTGACATTTGTGTTGACATTTTGTTTGCAAACCTTAAATACATTACAAAAATTCATATTTTCTATTCAACAATTTTTAAATTGTTATGTCTATAACAAATTCCTGCAATATTTTTATCAGCAACTCGTGTTTGACATTATCGAAGGCATGGCAATAGTTGATAAAACAAATAAAGAGTTCTCATAGTTGATTGTAGTATTTTTGAACCAAGAGTTTTAACAAGAACAGAGTCTTCCTAGTGTGTAACCCTTTAATAAAACCGAATTACTGAGAATACTAAATGATATTCTGTTATCATGGAGTAAATCTGTAGCATAAGTTTGCATACACAAAATGATTTTTCTGCAGTGAGCTTAAAGCGACCAAATTTTTGCTTCTTTATTTCAATCATTTGTTTGAGGTTTTTATGAAAGTTTAAACAATCATGTAAATTAGGAAAATTTCAAATGTTATACAGTTCCTTTTATCAATTTTTATTTTCTCCTTAATGTTTGCTAAATTTTTGGATATTGGTGCTTCCAAATTCATCCAAGGTATTTTCATTTTCTGGTCCGGTTTAAAAAAGTTTCTGTGTGGCAGAATATATATTTGTTTTAATCATCCTAGATTTGATTAGGATGATCTTCTAGTCCTGGTACTAAAGTATAGTAATAAGTCAAGGACTAATTGCAACACTCTACCTTTAATCCAAATTTGTGTGTTATTTTGACAGCTGTAATATACATAATGGGGTCTTCTGTACTTCTGTATTTCTTATATCCACTACACTTTCTGAAAAGCTGTAATATTGGCTTTGAATTTGGTTAGCTCATAACAAAATATACTTAACTTTTCACTTTGATACAAAGTTTGTACATTCCAGGTGAAAAATTTGAGGTCATTTGCATTGTTTCATAGCTTGGGTAATTTTTGTAAGTTCTATCTATTATATTTAGTTTCAGATTTCATAACAATATTTTTTACAGGATGAAGGTGTTAGTCTCATACCCAAGTTGCAACTTGGAGGACCAGGAATTCTTTTTTGGTTCATGAGTGGTATCTTATGCCGGGGATGCCTCCAATGGGAGACTGTGTGTAATTCTCATGGATCACAAATTATTAACTTTATAATAAAATATTTCATAAAGACTTAGTTTAATTTATTTATTAATAAACACTTTAAATTAACACATAAAAAATAATACTATAGACTTACCTCAAAGGCTTGTAGCATTACTTCAGAGCTTTCATTCTCGTCTGCAAAATTTTGTGGGCAAACAAATAAAATTCTAATCTTATCCATGTTGTTTAAAATATTAATTTAACAATTAATTATAAGAAAAATATATTCAGTGTCTAACAGATCTCATTTTGTTTTAATTCATCATTTCACATTATCATCCTGGGCAGTTGCTAAAATATAATATTACATTAATTAATTATATCAAAACTTACAGCTGGTATAAAACATATACATTATAGGTGATAGATAAATTTATTTGAAATAGGAAGTTCTAATACATAAACAATTTTAAATGTAAGTAAAATTCTGTTTTATTTAAATATTTGTAGTGTTTTTCACAAATTTAACCAACTATTTTTAAAGTCCCATAATAATATAATTGATATCATGTTAACGAATTTAACTCTAGTAAAATTCATTAAGCGATGCAGGAAGATGTAAACATTAAATTGTGTCCGAACCAGTATGAGCTACCGAAAATGTTGGCAGACAAAGTAAAGATGGACATTTCGGTTGGTTTTTAAATATTTTTGAAGAACTGTTATTTGAATTTATGCATAAAATATTTATTAATTTTATATATCGGATTATTTTTTCACTTACTATGTATTCAGTGATAACATTAATTTATTTGCTATGCAATAAACACGAATATTTGAGAAAAGAAAAAAAATAATAAAGTGTCATAATTATACTGTTACTTATCGGAACGAGTAGACTCATTTGGAACATCTTTAACAATTATCTGTTAAATTTATCGTTGTTTATATGCCCTGCATCGCTTAATGGAATAAGGTATAGTTCATTTGAACACAAGAAACTAATTGTTTAAAGGTATTTGCTTAAAACTCATCTTAAAGATCTTAGAGAGGTCGTAAGAAAACTAAAAAATAAGGAAAACCTCTAAGCTGCAATGGCTTTAGTGTCGATATTATTGAAGAGTGATGCAAAGGAGCTGCTAAAGATTATATCTAAATTAGTTAACCTCTCTTATCAATGGCTTAATCCCAAACTCTATGAAAATGGTGATAGTGGTACCATTGTATAAAGGAGGGGACTCAAAGCTAATTGGAAGTTATCAGTCAATATCTCTTTTAACAGACATGTGAAAGATCCTGAAATCATGTGTAAATAACTAAATTAGCAATTCTTTGATTCATCCAGCTACTGGTTTAACAGGCAATATAACCATATCATATACATTACTTAAAGAAACAGCAAACAGCCATTTCTCATAAAGAAACATGGCTATGGCTAAGTATGTTTGTAAAAAACTTGAATTAATACTAGACCAAATTGAAATTGATTTTCATTCTACTTTTACATTCTTATTTGAGACACAATCATCATTATTTATCTCTCACAAGAAATAATATGGTTAGATACCAGTCAGATATACTTTTTTGATAATCTATGTAACTAGGGTTAGATCTGATATTTCCTAATGTATTTTGCTAGCTAAATGACAGAACATCTAGACAAAAATAAATCTATTGTATATTCCTTGTAAATATTGTGTTTTCAGCTATGTAAATTCTAAAACCTTATTACTAACTGGAACTAAAGATATTTACAAGAACGAAGCGATACTTATCAAATAAAACGTATTACTATAGTTATATATAATTACTAATCAGTCTTTAATTCTAAATGATTACAGAGTTTATTACTAAAAAATCATGCCTCAGGAAGGTTAAATAAATTTCATAATTCTACACTGTATGTACGTACCTTATATTAACTGTTAAAACAACTAATGACAAATCGCTTCTAAACTAATAATCAACGAATACAGTGTAAATGTAATTAAAAATATAATATTAAGAAAAACTCTGTGTATTTTCCGTTTTCCTCATTTTTAAAATCTAATCTACTGTCAAGTTCGAGTGTTACCAAATTTATAAAATGAAAAGTGTCAAACTGTAAGGACCATACTAAATTTGTAAATAAGATTCACTATATTCTGCTTAAAATTAACCCAGTGAGCCATATTGAATACCGAGTGGGACTTATATGCCCCACAGTAACCTATTTCAATTAACTTTATTTTTATCTTTTGTCAAAATATAGTTTACCATAACAATTTTATTGAATACACATGGCCTTATTTACAGTTGTAGTTGGCAATAATTAACTGATTCATAAAATTCGAACATTAAGAAAAAAGAAGAATAGACACGTTTTTATTTGTGCACCCTTCCGTTTGGTGGCATTGCTAGTCTCGTTCCTGTGCGTTGTTCGTTGTCACCACAGAAAAATTAAACCTGGTGGGTATGTCCTGTGTTTGTCACTTTATTTTATTTTATATATCAAATAAATAGCCTAAAAACTCTCATAGTACCATAGATAAAGAATATATATTACCGGATGCATAGTACACATCGAGTTAACTTCATGATAGCATCGAACAACATGATAGTACTCTGATAAATAGTGCAAAAGACAAAACAAAAAGGTACAATTTTCCAGATAAAATACTACTGGCTGGATACTACTAGCAAGCAATACCGTTTTCAAATTAAAATAAATTACATGAATAAATTTGATAAATGGGCGAATGCTGTTAAGAGCAATAAATTAGAGAATGTTACAAGAGAAGCTATTTATAACAATTTTCATGTAGGTATGCGCTAGTCATTTTAAAGAGAATATAATCAACGTTGAACAAGGGGCATTAAGAGAATAGCTGTTCCGAGTTTTTACCACAACCAGGCCACCTTGTATTCACATAAAACATAAAACAACATTAGAATAACAAAACAACACTCAGCCTTTGACGTTCTGGAAATTTTAAATATAAGTGACGTCACTTTATATAAATTGTGACATGCAACGTTTTTATTTTGAAAAATGGTATATTTAATTTTTTAACCACTTTATATGCTTTTTGAATTTACCGCCATGTATATATAGTTACGCACCCTGGCATTAGGTGATGCGCTAATCGTTGTTTTACTCTTTAACACAGGACTGGCACTGCTATGTGGGAGTGTGCTGTGGTTCATTTTGGTTTGGTTTGACGTTGACGTTGATAAATATAAATATTAAAAACTAAAAACCCATTGCAAAATATTGAAGAAAAACAGAACAGTTATAAATCTATTGTTGGAGATTGCATTCGGTATAGTTTCTTAATATATTTTGTTTGTTTTGTTGTAGGTGAAATAACCATTATCCTTTGTTAAATTCTTCTTTATTGTTTCATTTTTTAGCAAATTGAAATGGGTTGTGATGGTGGTACCATTCCAAGACGAGATGAACTTGTTAAAGTTAAAAAGAAGCCCGAAGCTAAAGATAAGAATGCAGAACTAGCATTTAAGTGGAGATGTTGTTTTATAACTCAAGAAGTTCTTCAAGAACCAATTGTTGTTTGCCATCTGGGAAAATTGTACAGTAAAATGTCTCTAATTGAAGCCTTGCTTGATAGAAGTTCATTGCCAGAGTCCATAAAATACATAAAGAGTTTAAAAGATGTTAAAGATCTTAAGTTGACCCCAAATCCAGAATTTTTAAAAGATGAAGGCAAGAGGGAGGGTTCTTTGGATAATAGAGCTGCACCTTACATTTGTCCAGTATTAGGACTAGAAATGAGTGGAAAGTTTAGGTTAGTAAATTTAAAAAATTAAACATAAAAATGAAAAGAGAAATCTAAATAAGAAAAATAAAGGAAATAGATATTTATTATAATTTACTTGAGTAATTGGTATTTGTTTGCATTAGTAAGGATTGCTCAAAATGCATATTTAAAAAAATTCTAAAAAAATATTAAAAAAATGTAAGTAATTACTGTATGAAATACTTAGTGTAAGTCTTAAATATCCCAATATTAGTATTATTAATAATTAATTAACAACATTTAATACATTTTATGTTTATAACATTTTATTCTTGTTGGATAGGCCACAATTGACGAAGTCTAAAACGTTAATCACATAAAAACTTTTATCAACCACCAACTTTGAGTTTTTATCGAAGTTAATTAATTTTTTCAGTTAAATAAATGTTTCTTGCCTTATTTCAAATACCCCTGAAGATGCTTTAGGAGCAAAAATACTTGGGCAAGATTTAATAAAAACTATGATGATATCTGCCTTTTACTTGATCAAAGTAATATGAATTGTTTGATTTATCTTATAAAAAAGGTTTATTTTTCAGATTTGTAGCAGTTTGGTCCTGTGGATGTGTATTTTCAGAAAGAGCTTTAAAAGAAATAGGTACAAAAAATTGCCACAAATGTACTAAACCATTTGAAGATGATGATATTGTTATAATAAATGGGAATGAGGAAGATCTAGAGCTAATGCATCAAAGAATGGAGAAAAGACGCCAGAACATGAAGAAAAATAAAGAAAAGAAAATAAAACAAGAACCAGAAGAAGTTGCAGGAAGTTCTTCTGAAACCATAACTAGTGAAACAAAAAGCATAAAAAGAAGTGCAGGATCATCAAAAATAGAAGATGCAAAAAAGATGAAAACTGGAATTGATGTATCACATTCTAAAATTGGAAATATGGTGTCAGTAGGAAAAGTGACCAAAGCTGAAGAATTAAGAAAAATGAAGCCAGATTACAGTGTTGCTAAAGACAAACAAGTTTCTAATGTATATAAATCATTGTTTACAAGTCACAAATCAGAAAAGGAGCAAAACAGGGCTCACTGGGTTACCTATAATCCATTTTATAATTAAGTATAATATTAATTAGCTATATATATCTTTATTAGTAATAAATTTGACTATAAGTAGTAAAATGTGTGCTTGGGTTATTCATCATTTTCTTTACCTTTTTCCATATAAAGGATTGGAACTCTAAGAAATGAATAAATAATATATATCATGCAACAATGCATAGTTTAGTTCTTTCCACTTATTCTATTGTCCAATTATGAAAATATAGAACACTTTAATATGATAAATGCTTCTTTGTGCATTATTTTTGGTCTCTGTTCTCGCTCCAAACAAAAGACATTTTGTAAATAATTAAAATAGAGGTTGTCTTTCTCTAGATACTCTGCAGAGAGCTTCAACCATCTATGGTGAAGCATCATCATCATTAATCAGCCAATCGCATCCACTGCTGGACATAGGCCTCCCTCAGTTCTTTCCAGTGTTACCTACACTGGGCTGCTTGTAGCCAGTTTCCGGCTACACGTGGTGAAGCATCCTCTACATTAATTCCATCTTTAGGCAGAATTTTTATTAATCTTTTATTGACGAAGAAATAAAACACATTTTTATAGTTGAAAAGTACAGCTAAGAGTCTAGGATGTGTTCAAGGGTGTACAAAAGAGCAGAGTTTCCAGAGTACAGTGGACTCTGTATGAGAGCCTGAGGAAGACTGCATCCTTTTTTTTTTATAATAGTTTATAATTGTCTGAATGTCGATATGGCTATTTCCTGGAGAATTGGTCAATGGACAAGTTGCGAGACAGATTGATGGCACCATGCTAAATTTTCGTAGATTTTAGTAGACGCTATTGAATGAAATGAAACAATTAATTTCTTCTAATCTTTATTTCTTCTAAAACATTCTTTATACAAATGTAAGTACTCTAACATTAACGGTCATACTTAAACTTTAATATCATTTCTGAATAATAGTAATCAGTTCTGTAAATATTTTCTTCTTTATTCAAATAAAACCATATATCCCTCCATAATACTATTCTTTTTCACAACATTGAGAACTGTATTTGAGACAGATGAGTTGGTAATGCTCCGGAAATATCAATTCAGTGAATATAAATAGTATTTTGATGGTACCAATGGGGTTAACAAGTTTTTTATTTTGTAATAAAAATGTTACTTAAATTTCAATAAATAGGTTTTTTTATTTAATTTTTTTATTAAATACGTTAGGCATCAAGTTTATTCTTTATTTAAAAATATATAATAGCCTAACTCAAATCAAAATACAAAAATTTGAATTTTTCAGAAAATATTTTTAAAAAGTACAATACATTTTGAAATAATTAAAATATTCTGTGTTTAAAAAATTTCAAATATACTTAAAATAGTGGGAATGTAATTTCTTATATCGCAGGGAAGATTTACACAATAATTTTATCAATATTTTTATTTTGGAGGTGTACCACTCTGTCAGAATGCCTTAAATGCATGAGGGTCCCTGAAGAAGATTTAAATTTTGAGAGTTTTAAGTAGAAACAAGGATTTTGTGCTAAAGAGTCTATTAACGATTTTTAATTAAAGTATAAAAAGTATTTAAGGTACTATTACCGTCTAGAATTTTCAAAAACTCATTTTTTTACATCTCTAGATTACTTTCACCTTCAAAAATAACTCTGTAAAATACTTTTACATCTTGTATTGTTAGCTGTCTCGTAGATTCTCAGTTCTATTTCTATAGAACCGATTTTGAAATAAATATTTGTAAAAAAAACTAAAAAACACGTTTTCCACAAAACTACATTTTTAAAACTGGCCGACAGTTGATCACCGGATCTAGTCAGCCGATTTTAATAAACCTTGATGTATTTTGTTTGTTTTGGTTTTCTCTATGATACTTTACCACAACTTAACCAAAAAATAATACAATTTTTGTGACTGAAAAACGTTAATTTTGAACATTTTTTTTTAAATGTCTAATAAAACTCTATTTATTCTTCATCACTTGAAGAAACGTACGCCAGCTGTTCATTCCACCAGTCCTTGATTTCGTTTAAAGTGTTATTAGCTTTTGGAACGGTAGTTTTGCTATTGTAAACTTCTCTTGGCATCCTGTTTTCGCTTTCGTTTAAATGCGATAAATTTTTATTAACCACTACTGAAGGTCTGTTATTTTTCTTCTTTGTTACTATCCTCTCTTTCTCTTGTCTGGCGGATGGGTCTGAGAGAGTGGGGGCTAAAAATTTCCTACGGAGCTGCTACCTGAAATATTTTCAATATAACCAAGGAATGAAATATGCGTCTATATTCTTTGATGTAACGTTACAATTGTAATTTTAAGCCAAACAGTTGGTTGGGACTTACATTTATCTGGTAAATATCTACCTTATAAGACCAGATTTATCATATAAAATAGTGAGATATTACACATACCTATACTATCTGACCTGGGAAGATTAACAGCTTTTTGCTTCCGTGGCTCGTTTTCTTTATTTGCTTCAACTTCGTTTTCTTGATCTGGACTTCCACTTTTACGTTCTTCCATTGGGTCCGGCATTGATAAAGCTTCGTTTGTTGCTCGTAGACCTGCCATTAGACTGCTTTGTTGTTTCTAAAAAATGTTTAATTAAATTATTTTTTATTAATTAATAATAAAACCTATTCGTACAATTATTTTCATAAATAGAATGAAGACATTATTTAGAAGATGAGTTAAAACTTATAGATTTACACTAGAGATAAAAATAAGATGTCAAAATATTCTAGTAGTAGTCATGGTGAGTATTAATAAACCACCTTTGGTAGATCTCTTGGTTTTTATCAAATAGTTCATTTGGACAATTTTATTATAAAACGTATATAATCCACCGCTGCCTTACTTATTTGGGATGTTTTTTTTACCGTGCATTGTAATGCTGCGATTTCTTTTGAATCTGAGTCATTGAACGAGTTATTATGGGTCATTTGAACTGAGTACGAGCAATGCGATATCCGCGCAGAGCAGATTGTACACCTACATAATTAACTCGACTAACTCAAATACGATGAGATATGTTTTTCGACTACTTCGCTTCTGAATATCGATGTATCTACTGTAACACCATGATGCATAGGGCATGCATGGCACACTGGCAAAAATAAGTGCCTTATTGATACTCCAGAGAACTCTGTCTGACGGCATTTGGTCCAATTCATGGAATTAAAATGAATAGAGAAAATGGGTGATTCTTTTGAATCTGAAAATAAAAATAGAAAGGGAAAGGGAACATTCAAAACAGTAAGGCAGCTTTGACAGAACTTAGTAAAGTTGCTTTAAGAAGGCGGTTAATTGGAAGTTATTAATGTAGCTATATAAAATAAATAAATTAGCTGTAGTAGATACGGCTGCTGTAAAAGAGACTGCTTCTAGAGAAAAATAATTCATACTTACATTTGTTGTATACTTACATTAGTTGACCGTATTTTTTTGAGACATCCTTCTAACCACGTTCTTATAGTCTGTTTAGCAACTTCTTCTTCAATAATATATTCGAATTCTTCTCTTGCTAACAGCTCCTCTAATTGTAAAGCTTTCCTTATATCGACCGATCGATAGGACAACATGCTAGAAATTGTTAATCAAATTTAAATTTATTTTATTTTATTACATAACGAGTACGGCAAAGGTTCTCTATGCACGAGTAAAAAACTTAATGGTAAATGAGAGTTGACTGTATGAATTTTGTTCCATACTTGTTCTTCTATAGTGTTTGTATGAATCTTGTTTGAAATTATGCCCTCCGAATTGTAATATGTTGATAACATATTGTAGTAACTATTATATTTCCTAGGGTTCATATTAAATGGTATATGCTTCGTAATGCGCCAACTAGTAGTTTGGGATTTGCAATATATTGGGGATGCACCTTCCTGATGGATGAACAGCGAGTTGTTTGTAGAAGTTATACGTCATTTCATAAACCATGCAAATTCCATAATAAATACTCTAACATTTCTGTTGTTCGATAACCATGAAAGTCATCTTTCAATCGAATGTGTGGATTTAGCCAAATCCAATGGAGTGGCTATTTTATTAGCTGATCGACTCTTGGCTCATGCACCACCCCGGAGTTCCCATGGCCATATACGATATATCAGAATGTATTGGACTCCGATTAATATAACATCAGGATTCCGTAAATCAGATATTTTCCCTTATGAACGGAATGTTTTTGCAGAAGAAGATTTTCTTCCTAGTTCCGTCACAGATCGGTCCGAACAGTGAATATCTTCAAATTGTGCTGTCGATTCTCTAGTTTCATATTCCTGCACAAATGACAAACATGGGGGACAAACTATTTAGAGTCTTGATACTTTGATATTAACACTATTGACCATGATTCTGATTCTGAAGCAACTGTCATGAAAACAAAATCGTTTTCGAACCCTCTAGAGTATCAAGGATTTCCTAAAGCCGCTCCAAGAAAACGAGTGCAGAACAGACAGCGCAGAAAAAGTTTCATTCCAACAGACACTTCAGAAAAAATTGAACTTCAAACAAAAAACGCCAAAAGCTAGAGCTAAGACAGTAAATAAACGTTTTACCGAAGCCGAAAATAGTTCTTTAAGTGACCAAGCAGAATCCCTGAACAGCTCATCTGAATATGATGCCGACTTTGATGTTCCAATAATAGGATTCGAAGAGGAAAAATAAATCGAACAAGTTCTTTTATCCAAACGTTCCTGAAGTTGCTAGTGTTTTATCGCAATATATAGTGATGATTTTACCTGTATCAGTATTGTATGGAAAAACAAAGCCAAAATTGTGGAGCACTGTGTGTTTCAGTGTGGACCACTGTGGGACACAGTGAGACATTTTGCAACGTCAAAAAGAATTTTTTTACACTTATTTTTCAAGTTTAAATCTATTTTTGTTGAGGATTTTTATAAAATAAAGGCCAATTTACAGGATTATTTCTTTGTTTTCAATTTATATAGGAAAAGTTGTGAAAAAATCTCGAATAACTAAAAACCGTCTCACTGTATACCACTCTCTCATATATATGTTATATTCTTTAAATACGTCAAATGTAGGTCAACTCAAATAGTGAATCATGTTAAACGTTCAAACGTAGTTTCTTAATATTGCGAGTATTATCAAAATCTACAGCAGGCTTTTTATTATTTTTTGTTTTAAGGTACATTAAATACACACGTATTAATAATACCATGACATGACGATAGTAATGATCGTCTCTACACTTTAGGCAACCAACGATGCCCACATTAGTAATCCGGGTTGCCTAACAATATCATATTATAACAGAACGAATTGTGTCAAAAGTCAAAACTGATTACTTGAAATTATTAGAGATATTTAAGACGACATGCAATAACGACGATAACTTAATTATAACACGTTCCAGTGAATATGCTATAACTCGTGAACATGATACTATGAATAACAAGATAGGATCTTCCCGTAGCTCAAAATCGGTCGGGTTCGCGCATGCCGTCATTGGAGACTAGAATTTGAATTCTTATTAAAGTTAAATGAGATTTGTATACATTCTGTGATGAAATTACTAGACGAAAATAAGTTAAGAGGTTTAATAATTACAATAATCGTACAGATAAGGATATCTCCAAACTATTTATTAAAGATTATTTATTGATATATACAAAAACTGACATTTCGAATGTGTAAGTCTCCAATGACGTCACAAAAACATGCGCAATATCTTATCTTATAGTCATAGTATCATGCTCGTGAATATCGTAGTTATTAGGATATTCATCAACCTTCTCTATCCAGAGACGTGGATGTCTGAATTTTCTTTACGGTCATGATTTTCGGGCTTTTATGGCTCCCGAGGCTGAGTTTATTCAGCTGTATTTGGTATATAACTTCTGCTGGCGTTACAAATGAAGCCACAGTTTTAAATCTTTGGAAACAATCTCTACAACAGGTAAATTAATATATTTTTTTTAATTCTTAGGTAATAACTTTGCTCTAATTTTAGGTTACACCAGAAAAATGGAGAAACTATGTTAAACATGCGGAGAAACTTATTAATGCCAAAAGAATTGACATTAACCCCATAGCTCCAGTAATTATCGATTTAAATGAATCGGATTCTGACTATTCAGATGATGATTTTGTTGGCTGATATACCACCGTGGTAATTATTTACATTAGTGAGGATAGTCGGATTATTCTGAAATTTGGACAGTGGATTATGTTTTATTTTTTATTCACTTTTCAATCTATACATTTTTGTACGCTGAGCTATAGTTTTTCTGTAATTCGCATTTAAAAAACTGATATTAAACTTGATAGATAAATTTGATAGATGATAAATTTGAAGATGCCGCCGCCATGACATCTGCTGTCAATGATGTGCGTGTGCGTAGTACATACTTCTTGATCCAATGTTGCCACACTTTTCAAATATATTGTTTATTGTGAAAATATTAATTCCCAAGTACAATCATAAAGGAATAATTATAATGAGTATTATTTCCATTTTCTGTTTCTAAGGGATTCATATATCTGTATTTCATTTGTTATTAACTTATATTATTACATATAGATTATAGTTTATTTCGTTTTATGGTGTATTATGTTTTAATTTGTTTTTTATTGGTACCCCATTTTGCTTATTTAAAGTACGCCGTAGCTTGTTTAATTAAAAAAAAACGCGCGTGTTTTAAGTTACCGTGGCAATATCAACAATTTTAAATATTTAGCAAACCTTACAGGAGTACATAACTTGTAACGTCAAATTAATAATATATGAATAAAGTATTACCACAGAATAAATAACAATCAGAATGCCCGATCAGAATCATATGTGGTACACTTTTAAAAAACAATATCTCATATGTAGTATACTCTTATTAAAACTTAAATTCAATATACTTACTCTGAAAAAAAAAACAATATTAAGTCATATGGAGTATACTCTTATTAAAATTTAAATTCAATATATTTACTCCGAAAAAAACAAATGTGTATATGGCAACATTGCACCTCCGCGGAATATTTTATATTGTGCGCAAACGCGTTGTTTTTCCAAATAAATGAATTTTGGACATTTTACAATATTTTTTTATTTTTGGATAATTTAACGGGGAAAATGATAGGTATTTTTAATTAATTTATAAATTTTATATAACTATCACGGCTATTTCGTATTTCGATAACATATTTCTCTTGCTAATTATTGATTTTCCTATACTTTTTATGAACTTGTTTCAATTTTTTTTTACTTTTTTTCACTTTTTGTATATTTCCGTAGACGTAAACATGAAAATGTTGCCTTTTTTCTATTTTTCAGGCTAAGTCCACCAAAAATTCGCATTTTTAGGGACCCTCACTAATGTAAACAAATACCATATTTTTTTTTCAAAAACATCTTGAAATAGGAAGGGCGTCCTGTAATGGGGACATTAGGTATTTGTATGGTATTTTTCAAAACACATAGTTTTTTCACCATATTGCGACCTTTGTATTTACTTGACCTAGTGGTTCAAAGGTACCATAATTTGATAACATAGAACACTATTGTCATACCATTTCACACACAAAATTTCATTAGTTTTGTCAAATCTATAATAATATGCATTTTTCTTCATTAGCTTACTCTTCATTAGCTTTCTCCATTACTGGATATTTTACAGTTCCTTTTGCCTTTACATTTTTTTTGTTTCAGATATATCATTAGTTGATATGTCATGAAATGTTTATAGAAAAAATTTCATTTGTAGATGGTTCAGGCAATTATTTTAAAATATCAATTACTATTTTAGATCCAAGTGGTCTTTTTTAATAGTACCATTTGCTTTTTTCGGCAACAAACATGAAAACCATAATCATATCCAGTGGAACCAGATATTATCCAATTCTTATATTCACATCTGACTGGCTTCTTTCTATTTAACTGTTTAGCTAAATTATAACCAAAATATTTCACCATGGAGTTGTCTAAGGAAATATATTTATGGAAATATCCCCTGGCAGTATTTTTCTATAATTTTATCTGCTAAAAGTCTAATTTTGTACATACAAACTGTAGAATTGCCTATTTTGACATTATCCGCTAGATGAACAAACTTTGTTATTTATAAATACTTATCTCTGCTCAAAACGTTGTAAACACAGGAAACTCCTAGGTCCTCATCCAATGACCTGATCTAATTTCATTTCTAGATGGTTCAGGCAACTAGTTTAAAATATCAATTACTATTTTAGCTCCAGGTGGTCTTTTTTAATAGTACCATTTGCTTTTTTCGGCAACAAACGTGAAAACCATAATCATATCCAATGGAACCGGTTATCATCCCATTCTTATATTCACATTTGACTGACCTCTAACTGTTTAGCTAGGTTATGACCAAAATATTTGACCATGGATTTGTCTAAGGAAATATCTTTATGGAAACATCCCCAATGGCAGTATTTTTCTATAATTTTATCTGCTAAAAGTCTAATTTTGTACATACAAACTGTAGAATCGCCTATTTTGACATTATCGGCTAGATGAACAAACTTTGTTATTTATAAATACTTATCTCTGCTCAAAAAGTTGTAAGCACAGGAAACTCCTAGGTCCTCATCCAATGACCTGATCTAATTTCATTTCTAGATGGTTTAGGCCTATATTTCAAAAGATCAATTACTACTTTAGCTCCAAGTGCTATTTTTTTATTATCTTCAATATCATTCGTTTTTTTTTCGCAACAAACGTGAAAACCATAATCATACCCAGTGGAACCAGTTATCATCCAATTCTTATATTCAAATCTGACTGGCTCCTCTCTAATTAATGTTTTGCTGGGTTATGACTGAAATATTTCACCATGAATTTGTCGTAAGGATATAAAGGAAACTCTCCACTAGCAGTATTTTTCTATAATTTTCTATTACACTGATATTCAAATTCTACTTTTCAGTGTTGTCAATAAACTATTATTATTACACATTAGTGAATAAATAGTTTTTATGATTAGAATTGTATTTTATTTATGTAATTAATTTAGAAGTTACCTAATAAATTTTTGAAAACAGTCTTTTTTGTGTTACTTATACTATGACCAAAAAGCAGTAGTGAGAATAGAAGAAATAACATCAGAAGAAATGGAAGTACAAAGAGTTGTTCGACAAGGGTGTATACATACACCAGTATTATTTAATATGTATACTCGGAAGACATATTAAGTAAGGCAATGGATTAACGAAACATAGACATTAGAATTAATGACCTGATCATAAATAACATAAGATACGCTGATGATAAAGTTCTTTTAGCTGAATCACATGAAGACCTACAGATACTTCTTAATTAGGTGACCGCAGTAAGCGAAGAAGAATATGGACCGTCACTCAACAGAGCAAGAAATATATGATAATAACAAAGACAACTCAGGACATTCGTGAGATATATGTACAAAATCAGCCTATTGAAATAGTAAGAGAATTCAAATACCTAGATACAACTATTAATGACAACAATGACAGCTCTCAAGAAATACGAAGGCCAGAAGCGCATTTACAAGAATACAAAGGCTTCTCTGCTGTAGAAACTTAAACCTTAAGTTAAAATACGACTGCTGAGGTGCTACGTGCTATCCGTATTATAATACGGGATGGAAGCGTGGACACTGAAGAAAATTCACGTGAGGAGACTAAAGGCATTCGAGATGTGGATGTACCGAAGAGTACTAGAGATCTCATGGATAGATGAAATAAGCAACGTTGAGGTAATGTGACGAATGCATAAGGAAAGAGAAGTACTAACAACTAAGATCTGAAAAGTGGGATATATGGGTCATGTGATGAGAGGAGATAAATATCTAATACTCCAGATCATTATGCAAGGAAAAATCCAGAGAAAAATATCCATAGGAAGGAGACGTAACCCATGTAATAACGGCTCATTTAGAGCCGCTGTCTCAAAATTAAAAATCGCTGTGATGATTGCCAACTTTCGACGCGCAGACAGCCCCTTGAGAAGAAGATACAAAAATTCAATAAATGAATCATTTTGTCGTCAATTTCGAATGTTTCCATATTTATAAATTTAATAAACAATATTGTTTATTTTATTTTTATTAATATACGGGATTACTCCCTGTGGCTAAGTACGATCCTGGAATCTGTCAGATTCTTCAATAATTATATGAAATAATGCTCGACACACCTAATTCATTATATGACGTCATAATTAATGACGCACTGAAAAGTACCTCTGGGATGTACTTTACTGATGTGTATTAGAGGTATTTGGTACTATTTGTTAAATGATGATGATTGTATGTTTAATCATTTTAGTAACTATTTAGTACACACTTACTTTATGACGTCATGAAACGTAACATCTTCTCCGTTATGAAGTCTTTCCAGTTCATAACACATGTGCTTAAATAACAACCTGTCTTTTTGAGGGTCCACTTCTAGACGCCCTTTTAACAGTCTTAAAATAAATTTGACCTAAAATACAAGTTTTTAGATTATTTATATTAGAGAACCAGCTATCTTCACAAAGTTCATTCATTATATATTCATGTAACTTACCCTACGTACAGGTATTACGCCCCTCTGGTGAATGTCAACAACATTCCAAGTATTTTGAAAGTTTCGAATATCCGCATATGATAAAAGTGCATCTTCTTCGTTAGAGTAAAACAGAGAGAAGTTCTCCATGATAATAGCTGTAGAATAAAACATGACTAATTTAATTTAAAACATAACTAATTTAATTTTATAAGAGTTACACACTCGGTGTATATTGTAACGTTTCAATCAACCAATTGAACGTGATACCAAGCTCCGTTTGGTACTTGTCCCCCGTACCATATTATTCCAAAGCGACCTCACTAAATTATAAATATTTTTAGTAGCCGTTCCAATCTATATAAGCCGATACAAATTTTTATTCGCTCCTTTTCAATCTTAACATTACAATCATTCTTAATGAATTTATAGTTACACAAATTGGTTAGTGTCTTGGCTGTATACAGGGCCACTATCGTAGGGAGCAAAAAATATACAACCACACTACCGTGGGGAGCAAGAAATCAGCCAACCACAATACTTTGGGGAACAATCAGAAACCAGCTATAAATCCACTGATGCATCAGAACATAATTTGAAACTCATTTACCAAGATAAGGACTAAAATGATTGTCACTATCTAGATCAACAGCTCCCCTTAACCCAACCAACAACTACGGACAGCGGGAAACTTCTACAAAGATCGGAATCCTTCCTGGAGAACTGCACGATTCATGCAGAACGAACTAAAGCTGAGTACTTTTACCGGCAACCGGCAAAATCTTTGAGTCTCAGTTTAAAAATTTATTTTTGTTTCACATTCATAATTTGAATTCTGTTTATTTTTTATTTAATAAATAAATATACCTTTACTATGACTTCATACGTTTTTTATTTCCTGTACCTTTCTGGGATTGGTGTTAAGAGAGAATGAACAGGGAACGAACTCAGGGCTGAACGAGCAGTCTGGCAGAGCACCATTCTCATGGATGGATCGGTGGGTGTTTTTCTCTTGAATATCCTTAGGGATATTCGAAGAATTTCTTCCCTAGTTTCTTCTAGCAGTATGGTGTTACTTAACGCCCTGGTCTGAATAAGATTAAGAGTTACAAAATGGCGCCCAACGTGGGGCGCGATAAATATTTCAATCGGGGGAGAAACTATTAGCAACATCAGATATGCAGATGACACTGTGATCGTGGCTGAAAGTGTCGAAGATCTTCAATTCCTTATAAATCGAGTCATTAGAGAATGCTCTAAAACGGACTAAGCATAAATACAACAAAGACAAAGTTACTTGTAGTTAGTAAATAGGACCTCGGCGCTATACAACTAATTGTCAATAATTAACCGATAACAAAAGTTAACTTTTTTAAATATGTAGGGTGTTGGATAAACGAAACACTAAATCCGGATGAAAAAAATAAAACTCGTATAGAAATTGCAAGAGGAGCATTTATGAAACTTAGATCTATTCTGAGCAACTCTCAGCTGAAGTTACAGCTGAGAATTAAGTTCCTAAAATGTTATGTGTATCCTGTATTACTGTATGGGTGTAAAACCTGAATTATGAAGGTTAACATGATAAACAAATTAGAAGCCTTTCAAACAAGAACACATTTTAAACAGAAAAGTCTTGTACAGAGCAGGTCAAGGTGAAGGTGACTTAAACTGCCATAAATATTTAGAAATGATAGAAAAAATAGAAACCTTTCGCATAGACGCTTAGGTAATTTGAGTAATTTAGCCTTTGTCAAAATCAATTGAAAGTGATTTTCTATTTTCTAACCAGAGAACTCAGCGGAAGGTATCTGTGAGAGTTCCCAAACGTAACACACATTTTCTATAAATTATATAACTTCTTTGCTTAATGCTGTGTAGATAAACAAAGTTACTTCTGGCATATTCCCTTTAAATATCACGTTCTGCGTTAAATGTCACGTCCTGAATCACATAATATCACGTTCTGTATTGAATGTCAGGTGTTTTATATGACGCATGACGTGACATTTAAGGGGATGTGCCTGAAGTAACTTTGTCTATCTACTAAGCTGTTAACAAGACAATACAATACTAAATAATGTCTTATAAAAAACAAATATATAAAAACAAGGACTCACCCACTAGTAGATTCAACACGATATATGTGATGATAACATAAAAAGTACAAAAGTATATTAATGAACCATAGAAATTTCCGCAATCCGTTTGCCAGTAATTGTCAGCTGGAGTACAAAATGGCGGTTGAATCATACAATCGTGCATAATTTTATTCCAATCTTCTCCTGTTACGATTCTAAATAGCATAGCAACGCCTGTTACAGGAGACTCAAAATTTGCTCTCCTAAAAATTTATATAACGCATAAACCTAACTGAAATCATGTATTTTCTATGACGTACCTTCCAATGCCTTCACCATACTTCACAGTTCCGAAAATGATGGTTCCAGCTAATGCGTAGAAAAACACGAGTAAAAACATTCCAAATATGATGAAAAAGCTTTTACATACGGACACACCAACTGTTAGCATTAACATTTTGAGCGTGGCATGTTTACCGGTTATAGTGAAGAAACGAAGAATTACTACCATGAAACCTATGAAGTATGTTAAATCATTCTGAAAAATAAATTTTGATGTAGAACATATTTCTACCTAGGTGGAAAATTAAGATTTCAATATTACAATAATTCGTATTAAACGCAGTGTGTCCCAAAATATAAACAAAGATTTATAAACAAAGGAAAAGGTTATATGAGTAGGTACATCACAATAAGAGGCATTGTCTATTACCAATTTGCTTTTTTTTTTCGGAGCATTAAGAATTAATTTTTCTTTTTTATTATTTAATATAATAATAATATTAACAATTTTTTTCTTCTTCTTTCTCTTTATACGCAATTCTGCTTGTTCATTGGCGGATTAATACCTCTATGGAAGGTTATCACTCCATCTTTTGCGTGGTCGTCCAATACTTCGTCCGCTGCCGATTGGTGACATTTTGGCGACATGGGTCTCCTCCATTCGGCTTATGTGGTCATTCCATTCTTTTTTTTATATTTTGTGCCCATTCATTTATACACTGAATGTTACATTTTTGTCTAATTTTCACTTCTTTTTCGATCTCTCAGCTGTACTGTACTGTAATTCTTCTGAGTACTCTCATCTCTATCGTTTTCAGTGTTATTAAGGCATCCTGCCAGCCTTCTTCGACGCTAGAAGCCCCGGAAGTTACGAAAATCCTGAAGTAGCCACAGTCCCTGCCCTCCCGATATGTGGGCCATGTCACCACGGAGGCCCGGGCAAACTCGTCTACGAAACCCCAGGATAAGCAGATAGGAACCTGATTGCAGAGAAGAAGACGAACCCGCTGGAAATGGTACACCGACCGGAGATGCAGTAACACCCGGCTCCACAGGTTCAAGATAAGTGTTGTGAATTCTGATAGACATTGTTTACTGTAGGACTGCATGTTGACCTTTAGACTCTACCTGGGAAACTCTGGGAAACGCAGTCAAAAGCATTCGACAAGTCGCAAAGAGAAATTGTTGATTGTCGCGTTCAAACCCCTCAATCACCCTCTCACAACATTAAATACCGCGTTCGTAGTAGAACGAGCCCTTCTGAATCCATATTGTGAGTTGCTAAAGCAATTATTTGACTCAAAATAGGAATAAAATTGTTGTTTGACATAATTTTCAATCACTTTCCCAAAAGTAGAAACAATGCTTATGGGTCTGTAATTGTCAGTTTTTGAGTAATCACCTTTTTTGTAGATAGGTAGTACTTTTGAGTATTTTAATACTTTTGGAAATACTCCAGTTGATAGAATTAAATTAATAGGAAGAGTGAAAGGTGTTAAAACTATTTGGTAAGTTTCTTTTAAAATTTTACTGATAATTACGTGAACATCCCTATAATATTAGAATTACTAAGAGACTTTATTATTTAAGAACCTTTTCTTTCACAACGGGATGAAAAAACGACTTGCTCGGAGAATAATGATTCCTATAATTGAAGGGGACATCAACATTAATAGTGGGAAAAGATTATATTCTTTGCAATTGTAGTAAAAAATTATTTATTTCTTCTGGAGATATATCAAATTGTACCAAACTGGATATTGTGTTGTTTCTTTTGGAATTTATTATTTTCCAGCAGTCTCTAGGTTTATTATTGAAAATAGTAATAAACTTACAGTAAGCTGACTTTGTAGCAATTTGTAATTGCCGATTATATTCAAAATTTTGTTGTTTATATACTTTGAACAAATCGGAATCCTTAGTGGCATCTGCAATATATTTAATGAGAAAGATTAGATCTGTAAGATCTTAATTCATTATTAAGCCATTGCACGGGTGTTTTTTCAGCAGTTTTCCATACTTTTTATAGTGGCAAATGCTTTAATATTAAGTTGTTATAAGTATCAGTAAGAAAGGCTGTCAAAAAATCAGGAACATTATCAATGTCCTCTAAAGGTAGAAAAAGTCCATCTTTGTACTATCTAGCGCACGTTTAAGCTTCTGTAAACTAGAAGAAGTTATAAACCGTTGAAATGTTTTATTCGTAAAACTTATGTCAGACGTAAACTTGTGTTCTGCGTTGATATGACTCATAGCTCTTTAGAAAATCCATTACCTATAAAAAAATGAGAATTTTCACTTGGTATTTACTGCAACATAGCTTTCTGTACGAAATTTCAACGTAATCTCACTTATTTTGGGACTCTTTTGGGATATACTTGCAGTTTAATACAATTTCACAAAGAAATATATTTACCCTGAACATGCAATGGAAGAACATCCAAATAACTCCTACGACAGTAACAAATAGGTCGTATCGATTTCTTCTTGACTGTAAATAGCCTCTAGGAGTAAAAGCTATATTCTTCATAACAACTTCAATCACGAAAACGAGTGTACAAATAATGTCAATTGTGGCTAATATTTCAGTATGGGCGTTTTCTTTATTCCACTAAAATAAAAAAAAATATATATATCAAACATTAATAAAAACAGAAGATTTTGGAGAATATACTAAAACTATTAGAAAGCTTTTATTACGTCCATGGCTTTTTATTTAAAATTGGTTCAAATTAACTAAAATTAAATAAAATGAAATAAAATTAAATAAAATTAATTAAAATTAAATAAAATTAAATAAAATTAAATAAAACTAAATAAAATTAAATAAAATTAAATAAAATAAAATAAAATGAAATAAAATGAAATAAAATGAAATAAAATAAAATTAAATAAAATTAAATAAAATTAAATAAAATTAAATAAAATTAAATAAAATTAAATAAAATTATTAAATAAAATTAAATAAAACTAAATAAAATTAAATAAAATAAAATTAAAATTAAATAAAATTAAATAAAATTAAATAAAACTAAATAAAATTAAATAAAATTAAATAAAATTAAATAAAATAAATAAAATTAAATAAAATGAAATAAAATTAAATAAAATTATTAAATAAAATTAAATAAAACTAAATAAAATTAAATAAAATAAAATTAAAATTAAATAAAATTAAATAAAATTAAATAAAATTAAATAAAACTAAATAAAATAAAATAAAATTAAATAAAATTAAATAAAATTAAATAAAATAAATAAAATTAAATAAAATGAAATAGAATTTAAAAAAATTAATAAAATTAAATAAAATTAAATAAAATTAAATAAAATTAAATAAAATGAAAAAAAATTTAAAAAAATTAAATAAAATTAAATAAAATGAAATAAAATTTAAAAAAATTAAATAAAATTAAATAAAATTAAATAAAATTAAATAAAATTATTAAATAAAATTAAATAAAATTAAATAAAATTAAATAAAATGAAATAAAATTTACAAAAATTAAATAAAATTAAATAAAATGAAATAAAATTTAAAAAAATTAAATAAAATTAAATAAAATTAAATAAAATTAAATAAAATGAAATAAAATGAAATAAAATGAAATAAAATGAAATAAAATGAAATAAAATAAAATTAAATAAAATTAAATAAAATTAAATAAAATTAAATAAAATTAAATAAAATTAAATAAAATTATTAAATAAAATTAAATAAAACTAAATAAAATTAAATAAAATAAAATTAAAATTAAATAAAATTAAATAAAATTAAATAAAACTAAATAAAATTAAATAAAATTAAATAAAATTAAATAAAATAAATAAAATTAAATAAAATGAAATAAAATTAAATAAAATTATTAAATAAAATTAAATAAAACTAAATAAAATTAAATAAAATAAAATTAAAATTAAATAAAATTAAATAAAATTAAATAAAATTAAATAAAATTAAATAAAACTAAATAAAATAAAATAAAATTAAATAAAATTAAATAAAATTAAATAAAATAAATAAAATTAAATAAAATGAAATAGAATTTAAAAAAATTAATAAAATTAAATAAAATTAAATAAAATTAAATAAAATTAAATAAAATTAAATAAAATGAAAAAAAATTTAAAAAAATTAAATAAATTAAATAAAATGAAATAAAATTTACAAAAATTAAATAAAATTAAATAAAATGAAATAAAATTTAAAAAAATTAAATAAAATTAAATAAAATTAAATAAAATTAAATAAAATTAAATAAAATTATTAAATAAAATTAAATAAAACTAAATAAAATTAAATAAAATGAAATAAAATGAAATAAAATGAAATAAAATGAAATAAAATGAAATAAAATGAAATAAAATGAAATAAAATGAAATAAAATGAAATAAAATGAAATAAAATGAAATAAAATGAAATAAAATGAAATAAAATGAAATAAAATGAAATAAAATAAAATTAAATAAAATTAAATAAAATTAAATAAAATTAAATAAAATTAAATAAAATTAAAAAAGACTAAATAAAATAAAATAAAATAAAATTAAAATTAAATAAAATTAAATAAAATTAAATAAAATTAAATAAAATTAAATAAAATGAAATAAAATTTTAAAAAATGAAATAAAATGAAATAAAATTAAATAAAATGAAATAAAATTTAAAAAAATTAAATAAAATTAAATAAAATTAAATAAAATTAAATAAAATTAAATAAAATTAAATAAAATTAAATAAAATTAAATAAAATTAAATAAAATGAAATAAAATGAAATAAAATGAAATAAAATGAAATAAAATGAAATAAAATGAAATAAAATAAAATTAAATAAAATTAAATAAAATTAAATAAAATTAAATAAAATTAAATAAAATTAAATAAAATTATTAAATAAAATTAAATAAAACTAAATAAAATTAAATAAAATAAAATTAAAATTAAATAAAATTAAATAAAATTAAATAAAACTAAATAAAATTAAATAAAATTAAATAAAATTAAATAAAATAAATAAAATTAAATAAAATGAAATAAAATTAAATAAAATTATTAAATAAAATTAAATAAAACTAAATAAAATTAAATAAAATAAAATTAAAATTAAATAAAATTAAATAAAATTAAATAAAATTAAATAAAACTAAATAAAATAAAATAAAATTAAATAAAATTAAATAAAATTAAATAAAATAAATAAAATTAAATAAAATGAAATAGAATTTAAAAAAATTAATAAAATTAAATAAAATTAAATAAAATTAAATAAAATTAAATAAAATTAAATAAAATGAAAAAAAATTTAAAAAAATTAAATAAAATTAAATAAAATGAAATAAAATTTACAAAAATTAAATAAAATTAAATAAAATGAAATAAAATTTAAAAAAATTAAATAAAATTAAATAAAATTAAATAAAATTAAATAAAATTAAATAAAATTATTAAATAAAATTAAATAAAACTAAATAAAATTAAATAAAATGAAATAAAATGAAATAAAATGAAATAAAATGAAATAAAATGAAATAAAATGAAATAAAATGAAATAAAATGAAATAAAATGAAATAAAATGAAATAAAATGAAATAAAATGAAATAAAATGAAATAAAATGAAATAAAATGAAATAAAATAAAATTAAATAAAATTAAATAAAATTAAATAAAATTAAATAAAATTATTAAATAAAATTAAAAAAGACTAAATAAAATAAAATAAAATAAAATTAAAATTAAATAAAATTAAATAAAATTAAATAAAATTAAATAAAATTAAATAAAATGAAATAAAATTTTAAAAAATGAAATAAAATGAAATAAAATTAAATAAAATGAAATAAAATTTAAAAAAATTAAATAAAATTAAATAAAATTAAATAAAATTAAATAAAATTAAACAAAATTAAATAAAATTAAATAAAATTAAATAAAACTAAATAAAATTAAATAAAATTAAATAAAACTAAATAAAATCAAATAAAACCAAATAAAATTATGTCCTGTAAAACACTTGTAAATGACAAAATGTATTAATTAGCATTATAATTAAATAAAAACAGCAATATCTTACCGTAACACTCAAAAGTGCACTGTTTATTAGAACCATAAAGGCTACTGTCCTTTTAAACTTTATATTTTGTGTGATATCGTAGATAAACGCTCTAAACTTTTTACCGTCAGGTCTTGGAGGAAGGTGTAGGGGTTGGGCAATTTTTAGTCGCTTTTTTAAATCACACCTGAAAATATTTTTGAGTTATACTCTACTTTTTAATTCTGAGTACCAAGAACTGGAGAGACCTATCTTTAATAGCAAATTAGGTGAATCCCAAATTCAAAGCCTCGTACTAGAGGCTGTTGAACGACGCTAGAAGTAACCTTTTAATCCAACATACATCTATTATTGAAATTGCGGTTCACCTAATTTGCTACCAAAGAGAGGTCTTTCGACTTCTTCTTATTTCGTATAGATGCCGCTGCTAGCGTACCAGGCTATTATTTTAATTATAATGGCCACATACTAGACTGCATTTAATTTCAGTTTGAACTTCCACAAGTGGTCCTGATGAGGAGTTAAATAACTCGAAACACGTATAGAGCAATGGTGAAATTCGAATTGAAATGAAATGCAATCTTTTTGCAAAGAGCGAATCTTGAAACGCTCTTGATCATTGAAACGATCACATAGTTCCTAATAAATAAATAACAAACCATCGTCTTTGGTCAACTGTTAAGAGAGCTGTTCCCTTGTTTTCAGAATAATTTGCAATGACAACACCAACGAACAAAGTTAGTCCAATCATGCAACCCAAGAAAATGTAGACGTGGATATATATAGCATGCACCTAAAACATAATAAATGTGATTAATATTAAAATTATTGGTAGAATTAAAATAACGTTTTAAGAGACCTTTAATAATTATATTGATATATTGATAAAACAACAAATGGGTATAGAGGGCACTATAGTTGAGGATATTGAGAGAAAACAGCTCATATGGTATGGACATGTGAGCCGAATGGGGGACGAAAGATTGCCTAAAAAAACGATGATGTGGCAACCCCCAGAGAAGAGGAAACGAGGAAGACCACCACAGAGCTGGAACCTGGGAGTTAGGAAAGCGATTAGCGCTCGAAATCTGAACGAAGACCTAACTCAAGACCGAATACAGTGGCGGTTGGGAGTCGGACAACGTCGTAAGACGTTATAAAACCGAATGTATATATATAATAATTATAATAGACACTTGGGATTCCCATCAGTGGCAAAAACAATAAAAACGAGTTACCTGGGAATCCCAGGCTAGAATATATGTTGAAACACGAAAAATACTACATTATCTAAATAATTTTCCAAAGAAATTATAATGAAGATACAATATATGCAGGAAATAGCTGTCCTGGATGAAAAGCATTCGAAGAATTTGTACGTGCAGCAGATGGCAGGAAAAATTTAGTCAGAGTAATAGCTAACCTTCATTCATAGAGAAAACGCTCGAAAGAAGACGAGAAGAAGCTAAATCAGTTCGCATTTCCCTACCAATTTTTTGTTTGTTGTAATTAAGAAAATACAGTTCATTTTGGATTTCAAATTATTTATAACATTGTAGAAATTAAAAAGTACATATAGAAATACTTACAGGACCTAAGTTTTTGATGAGAATATCTCTAACGTCCAACCACCCCTTAAAAGATAATACTTCAAAGAGAGTCAACATTGCATCTCCTATATTATCAAAATTGAATCTTCTTGGATTTGCCCTAAAATAAAATATAAGAAATCAACAAACATATATCATACTTAATTTCTTGTTATAAAATTTTGATTAGTTAAAGTATTATTATTAACATTTTGGCGTAGAAATTGTTTTGACGAAGCATTATTTAATCCAAGTCTAACTACTTAACCAGTTCCAATGCCTGGTCCGCTGCTTGTGTTGTAGAAAGGAGACAATTCCAACAAATACTACGTACGCCCTTTCAGAATGTCATTTATTTTGCTCCAAACGCTTAAAAAATTTTAATACAATTTTAAGGGTAGTCTTAATAGTAATATCAATTTTTGAAGTTATATATTAACAGGGTAACTTTTGCAACTACCAAAAAGTAAGCCTTTATAAAATGACCGTAATTTATCGTAACCACCACCACCAAGTGTCTGATCGCTTTCCAAAAGTAGAAAAAGAAGATTGAGGGACGACCGCAGATCATTTAAAAACAAAGACCGAACCAAACATCAGCAGATTAACCGAAAAATACGAAAAGAGTGTTGCAAAGCTAAAGAAGCTAGACAGGTGTGCAGAAATGGATGAATTGGAAGAAAAACATGACTACTTTAACATACATAAACTCGTTAAAGTAGTGACAGGTCATACAAAACCTTACAGTGTTAACAGTATTGTGAAGGACAATACATTAATTACTGATCCCAAGGATTTACTTCAACATTGGAGCAACTATACTCAGACAACACTAGAAGAAACTCTGAAAGTGAATATAAAAGTGAACCCTCCCCCAAAATATTGAAGTCAGACGTTGTAAGGCCAATCAAACAGAGCAAATGGGGAAAAGCACCAGGCCCAGATGTTGAGTGAAGACCATATAGACGCCTTGATAGATCTTTTAAATGACATTTATGGGCCCAGTCAAATACCACAGGATTGGATTCAATCAACCTTTATACCAATCCCAAAAAAGAAGAAGAAGAAGAAAGAAATACTCATGGCTTAAAATCATAAGGGATTGGACAAACCTCGATGCCCATGAACTCTTTAGAGCCATACAAGATCGAGAGGAGTATGCCATAATTGTCGCCAATACCCACTAATTGGATAGGGCACCATATGAAGAACATAAAAATGACCCCTTTAGTTTTTTCGTCAGTCTTGTAAATTTTAATTTTAAGATGTGCTAACGATACAAGTTTCAAATTTCATCAAAATCGGAACAAAACTAAAAAAGTTATTTAAGGTCGAAATGGGTTCCAACGTGTATTGTGTTTGAATATAAGTTGGCCAACGTATGAAGAACTTTGTCTCCAATTATGCTTAATTATATTTCGGTTGTCAAATTTCCATCTACAAATATAATGTCCAATAATATGATCAGCTATGGAATGTGCCCAAACGTTCACTTTTTGAGAATACTGAATATAAGTCTCACACATCCAATGAGGATTCTCCACTGACCAATATTTGTCGCTTTCCTCCTTGTTCAATGTGAATATTGATTCATAAGAAACAAGAATTGTTATTTCATTAAAAGCTATTTCATTTCTGTTCAGTTTATCTATCATTCTTTGGCAGAATTGATGTAGGTGCCTTAGGATAATTATATGACACAATATTTTGACGTGAAGTTGACCTAGAATTTCAGAAAGGCCGTATCTTGGGTACCAAATAGAAGAAATGAAAGAGAGGCTGAAAATAAAGAAAGAAGAGAGAGCCTTTCAAGCAAAACTAAAAGCCCTACAAATAAAACAAAAATAAGTACAGTTCAAATACAGCTCGCCTGTATTTTGTATTCCTGTCCATTCTTTAATATTCCTTAACCAGGATAATTGTTTGCGGCCGGCTCCTCTCCTACCTTCGATCTTCCCTTGTAGGATTAACTGTGGTATTTCATATTTAGCTCCTCTCAATATGTGCCCAACGTAACCAATCTTGCGTTTTTTAATTAATTCAAAGAGTTCTCTTTCCACGCCAGCTCTATTAAGGACGTCATCGTTTCGAACTCTATCCACCCAAGGTATGCGTATCATTCTTCTCAATGACCACATTTCAAATGCTTCAAGTTTGTTGATAGATGTTTTTTTCAAAGTTCACGTTTCCATGCCATAAAGCAAGATGGACCATATGTAGCACTTGACCATTCTGTAGCGTATTTCGAAATTTAGGTTTTGATTACATAGGAGCGGTCTGAATTTCACAAAAGCTTGTCTTGCCATCTGTATTCGGGTTTTTATCTCGTGTTGTGGATCCGATTGGTCATTGATTGTGGTGCCAAGGTATTTAAAAGTTTTCACGCGTTTTATACGATCGTCACCTATGCATATTATCGGGTTTTCTGGAGGGTTTCTGCTAATGACCATATATTTCGTTTTCAAAATGTTGATTTTAAGACCATATTTTTTACCTATGCTATTCACCCTATCAAGTAATAACTGCTGATCTTTCAAATTATCAGTTATAATCACTGTGTCATCCGCAAAGCGTAGGGTGCTAATTGGTATGCCGTTCACCTTAATACCTAATTCCGTGTCTTCTAATGCTTCCGCAAATATATTTTCAACATATAAATTAAAAAACATTGGAAAGAGTATGCAGCCTTGGCGGACACCTTTCTGGATTTCAAATTCATCCGTATATTGGTCTTGATCAATCCTCACCTTTGCCATTTGATGCCAGTATAGATTCTGAATAATTCTGATCTCCTTCTGGTCAATGTTGGCCCTATGTAGTAGTTCCATCATGATATCATGTTGTACATTGTCAAATGATTTCTCGTAATCGATGAAGGTGATGTAGACATCTTTTCGTTGATCTAAGCAATTTTGTATTAAGGTGTTCAAACATAAAATTGCCTCTCTTGTTCCAAGTCCTCCCTTAAAACCGAATTGTGTTGATTCGCTAAGTTCTTCTAGTATCTTGTACATTCTTGAGTGTAATATCCTAAGGAAGAGTTTCAGCAAGTGACTCTAAACTGATTAAGCGGTGTTCACTGCATTTTGTGGCATTAGCTGTTTTTGAGATCATCACAAAGGATAACTGCAGCCATTCTCGCGGAATGTAACCAGTATCATAAATTCTATTGAACAGCCTTACCAAGATTTCGATATTCTCCTCCTCTAGTAGTTTTATTGCTTCTATATTAATTTCATCTGGACCTGTTGCTTTATGCATCTTTGTGGTTCTAACTGCATATTTTATTTCACTTCGCATTATTGATGGCCCTGATAAGTTTTCGGAAAGAAGTTTGCGCGTTGGTTGTGTTGGTCTTTCGTCATTAAAAAGCTCATTAAAAAACCGCTTAAAAAGCCGTCATTAAAAATTAAAGCTCTAGAGAATGAAATAAAAATTATTGATTATCTGAATATATATAAATAAAGTTACTTACCAAACTCGAGGTACCATGATAGCTGGAAATGACTCATTTTCACCAGGTTGAACTTTCATTTTTGTAACAAAAACTCTCCTCATAAACATCCCCACGCAATCTTCTCTTCTTGTTATATTAGGATCGTTACAACGCGCCAATCTTCCACCGTACAATTGTACTCCAAAGCTGGCAAATATGAACATCAGAAGAATTAAAAGTGTCGATACCAACAGAATTTCTTTAAATCCTCTACAAAGCTCGTATACGACTTTACTCATATGGGGAACTAAAGTAAATATTCTCAGGGGTCTCAGACATCGTAGTATCATAAGCAATTGTGCCCCAGAGTTAGGTGGAACGCTTTTCGGCATCCAACAGAGGAAAGTTAAATTAACCTAAAAGTAAAAGAACTTTAGAAACGTTTATTTTTAACATGCGGTTGAGCAAAAAGAAAATATATATATATATATATATATATATATATATATATATATATATATATAAACGAAGAATGATCACAGCTGTCCAATTATTAATTAGTATAATGGTAAGGTTAATTGGGTTAGCAGCTGAAACCCAGTTCAGCTGCTAACCCAATTAACCTTACCATTATACTAATATATATATATATATATATATATATATATATATATATATATATATATATATATATATATATATATATATTACAGGATCCAATTTGTAAATAGAATACATCTTGGAGACAGCTATCGCCGTATTCCCGTCCTCCTCCGCCAATCCTCTCGGTCCAAGGCATGCTCCTCCTCCAAACCTCTCGATTCCATTGCTCTTCTAATACCTTCATTCCATGAGTGTCGAGGTCTACCTCTTTTTCTTCTACCAGGGGGCTTCCATCTGTGAAGTTTTTGGGGCCAACGTTCGTCAGGCATTCTTAACAGGTGTCCAAACCATTTTAAACCTCTTCTTTCTATTCTGTCTATGACCGTATCTGTAGCATTCATCTGATTTCTTATAGATTCGTTGGTTTTCCTTTCCAGCCTTGATGTTCTAGCACTTCTTCTCAAATAATCCATTTCAACTGCCAACAATCTTCTTTTCAGGTCTGCATTAATTGTCCATACTTCAGAGCCATAACAAAAGAACTGATTCAACCATCGTTTGCTCTATTCTTTTTTTGTTCCTTTTGGAAATGTTGCGATCCCACCATAAGGAGTTCAAACATCCTACAATTTTACGTCCCTGATTAATTCGGTGTTTAATTTCGGTTTCACCCAAGCCGTTCTTATCAATGAATGCACCTAAATATTTAAATTTTTCCACTTGTGTGATTTCCACGTCCTCGTCTATCAACACTTCAAACCTTGCATCTGAATTGATAACTAGATATTCCGTTTTCTTCATGCTGACTTTTAACCCCCATTTTACATATTCTCTGTATAGACGCTTTATCATAAATTCTAGATCATAAGAATCTTGAGCTAGAACGACTTGGTCATCCGCAAAGTTCAGGGAGAACAGTACGTCATTTCCTATTGGGATTCCCATTCCCTGGCAGTGGTTTTTCCAATTTTGAAGGGCTGCCTCAATATATAAATTAAACAGTAAAGGTGACATACTACATCCTTGTCTCAGTCCTTTAGTTACTTTTATCGGCTCTGATAGTCTATTTCCGATTTTTAGGTAAGTGGTGTTATCCCTGTATACTTCTGTGATTATTCCTAAAAGGTGTGGACTAATGCCGAGTTGTTGTAAAGCTTGCCACAATTTAGGCCTTGGTACTGTATCATACGCTTTTTCTAGATCGATGAAGGCTAGATATACTTCGTTACCAACCGCTATTCTTTTTTCTATTAATTGTTGGAGTATAAACAAGTTATCAGTGCAAGATCTACCAGGCGTAAATCCGCTTTGGTCTTCGCTAATTAGATGTCCTACATCATCTTGTATTTTTCTATTTATTATCTTTCCAACCAATCTGCCGAAAGTAGGTAGGACACTCAATCTTCTGTAGCAGTTAGGATCTTTTCGATTACCCTTTTTAAAGATGGACACTTGGTGAGCGGTTTTCCATTCAGATGGTATTTTAATTTGTTGGCAGCATTGATTCATTAGAAAAGTTATTCGTTCGATTAGGAGTGGACCTCCTGCTTTAAGTAGCTCTACAGCTATATTGCCAGGTCTTTCAGGTTTTTCATTTTAATTAGCGCAGTACGGACCTCGTTGCTGGTAGTATTAATGTTACTATTTGTTTGTCTCTCCATACTGTATTCTTCTCCCATATATTCCAATCTGGACTCTTGGAGTAAATTTTTATAGTGATTTTCCCATTTTTCTATAGAAATTAAGTTGCTTAATGAGTTATGGGTGTTCTTCTTTAGATTAGTGATAGTTCTCCATGCTTCCGTTGTCTGAGAACCACCCATTAAATTTTCAACTTGGACACATTTTTGTTCCCAGAAATTGTTTTTTGCTTCTTTTATTTGCTGGCGACTTCTCCGTTTTTCATTTGATATGATACTCTATTGCTAGATGTTTTATTTGTTAGCCATTTTTTATATAATTTGTTCTTTTCTTGTATCATTTCTTTTACGTTTTCTGTCATCCATGGTGGTTCGTGGTGTTTTTTGTCGTTGTTCTCTGTTCCTAATACTTCATAAGCAATTTTTTTTATTATCATTTTGAGGTTATTGTATTCTTGTTCTACATCCATATTTCTTTCCATCTCATTTAGTTCCCTTTCTAATCTACATTGAAAAAGATGTTTAATACTTGGTTGGAAAAGAAAATATTTTTAATAAAATAAACTTGTAAAATAAACTCATTTTAAATTTCTTCTTCATCTTTTTCTCATTATAAGTTTTCCGTTTTCATCCTGTACAGGACGAAAGACTTACTTAAGAAACTCGACAGGACAAGTTCCACTCTCAAATGTTTCCCTTTTGGCAATTGAAAATAATCTGGTTAAAAAAATGTCATATATACAAGTTTTTACAAATTCCTTATTTTAAATTTCACCGCACGCCCCTGAGCGGCATAGTAGAGTGGACCCAATGACGTATAATATACAGATTGAACGAAATAAATTCGGAACATAGGAATATAATGTATTTCGGCTCAATTCTGCTGTAGGTGGTTGGCCAACAAAATATTGTCAAATAATTATATTATAAAAATCCAATACTTCAGAGGGCTGCTGGATTCTGAACTCATAAAAATTGAAGGCTACACATAAATCTACGATTTATGCTGTCAAACCAGTTATAGTCCAGGAAATGAAGCATTTCACCTCGCAATTTTTTCGTGCTTTAAAAAAGTGATTATAAACAAAAAATGTGCTATACATTTTTTTTATAAAATGATATTTTTCAAGTTATTCGCGATTGAAAGTAATAACTTTTAGACGAAAAAATCCACGTTTTTAATCGATTTTTCGCGAATAATTCGAAAATGGTGCATTTTATCAAAAAAATTGTAGAGAACAAATTTGTAGCTTTTAAAAAGACAAATACAATTCATTTTTTAAAATGTTTTTGGGATATAATAGGAACCGAAATACGGCCTATCAATGTTCAGCGGTTTTCTTCAAATGCCAAATTTGAAAGATTCAAAATCAAATATCGGGAAAATGATGCATTTTTGGAAGAAAACTCACAAAACCTTTTTTAAAGAGCATAAATAGACCTATCATAAAAAAGACTCTAGCTCAAAAATTAAGTGAGTTATGATGAAAATAAGGTCAATACCTCATTTTTTACGAAAAAATCGATGAAAACAACCCCCTAACCGCCCCCATAATTAAAATCGATCTTTACCCTTCTGAAATTCCCTTTGTACATGTATTGTTAATACGTCCAAGAAGTTTGACCCATTTAAAATGCTTTGTGTTAGAAAAAGTACAGCTTAAAGCGAGAAACGATTTACAATTTCATATTTTTTACCCTTCTTTTTTTAAATATGCCCGAAAATACTGAATATATGAAAAAAATACAAATTACCAAATTGTAGCTTTTTTAATGACTAAAATTATCCTTCATTTAGATTTGTCGTACAATGAATATTTGGCGAGATATAGCCGTTTAAAGCATCGATTTACGATCAAGCACCATCTTTTTCGAGCCCTTTAAACTCACCCCATTTAAAAACCAAGGGTTCCAAAAGTGAAGGGTGCAATACTAGTCCACCAATAATTGAAGATGAGGATGACATAGATCACGATGAAGATGTAATTGATGACGAATAAAATTAATATTATAATTGTTTTACCTATAAATGTAAATATTTTCAACTATTTATGTAAATGTATAAGAATATTTGGTGCCTTTTTATGTTGATAATTTTTTTTGTATTTAATTCTACTTTTTTCAATTTATATCCTATAAATTAGTTTATAAAAACTGCAATGTTGTAAAGGGTGATTTTCAAAAGTTGAAAAGTTGCAAAATTTTGGCAAAAAATTGTTTTCACCTATAGCACTCATAACAATTGATTTTTAAGGGTTGAACATGTATGAATTTGTATTTTAAAGTATAAAAAAATCACTATTTAACTAATCAAAACCAAATTTCACTCATAAGATTTATAATATTATTTTACAATTTTTGAAAATTAGGGGTAGTTTTCACCCCTATGAACAATCAGGGTTCATCGGCATGACATAAACCATAAAGCAGAGGGTGAGTTGAGCTTAATTCCAAATTTTTATGCAAATCGTTCCAAGGTGAAATCATTTTCTTCGCATTAATAATTTTTTTATATTAATCTCTAATAAGAGTCGCTTTTTAAGGGTTGAAATATGATGTAACATTATTCAAAAGCACGAAACTATCATTATTTAATTAATTCAAACCAAATTTTACCCATATTCAGGTTTAATATGTTATTTTATAATTTTTGACAATTACGGGTAGTTTTCACCCCTTAGAACAATCAGGGTTCGTCGACATGACATAAACTATAAAGCAGCGGGTGAATTGAGCTTAAATCCAAATTTTTATCCAAATCGATCCAAGGCGAAATCATTTTTTTAGAATTAGTAATTTTTTTACATTAATCTCTAACAAGGGTTGTTTTTAAGGGTTGAAATATTATGGAACTCTATTCAAAAGTATAAAATAATCATTATTTAACTAATTCAAACCAAATCTTACCCATATTCAGGTTTAATATGTTATTTTATAATTTTTGACAGTTAGGGGTAGTTTTCACCCCTAAAACCCTTCAGCGCACTTCGGTTCGATATAGATTTTGATCCTTGGGCTATCACCTACCTTCTGTTAAAATTTCAACTGGATAAATGTAGGACGAAAAAATTGCGAGGTTTTAACTATTTTCGAGCTGCATTTCCTGAACTATTATCGTTTCCTTAGACAAACCCGTCTTACGCAAACAACATTGTTGTGAGACAGATAGTTGGAGGATATTTTATACAATGTCTATACCCAGGTATGGATTTATTTTTGTCCGAGTTTTATATTGGTCCACTATTTCAAATGCAGTTCAAACACACATGTATTAAATTGTATGTTCCGTTTTAATTTGGTTCAATCTGTATAGACTAATCAGTCCCCTATTCTCGCTATACATAGAGTTAGATTCTATGGAGAAGCTATGAGCACATTAACGTGTGTATTAAAAACGGCGTAGGTAGGTGTGGCTAATGATAATACCAATATGGCGGTAGGATCATGGCCGGACTCAATAATATTAAAACTACTATAAAAATATGACTAGTTATTTAGAAGTTTTAATCATAATCTAAAAAGTGGAATACATTTTTAATAAACTATGATATATTTATCCCGCGGTAAACACTAAAAACACGATATATTATACATAAAGATAAATTAATACAGTCAAATACTATTAATTTATTCTCTGAAGTACGGGCCATTACTTTGTTTACATATTTGTTGTTCATAATATCGTGGACCTGACGTGATCGTTTAGTGACGTCGATATACGAACGAAACAATAATATTAGGCATTGCTAAAAACATGCAATTCTCTTCAGTGCGTTATCGTAGCGAGACAGAGACGAACTAGTTTTTTGCGTTAGTGAAATATCTTTAATATTTTTATTTTTTTTGTGAACAATCGTTTTTAGTATTTTATAGTGACGTACTATTTATGTTCAGTGCGTTTCAAGTCGTTCTTAACATTTTACAGTGAGATCCTAAAAATTTAAGTTAAATTATGTTTATTTTAATATTTTTTTGCAAATAACTTATGTTTTGTACACTTACTTAGGACAAATTAATGAATTAAAAAAATTCACTTTTAAAAGTGTGTAATGTCTGATAAGTTTATTGTTTATTTTAATATTTTTTGCAAAAGATTGATATGTTTTGTAAATGCTTATGATAAATTAATGAATTACAATGAAAAGTTTTTTAAAAGCATGTTAAGGATTTAGTTTCTAGAGTGTATAAAGCCAAAGTTGCTCAGCTAGAAATTAAATGCTTTACACACTTTTAAAGTACTTTTCTTTATAGTTCTTTTTTTTTTGTAAATGTTTTTCTTCACCATAACTAATATTAATTATTTTATTTATTATCTAAAACCTAGCGGTTTACAGGGAAAGTAACAATGGAAAAATGGTCATGGACAAGGGAGGCAAATTATTTTTAACGTTTATTTATTTATGAAACGGGAAAAAGATTTGGGAGATTGCACAACTCCTTTACCCCTAATAGTGCGAGTGGCTCAAGCAACTGGTACCTCAGAAAGTACAGTGAAGAGGATAATTAAGGAAGGTAAAAACAAACCAACAACTTCACAATTTGTATCACCCAGAACAAGTATTTGCAAGCCCAGCCCCAAGTTATTAGTACAGTACGGCCACTCGGATTTACGTTTATCACCATATCATCCGAAACTTAACCCAATTGAAAAGATATGGGCCATTTTAAAAAATGAAGTTGCAGCAAGATGCACGACATTTAAATTAGCAGATGTTTTAGAACTAGCAAAAATCAGGCTAAATGAAATCACGCCAAAAATATGGGCAAATACTTGCAGGCATGTTGATAAAGTAGAAGAAGAGTACCTCAGCCGAGAATACATTCTGGATGAAGTGCATAAAATCATTATAAATTTAGATGACGATAGCGAATCATCTGAAACAGAATTGTCTGATAGCGACGACGACGACGGCTACAACAACGACCTATAAATTAATACAAACTAGTCAAGGTCACAAGCTCGGTGTTCCATCCCTCCATGTACATTTTTTAGTTCTTTTAACATTTATTAATTATTTCATTTCTTATTTAGTTTTAATTGACGTGTATGTGTGTGTCTTATCGTGCGTAACCTAATATTCCGTCTCCATGTAGATGCTGCATTAATTTTCTTAAATACTTAGAGACTACTCCGGTTGCACAGTCATATTGAGTATAAAATATCAGTACCATCTAGAGAGTGTCATATAATCCCTTAAAAGTAAATAGTTTATCACCCTCCATCCAAGTGCAAGAACGAAATTCCACAGTTCAGTCCAGCGCACTGGCGAGAGAAGAAGACATTTAAAAACACAGACAATTTAAATAATTGATAACTTTGTATTTAAGTTATTTCGTCTTAAACATAATACCAGCAGAAGTGGTTCTAATTTATTTAAACAATAATTGTTTTTAAACAAATTCTATAAATCAATTTCATCTGCCCGGACAAATTTATTTTCGGTCTTTTGGATCATTCTAAATAAAAAAGGTATATTGTAATTTGTCTCTAAAGTTGATCTTTTTGAATTTATACAATTTAAAACAAAAAAAAATGAAAAATGAGAATTTTTAAAGCTCAAAAACACACAATTATTTTTGCATTCGCCAAACCTTGTTCTATCAGTTTCTGATACTTTAGTTTCGGCTTATTTGATTTTAAAACATTGTTTTTAGTTGTTTGAGGCCCTTATCCCAACCTAAAAATAGATTTATACAAAATTGTTTAATAAATTAGGATCACTTTTTGTATGGGCGACCTCTTGAACATTATTCTGCGGTCTTTTACGAAAGTGATTATGTAAAAAATGTCGTGCGAATATTTTTCCCAATGAATTCGAGGTTTTCGTCTCGTATAAACATATTTGGCTAAATTTAAAACCAAAATCCTATTATTTTTCTATTATACATTAATTTCTTATTTATTTATTTGTCCTTTAGATTTTTTCAGTTCTTAAAAGGTTTATTTACAAGCCAAATTAGTGCAATGTCAATATTTTAAATTTTTACACAGCAATTTTTATCGGCAGTGAAGACGGGAAGTCGTAAATTTTTATTACATCTTTAAATGTGATATACAATAAAAATGCGATGACTAACTTGAGTGTTTAAGATACATAATATATCATGTTTATTGGAAATACTCGACATCATTAGCACGTGCAAATCCTACCCTGTCGCCCAATTTCCAATGAAATTAAAATGGTGCATGTTTTTAGGATCCATTTATTTTTTCGGGTATGCGTATTTACGAGGTCCACGAGGTTTTGAAACATTTCTAACAATAGTATTAACAATATGACCGAAGTGAGGTCGTTTTTAGTCACGTGATCCCGTCTCCATAGATTCACTCGATGTCGCTATATAATCGAGTGTCCGAAAGATCTCCGCTCAAGGTTGAAGGTATGTTTACCAGAACAGCGGCGTGCTCATTTAAATGTTAATGACAATAATTATTTTTTTAATTAAAATTAAATATTTATGATTTCTTTTTGTTCCCGTCTATAAGAGAAATAATTATTTTGATAAAATAGTATTTTACTAAAATAGTAGTAATGGTATTTTACTAAAATAGTAAGCAAATAACTCTTAACAATTTAAAATAAAATTTGCTTGTCACATAAAATATGTAAACACACAAAATAAAGAAAATGTTTTTATACGTTCATGATGTATTCAAACACAAGATCAACTTCGTGATGCTTCGTAAAAAAGCATGAACTTAGTGCATCTTCGTATCAAAACAATAAACAATAACAAAGGTGTTCATGTTGTGGACACTTTTTAAAGCGTTCACCGGGTCTATATATTATACGTCATTGAGTGGACCATTGGCTGATTCTAAAAATACATACTACATAGATAAAGACATCCAACACTGCTGCAACATCCTTAACGTAAGCTTTTGGAGTGAAGAATAAGCCATCTGCCAAAATCTTGAGAGCCAATTCGATACTCATAAAAATGACAAATCCATACTCGGCTATTTGTAAACTGGCGTTCTCCATAACTCGGTAGGATGGTGTCTCGAACATCATTGATAAACATGATAAGGTTGTCATAGTTATCATCACCCAATCTAGGTAAGTAACTAATCCAAGGAAATTACTAAAACATATAAAAAGTACGTGTGTAATGATCCGAAAATTATGTACCTATGAATTATTTACTTTTGTCCCACCCTGTATATCTTAATCATCTATACAGTTCCCAATATCCACTCAAAACATATTGCATTATACAAAACATATGAAATATTTTAATACACACAAAATTAAAGTAATATACTACTTACTGCAGGGTTTTGTATTGAACTTTTCTTTCTTTTCCAGTAAGAGGGTCCTTTAACCTGGCATCATATCGAGCATAGACAATCATTTGACAAAATTTTCTAAATTTACTCTCTCTTGGTACAGCAAAAAGAGGCGTATCGAAGAAAGGGTGGTTTTCTCGTAGATCTTCTTCTCGCTGATTTCTAAATAATATAATTATTAATCATATATAAGTCTTATACAAAAACAAACTGTAGTGGTGTTATTTACAGGTATAAGATTAATACATAAAAAGTTACAGAGAACTCTTTACGAATTGAAATCGAACACACTCCTCAGAACGTCAGTTTATACTCTTATAGTGGCTTTACACGATCGGCAATTCTACAGATCATCGCGGACAGCCGATCAGTACGGGCGGCAACGCACCGCAGACAGAGCTCTTCCTACGGTCCGTGACAGTCTGTGTAGGTCCGTGACAGTATTGTTTGATTATATCATAAAAAGGCCACTCAGGCTTGTAAACATCATCAGCCCCACTACCAGTTCCCATCGATTCTCTAACTTTTGTTTTTTGCCTTTTGTATGTCGACATTAAATTATCTCTCTTCTTTTTAAATTCTTTAATCGAAATAGTAATATTCTTCAATTGATTTTTTTATTCGGTTCGGTACTTATGTTCTGGCGCCGTGGAATTCCATAAACTTCGTTCATCTTGATACAAATTTAAAAAATCAAAAACAACTTTGTTTGTCCATTCCATTTTTTAGCAAAAAATTTCAAAACAACTTTGACAACACTACAGACAACTACTCGTGTCAGTGAATGAAAAACTTCTGATTTGCACTTGTCGTCTGTTAAAACACAGACGCGCTAGGATCGCATCGCACGAGCATGTACCGCATCTTTGATGTTACCGACTCTAGATGGATAGGACGCACTAACACGGACGTGCCTGTGCTACCACGGACGAGACTCTTCCCACGGTGCGTGGTGCGTGCTGGTCCGCTTACGTCCACAATATCGCCGACCGTGGGAAGCCTCTATTAGGTACGTCTTTTAATAGCTATGAATCGGCAATATTTACGGGTGTGACAATATTACGTAAACTCTTTTCAGGCCAAAGCTACAATACCGGCTGCATACCGGCTGCTAAAAATTACATATTATCGAAATCGATAACTATACATTTCAAATACGATTGCCTTTAATATTGTCGGCCAACATCTATATCATGTTACGTCTCACAACTTCCCTTTTCCCCTCAAAGGCGTCTGATGTCTCAGCATTATTTATTTAATTGTTAAGTTGTTGTTGTTCTTTGTTGCCCTAAAAACCATCAGGATCTTTTAACACTATTGCCACAAATAGGTCGCATTGCTCCTGTAGCGATCTTTTCACCAAGTTAATGTTATCTTATAATTTGTCTGTAATTAATGCCTTATTGATGATGACAAAATAGTCAGAAATACGTATTTAAAATAAGAATGCGATGCGATTGTTTGCAATATTTGTTTTGTTTGATAGGCTCACAAGTCTGACCTTACGCTATTTTTAACTTTATTGTTGATAGGCTTATACTCTGGTGATTCTTTCGATGTTCTTCTTTCTTCCATTATATCCAGTGTTGTTTGTTTCAATTTCGTTTTTCTCGGATTTTTATTTTTACCACAGATCTTTTTTGCAGTTGATGATATGTCATTCGTTAATTTTTGTGTTATTTCATTTATATCTTTCGTGTTGAATACTGGTAGAGGTCCTAGTCTCTTTTTTAGTTCACTTTGATATTCCTCTTGATTCATTTCGAGTGCTTCTATATTTGATAATTTATTATGTTAATAATTTTCTTGTATCACATTTCGTATTTACTTCTATTCGTACCCTAACTAATCGATGATTACTATCAATGTTTACAGTTTAATATAGTAACATCTTTAGCAATATTTTTGAAGTTAGAGAGTATAAAGTCAATTTCATTTTTTACTTTGCCGTCTGGGCTGTGCCACGTTCATTTTCTCTGCATCTTTTTCTTGTAGAATGTCTTTAAGCAGAATAGTTTTTCTTAGCTGAGGAAATTTGCGAGCATATTTATCGGGATCATATCTGTGATTTCTACTTCCCAGTCCAAAATTTCCAATATATTCGTTGCCGTTGTTATTTTCGTTCTTTCCTATTTTAGCGTTGAAATCTCCCGTAATTTTTACGTAATATGTTTTCTCTAAGGGCTCTTGGGGTTTTCTGGCTCTTTTAATGTCTTCATAAAGTTGTTTTACCTCTTCATCACCTGCAGAAGAAGTTGGTGCACAACAGTGGATTATTTGAATGCTGTATCTACGTCTTAGTTTTATTACCAGATAGATAACTCTATTAGAAATCGCTTGGAATTTAGATACCAAGTTTACAATTCTCTTATGTACAAAAAAGCCCCTTGGTTATTTCCTGAATCGTATTGATACAAAGTGTGCCCTGATTTTAGTAGAGTCATTTCTTCGCCTTTAAGCCTTGTCTCGCATAATCCTACTATGTTCCATTGTATGGTCTTAAGTAAGTTCTCCTTGCAACTCTTAAGTTGCATATTTTTGTGTGGTCTCAAAATTGTCATTTTTAGCAAAATTCAGATTGTTTATACGATTTTTATTGGTTCAGTAGCATTTTCGTATTTGACGACTGAAGGAGATACCTAAGTAATTTTGATAAGAAGGTTAAATTTTTAATTAAACAATAATTACATTTTTAATAGCGTACCTTCTCATTTCTGCTTGTTGTCTTTTGGCTTGTAATAACTTAATGTCCAGATCGTGAGGTCGGGCTCTGTTTGACGTGACCCTGTTGACACCGATATCACCATTTTCCATCAAATGTTCGTAGGTTTGTTTCAGCTTAATAGAACCACTGCGTACACTTCGTCTGATTGATCGCGAACCAAATCTGTGAAAAAACCTAAATTTAAATATATCACCTACATAGTTCGCAATTATTGATAAAGTTGTTTGCAATTTTCAATTAATTTAAAATTTGAGCAACTTACGAATTCATGCTCTTTTGAGACAAATGCAAGTGGTGCTTTAGAATAAAGTTTTAAATGTAAAATATACCAGGTTGATGTTTGCAATATGTGACTGTTCTTTTAAATTGATCACTGAGATAAGAGTATGCCATCAAACTGCGTTAGGGACTATATAATGACATTTAAAAAATAGCCAAATATACAGCAAATAACACCAAATATTTTAGCAATATTTTCACGATTTATTAAACGAGAAATTTAATAGAAAATCTGTTGTGCAATGCAATCAAATGAACTAAATCAAATGAATTAAAAATATTCAAAATATTATTTTAAATCATTTATTTTAAAATGTATATATAACTCTTTGTTCTTTGACTCATTTTGTAAGTATAGATATAGTTAAACGAGAGAGAGGAAAGGGAGAAGCTTAGGGAGCCGAAAGAGAAGCTTAGACAGAAAAAGGGAGAGCTGAATGAGAAGCGTAGAGAATAAGAGGAAGAGGAGAAGGAGAAACGTAGAAAATATAGGTATAAATTGTAAATAGTTTATCCCAAATACACGAAAATTTTAAGTAAGAAGTAAGTCAAAATAGATAAATTAGAAAAACAACAAAATGGTTTAAAACAACAATCAAATGATTTAGAATCTAATTCAATTTTAAATTAAACTAATTCAGAAAGATAAAAAGTTAAGTTAGAAAGAAAAATTAATACCCAAGCTTCTTTCTCTAATATAATTTCAGTAATTAATGTCGAATCTGAATAAACAACTTCATAATCTATCATAGCTAAACCAGGCAAAATTTAGAACCACCCACATTCAATGTCAAACAGCATGGGAAACAGCATGGATGGACTGGGAAAGAAATGATAGCTTCCTTGGTAGTGTCGCTTCGAGGACAGGCAGCAACGTCTTGTAATTTCTTCTCCAGGATGTACCCAGTTATACCTCTCTTGTTTAAGCTTTATAGACAAAATAGGGCCAGCAGCATCTAAAGCAGGTATCCCAAAGTCAGCTGAAAGGTCTGTATCAAAAACAGAACGAAAGCTTGCAAGACTTTGAAGCTGATATTAAAAGATTATTGCGTTGGCGTACCCTCATGCATCTAAAGATATTCTGAAACAAATCGCTATACAGACATTCATAGATGGACTACAAGATGTCAAAATGCAAGAATCTCTTCGATTACAATATGACAAAATGCTAAATGGAGCACTTTTTCAGCCCAGAAGTACGAAGCTGCGAAAAGCATTTCCAGATCTCGCTAAAAAATTCCGAACATGAAGAAACCAGTTATTCTTCATCGATGATGATCACCGAAAGGGAAATTAAGCTTCCTCAAGATCTTATTTTCAGAAGATTGCTTCTTTACAAAGAAGAACGTTCATCCTTGACATACATTGAAAATTTGAAAGAAAAATTGGAAAAACTTCGATTTGCTCTTAAAAGTTTGAAACATCAAAACAATAAAGCAAAGAACAGCCTCAACATTCATGCTATTGGGACAACTTTCGAAAAAACGGTGACTCAGTATGGCTATACACTCCCAAAGTAAGAAAGGACCTTGACTGAAACTTTAACGAAACTATGAAGCCCTTACACAGTTTTCAGCTAAGAGTAAACCCAAGGTACTTCATATCGAGACTAGCTCTATACCATGGAACTGATCCACCCTGTTGACTTCAACCGGTCCCTGATAGACCAATCATCTTCGGAGCTTCTGTTTTTAAAAATCTTTTTTGTACTTTTTTTCTTTTCAATTTCGTGGTTGTCTCATTCTCATTTGTCCATTTTGACGCTTGTTTAAACAATATTGCCTTTCTTAGAGACTTGAGTTTGGTTGCCGCTAGAGGAGATGGACGGAAGCGATTCATCATCAACTACAACAGGTAAGTGATACGTTGCTGCTAAAAAGTCATCATCCGTGAATTTATCTTTTTGGAAAGGCCAGGTGTACAATAAACTCTAAGAAAAATACGATGTAATAATTGATATAATACGAAAAATAAGTGAAGAAGAAACAGTCTTGAGTTTATTAGATACCACAGAAAAACCAAAGATTATTTAGAAAAATCAAAAGTATTTAGTTAGAGCAGTCATATATTAGCAAACAATCAACAGTTTCTAAATATAATATGTATATTATCATGCTTTTTTTTGCTGTAAAATATATATTTGTAAAAACTAACAAGCAAAAATCATGTCAACGTGCTATTTTTAAAAATCAATGTATGTGTCATAGAAACATTTTCATAAAATTCGTGTCTATAATTTTCCATTTCAAAATGGTGTTCTTTCACCTATTCTGGTTGCGTATCTAAATTTTGCATGCCAATTGTACTTCCGGATGAAATTTTGTTGCCAATTGGTTGGAACTCACTTCTTATGATCGATACGTAACTGTTTCATACTGTTTACGGTTCCTTGAGGTTTTAAAGGCCCTTTGCTTCCTGGAACTGGTATCATTGAAGAATCGCCCAACATCAGTCTTTGGTTGTTCGAGTCACTAAAATAGGTTATTAATTAAATATATATTTAAAAAAGTAACTATCTACAAAATATAACAAGGGTAGATTCAAACAGATCCCCAACGTTTATTTTTTTTCAAGGTAATGATAATCTTAATATATGCTCTATGCCTCTTCAAGGTATTGTAACGATACCATCACCCTCTCGCGCCATCGGTTTGCCTCCTCTCTATACGGCAAGCACTCCCACCGACATTAATCACTACCATTTGATGCGCGCTGGAAATGGAATAGCGTCAAAGATACAAAACACCGTTGATATTGACAGGGAGCCAAGTCCGGACCAAGTCTTACCATCTGGTAAGAACTGAAAAGCGGGCCTTTGAGTAGTTATTATATATTAAGCTTGAGTATACAGTTTACTTTAATTGCTATCGATATTTTACAAAAATTTTAGTTGAAAATAGAAACTAGAACTTACTTTACGATTTGAGCCACTGCTGTCTTCTTGAGCTTCAAATTAACAGTTCTCACTTTGGTTAAGTTATTTAAAATTTTTAATGGTTTTTGTTTCCTGTAGATAACCTTGGTGTCGAATACTTCTTCGCACAATTTTTTGATTCCTCCCTCAGAATTTTCGTCATCTTCAGTTTCATAAACAAATTGTCTCATGAAACTTTCTCTTACCTAAGAAAAACAATTCAAGAAAACGGTAACTCACGAAAATATATTATTTATAAATACAGTAAAATTAAATAATATAATATTACTGTTATGACAGTTCCCTAAGATTTATTCCATAATATTTTTTATAAGAGCTCTTTTCTGGTAACGCAATAATTCTTTTCAGTCTTTCCTATTGTTTTACTAAAATATGCAATAACTTTTTCGTCGCTTTGTTGTTCTTGTGATAATACGGCGCTAATACCATGCTGAGATGCGTCACAGTTTAATAAAAATCCCACAGCTCTGCTTGACTTTTTAGGAATTGCTACAAAGGTCGATTGCAGCCATTGTCTGGGGATTGTGGCAGTCTGATATATTAGATTAAAGAGTTCCACCATTACATCAATAAGATCTTCATCGATGAGTTTTAATAATTCGATGGGCACATCATCTGGTCTAGTAGCTTTACCCTCTTTTGTGTTTTTTATGGCATAGATGACTTCTTCTCTTAATATTGGTGGTCCGGTATTCTCGGTGATTTCTAATGACAGTTCTTCTCTTTCATCATTAAATAGTTGTTGGATGTACTTGGTCCAGTGACATAATCTCTCCTTCATATCAGTAATAATATCCCCTTTATAATTTTTAAGGATATTCGCTTTTGTACGTTTTCTAGAACCTGTCATTTCTTTAATTTTTTTGTGTTAATTAAAACTATCATACTTTTTATCCAAATCTTCTATTTCCTTGCATCTATCGGAGAGCCACCTCTCTTTTGCCTCTCGAATTTTCTTTCTGATGTTTCTCTGAATTTCTTTGTATTTATTCAGGTCTTTTGCTTTATGTTTTCTTCATTCTTCTATACGTTCAAGAATTTCTACTGTCATCCAAGGTTATGTTTTTTCTCCAAGTTGTTTGAGGGTTTCTTTTTCAACCGACACAAGGGCATGTTGAATTTTTCCCCATTTTTGGTCAATAGTTAGAGTTTCCGCATTATCTTCTTTGACTTTTCTTAAGTTCTCGTTTATTTTAAATTTCGTTTCCACATATGTGCTGTCATATTTGAGACGTCTTGTATCCATGATTTTCTTGGTGCTATGCTAGGGCTGTTGACCTTCTTTAGTTTCACTCTCACCGACGAATCAACCGGGTTGTGATCGGAGGATATGTCCGCTCCTGGATAAGTTTTAGATGATATAATAGAATTTTTATATCTTCTGTTGACGTTAATATAATCTATTTGATTTCTGACTCAAAATCAACCAAAGATTACTACGAGGAAATGACGGCTGACGTTTTTGAAGAATATTTTGAGCAAATGGATTTAATTCCAAAAAATTCTGTCATAGTCATGGATAATGCTAGTTACCATTCAAGACTAGCAGAAAAATTGCCAACAACGGCATGGAAAAAAGGAGAGATAATCGAACGGTTGGATAAACACGCAATTGAGAACAAGGAGAATTCGACAAAAAAGGAATTATTACCTATGGTAAGGCAACATAAAGCAGCTTACAAAAAAATATGTAATTGATGAAATGGCATTAAACCGTAATGTAATTATTTTACGTTTACCCCCATACCACTGTGATCTGAATATGATAGAAAATATATGGTCTCAAGTAAATGGTGAAGTCGGACGCAACAACAAAACTTTTAAATTAGAAGACTTACAACAATTATTAGAACATTCCTTATCAAAAGTAACTCCAGAAAATTGGAAAAATGCTGTTAGTCATGCTCACAAGGCAGAAAATAAAATGTCGAATTTGGATAAAATGACCGATACAATGCTGGAACCGGTAATAATTAACATTGGAGTTGAAGATTCCTTAGATTCTGAAGAAAGCAGTGAATCTGAAATGGAATTTGATTAAAATAATATTAATTTTTTTACAAATCGGCCCCTGTTACGGCCACAAATTATTTTATATATAACCAATAAAATAAACATCCTACATTTCTTGCAAATTCATTAGTACCTGTTAATCTCCATCACTCCGACACTGGCAACTTTATTTAGGAATTAGTAACCCTCAAAACTATTGCATTCTATTCTGCTTCAACCTTTATACCTGGTGGTCATACTCAATTTAAAATTGTTTTCCTATATACTTCTGTAAACTTGTTGACAAATATCTATTTTTCATTGAGCCACCCGTATCAACAGTTTAGGGATTTGCATACATGATGTGCTATCAATATGATGGAAATGGACTATAGTCATTTAAAAAACACAGATAAGAACTTCTTATAGATAAGAAGAACAATGACTGCAATTATACAAAGTTATTTCTAGTGTATCCCACGCTATGTATTAAAATATAAAACCCTATAATATAAACGATAATTATTATCTACTTATCATAAATCAATAGTGACTGGGAATTAAATTTACCTTTGGTAGATTGAAGTCAGAAGGTACTTTGTGTAGAGTTACCATTAAAGGACTATCAGGAAACTTTTCAAATATTCTTAAACGAAAGGGTAATGTTTCCTTAATTTCTGCACTCTGTTCTCTGTATTTCAACTGTTTCAGTTTCTTAATATCTTCATCAAGTTCCAAATTATCTAAGATAACTGCTACGAATAAACTTAACACGATCTAAAATAGAACAATATTTCAACATTTTGTTACCCTCAATAAATTTTGAGAAAGGAGCAAGTTAAAATGTTTATGCAAAATGTGAAAATAATGAACTAGAGCAGGAGTTACCAACATAGGCGAGTGGTTTACCCCTATAAGCAGAGCATCAACCTACTAAAATTCTTTTTGCATATAATAATAATCTAAATTTTGCATAAATAATCTTATACACCAAACATTTTTTATTCGATTCTATATATTTTTCCAAGATGAAATGTATTTTTTTTTAATTTTTACAAGTGGGCCGGCAAAAAACTTATACAAAAAAGCAATTTCACCGAATTGTTTCGGAATCAATTTTTTTAGGTGTATCTCGTCAAAATAAACACTTTTTCTCTCCTGATAATTTTTCGAAAAATGCTTCCTTTTCAAGCTATTTGAATTTTTTTGTTTGTTTGTTTTTTTTTAATATTGAACTTTTTTCTGAGGATATTAAGGCAGAACTTTTGCATTTTCATCTCCTTAAATCCATTTATAATAGTAATAAAGATATTGATGTTATCCAGTTCTCAAAGTTAATCTCTCCTTAAATATCTCTTATTAAATCCGTTTGTTATAGTAATAAAGATATTGATCTTACCCAGATATAAATATTTCAAATTACGCCGCAAAAATTTATTAAACAAAGACAGGAGAAAAAACAATGTATTAGCTTTATAATTATCTTTTTCCTTGAGTTTATTACTCAAGGTATCATACTTCTCCCTAAACGAGGTGGCCTAGTTGCCTGGCTTTAACTAATTAACGAGGATGTTCTCCTGAGGAAGGTTACAACTACTGGAGGGTTTCTAGATAATCCCCCTCCTGGTTACGCCACTGCCTGGTTTAGTGCTGAGTATCCGTACCGCGGAAGTGTAGTAGGTTTTCGAAACAGTTTTACATTTTAAACGTTTTCTTTTTTTGTGTTTTGTAACATGTATCCCATATACTAAGGTCACACATAAATTTAATAATATAAAAAATTACAGCTTGTACCATATATAACATATGAAATATTAGTACAAGCACTCTATTCTCTGAAAATACTCAAATTGAGTGCTACTCTCTAAAACTACTATAATACTCTTTAAAGCTCGTATGTTCTTCTGTTAAATCTCTATGGAACAGAGCAAGTATAGTACCAAATGTAACAATAAAACACTGAAAACTTTGATTTTAAACTTACACAAAATTTATTTTAACCTCTTATCACTACAGCTGTTTCGGCTGATTGCCTTTCTCAAGTGATCTATTTTTGGTTGTTATATCTCAAGTTGGTCATTCAGAATTATATCTGTGATGTTTAATTTGTTAATTTCCATAGATTCTAACAAGGATAGCTTAAGGCCTTTATTTTGAATGTGAAGAATTTAAAATTCGTCATTAAAAGAATGATTGTGATGTAGAAGGTGAAGTGCATATATAGAATATGTTTTTCTATTATTGAAAGCCCTTTTATGTTCTGCTATTCGTTTATTAAAGTTTCTACCAGTTTGGCCGATGTAAGTTTTTGGGCAGTCACCACATTTAAGTTTGTACACACCACTGTGTAAGTGTTTTTTATTTTGGCTTTTGTTGTTTTTGATATATTTGCCTAGGTTGTTATTTGTTCGGAAAGCTGGTGTTATTCCTTTCTTTTTTATGTGTTTGGCTATTTTTGTTGATATTTTGCCTGTATATGTAATCGAGCAGAAGGTACTGAGTTATTTCTCTGGTGGTAGAAATACTAATTTCGGGGCTTTCTTGTGTAGTTTTTGATTTTATTAATTGTTTGTTCGTTGTATCCGTTGTTTACTGCTATTTGCTTAATGATATTTAATTCTGTCTCAAAGTTGTATTTTGACATCGGATTTTCTGTTAATCTATGTAACATACGATGATAAGGTGCCAGGTTATGTTGTTGGATGGGATGATGAATTGTGTATAGTCGTGTCAGTATGGGTAGGTTTATGAAATATGGAGGTCATGTTTGTTTTTAAGTCTGATAATTTTTAATTTTAAAAAATTTATGGATTGATTTTGTTTCTATTGTAAATTCAATATGACTATGAAGTGAATTAATAGATATTCGATAAAAATTAATCGAGTTGCCTGTTAGTTTCTGTGAAACATACCAGTACGTCATCTACGCATCTCCACCAATATAAAAACTGTTTAAATACGGAATGTTTTGAAATCTTTGTCTCTAGATGATCCAAAAAATATCTGATAGCAATGGGCTTAGTCGATTGCTCATTATGTCCCGCACTGTTATTTGTATATATTTGATTATTAAATTAAAAGTAGTCCTGGTTTATTCAAACTTCAAGAATGTAAAATTTCGGATGTAATTATTAGATTTGTACTGGATCCGATAGAAAAATATCAAAAACAAATTAAGAAAATTGATTAGAAAATTCAAAATCAATAGTAAATCCAATAGAACAGAAATACCTCAATATCATGAACCCACAGCCTCCTAAATTATACTCTTTCATTAACCTACACAAACTGGATCACCAAACAAGACCTGTAGTTTCTTTTTATACAGTTCCGTCATATAAGCTTTCAAAAAAACTGTTAGACATTATTTTAGAACACACTAAATTTTCAGTTAAATTTACCATAAAAAATACAATAGAACTAGTTAATAAAATACATTTTCAATTATCTAACAAAACAACTCCAGATTAATTTCACTTGACGTAAAAAATCTTTTTCCTAGTATCCCTCCTACAGAAACTTTTATTCTAGTAAAAAACCTTACAGACCAAAATAGTACAAATCCAATAATTACATCTGAAATTTTACATCTTCTTGAAGTTTGCATAAACCAGGACTTCTTCTTCTTCAAGTTCCACTCCTATCGGAGATTGGAAATCATTCTGGAAATTATAATTTTATTGGTTACTCGCCTGAATAGTTCAATTGAACTGCATCCAAACCACTCACGGAGATTGCGTAGCCACGAGATTTTACGTCTTCCTACGCTCCTTCTATCTTTGATTTTACCCTGCATTATATTCCTTAGTAGTTCGTACTTTTCACCTCTCATTATGTGCCCCAAGTATTCCAATTTCCTGATTTTTATGGAATTTAAAACTTCGCATTGTTTTCCTAGTTGTTCGAGAACTTGTTCGTTTGTTTTGCGATCCATCCATGATATTTTCAAAATGCGTCGGTGACACCACATTTCGAATTCTTCTAGGTTTTTAATGTTGGATTTTTTAAGTGTCCAAGCTTCAACTCCATACAAAAGGGTAGAGAAAATATAACATCAAAGCATTCTTATCCGGAGCGATATATTGATATCGCGATTACAAAAAAGGAGGACTACTTTGAATTTAATAATCAAATATATACATAAATAACAGTGCAGGACTTATAATGGGCAATCCTTTAAATCCAAATATCTATCAGATATTTTTATGGATCATCTAGAGACAAAGATTTCAAACTGGTAGAAACTTTAATAAACGAATAGCAGAACATAAAAGGGCTTTCAATAATGAAAAAACAGATTCTGCATACACACTTCACCTTCTAGATTACAATCATTCTTTTAATGACGAATTTAAAATTCTTCACATTCAAAATAAAGGCCTTAAGCTATCATTGTTAGAATCTATGGAAATCAACAAATTAAAAAACACAGATATAATTCTGAATGACCAACTTGAGACAAACAGTTCTCCCCTCCTCAACCTATTTCATTAGAGACTATAAAGTGTAAACCCATGACAAAAATAGATCACTTGAGAAAGGCAATCAGCCGAAACTGGTGTAGTAATATGAAATTAAAATAAATTTTGTGTAAGTTTGAAATCAAAGTTTTCAGTGTTTTATTGTTACATAAAATGAATTTCCATCAAGTAACGGTCGAATCCATCAACATTCATTAATGTTTACACATTGAGTTATTGCATTTAAATTACTTAACTTTGGTTTATACTTATTTATCCTTGATTTGTTCTTGATTTTGTAGCCAAAGGATAGGTGGGTTTAAATTAGATGTCTTTAAAATACCTACAAATAAATTGACAGTCCTTGATTTTTCAGTATTTTTATTTTAACTTTCCTTTGGTTTAATAATCTTGTACACGTGATTTTACTGTCATAGAGGATGTGGGTTTAAATTTTTTTTTTTGTTTAAATTTAAGACCCCTTAATGTTGTACCCTTTTTTGCAACCGTAGGGTATTTATGTTTTAATAACATCTCATTGGTTTAATATATCGCTTAAAATAATCACTGTGGAAATGGTTCCCTTACATGAGGCACAAATCATATCAATCGTAAAAGTGCTAAAATCTAAATCCTATATCAAAATCACCCTCAAGACCCTTGACCCTCCCGACAAAAATTTCTGGATCTGCCACTGCTGTGCTATGAGGTTTGTCTAAAAAACACTTTTTATTAAAAAAAATAGCTTTATTTTAGCTTGCTCCTTCCTTTTAAAAACGAGTAGTGAGGATAATAAAACTTACCAACGTAACAAACAAATGATATAAAATAAAATATACAGCAACTAGTGGCGCTAACATCGATCTCGTCCTCAACATTGTTTCATCCATCACTTCGACCCAAGCTTCCTGCGTCAATATTTGGAACATAGACATAAATGCTTCGGCGAAAGTTTCAAATTTAGCAAAATCCAAAAAACAAAACAACTGCATCGAAATACTAGAAGAGATTATTAGCAAACACATAGTGAATATAATCAGGCTTCCCAATTTTTTTCCAGGACCAAAAATTTTATAAACGAAGTCTTCTAATAAGGGCGATGCTTTGATCAGCCTTACAACTCGCAAAACCTGAAAGTACGTAAATCCGGTCATATAAAAGCCTGGAATAACATGGATCGTAGTGCCGATAGCTAACAACAACTCGAATTTATGAATGGAATGTTTCCAGTATCCCCTCCATGCCAAACACCAAATTTTAAAAATAGTTTCCAAATTCAGGAGAGCTGTAAATCCCAGTTCTATGTAGTAATATTTTTCGTAAAAGACATGTCTAGGCCTTTCGTCGTGCTCGAACCGCATTGTGGCTGTAACGATGCCATTTGCTAGTATTACGCACATCACTATCAGTCGGAAATGGGGAGATCTTAAAATTTTATGACAAAATTCCGGTGCTGATCCGCTGTGTTTATTTTCGTCCAAGGTAACCAGTCTCCATCCTCTGTCGTCACCAATCAATATCTAAAAATATAGAAAATTAACAAATTTTATTGAATTATAGCCATGGCTATATCCGTGTGAAGTTGTCTGTCTCCCATCGGACGAGTCCCCAGGTGGTGGATAGGGGAACGCCCTAACCGGTTCTAGGACCTGCGGGTAGGTGGGAAATAAAATACCACCCGTGAACCAAAACGGACTAAGGTATGGTAACCCTAACAGAAGAGTCCCTGGCCCTCCAGGTTGGAGGTTGGGGTTAGGGCTAACAACTCTACCCCGTAAAAAAAATATCGTTACGAAATCTACAGCTAAAGAAACCGGACGGAACTTACGACGACGACCAATGCAACGAAATAAGGACAAAGATTTAAAAATTTACACGTGGAATGTGCGGACACTTTATGAACCTGGAAATCTTAAAAAATTAATAGACATACTAACTCAATATAAAGCACACATTACTGCTGTGCAAGAAGTAAGATGGACTGGCCAAGAAATTATCCAAAAGAGACAATGCGATATATATTACAGCTGTCACAAGAATAATCACGAATTCGGGACCGCATTCATTGTTAACAAAAAAGTAAAACATCTTATTATGGACTTCAAACCAATAAGTCCAAGAATATGTTACCTAAGAATAAGAGGTAAGTTTTTTAACATACATAAGGTCATAAATGTGCATGCCCCAACCGAAGACAAAGAAGAGGATGTCAAAGATCAATTCTATGAGGAAGTAGAGACCATCTACGATAGATGTCCCAGAAACGACATCAATATCATAATTGGAGATCTTAATGCAAAAATAGGGAAAGAAAATATATATAGTCCATACATCGGAAAATTCAGCGCTCATGACGTCACCAACGACAATGGAAATAGAACAATAGGATTTGCAGCATCCAAGGGCATGGTCGTTGGAAGTACCTACTTCCCCCATAAGAATATCCATAAAGTAACATGGACGTCGCCTGATGGTACAACCAAAAATCAAATAGATCATATCCTAATAGAAACCAGGCACTTCTCTAATCTAATTGATGTACGTACTTATCGTGGAGCTAATATAGATTCAGACCACTTCTTAGTAGGCGCAAAAATAAGAGCAAGAATCTCAAATGCAAAAAAAGAAAAGGGTAAGAAAAGTACTCGCTACAATTTAAAACTCTTAAAAGAGCCCCGTGCACTAGAAAGGTATCAAAATTACCTTGAACATGAAAGCACAACAGATGAGAATTTAACAGCTAGCGAGCAATGGGATATATGTAGAAGAACAATTAAGGAAGCGGCAAACAACGTCCTAGGACCAGAAGAATCCACTCCACGCAACAGTTGGTTCGACGATGAATGTGAAGATATCACTAAAAGAAAAAATTATGCATATAAACTTATGCAACAAAGAAGAACACGGGATAAGGAGCAAATGTACAAAGATCTTAGGAAGGAGGAAAAACGCATACATCGAAGGAAAAAGCGGACCTTCGAAAACCAGATTATGCAAGAGCTTCAATCATTAAAGGGGCAAAATGAAACTAGAAAGTTCTATAATATCCTAAATAAGACAAGAAAAGAATTTAAACCACGGCTGACGATATGTAGAGACAAAAATGGACATATAGTCAGTACCGCTGACGCAGTACAAAGCAGATGGGTTGAGCACTTCAAAGAACTACTTGGTACCGAAGTGGAAAATGATGCATCACCCCAAAGACCAAGAAATAACACTCACGTAGAACCTCCTTCAACATTTGAAGTGAAAGACGCAATCACACGACTCAAAAATAGCAAGTCCCCAGGAGTGGATTGTATCCCCGCAGAGCTCATCAAACATGGAGGTAACAGAATTATGCACCAAATTCACAACATAATAGTCAAAGTCTGGGAAGAAGAACAAATGCCAGAGGAATGGTGCACTGGAATCATATGTCCACTACACAAAAAGGGAGATTTGTTGGAGTGTAAAAATTATAGGGGTATAACTCTTCTGAATACAATGTACAAAATATTCTCCAATACCCTGTACAGCCGTTTAAGTACGTACGTGGAAGAAATCCTTGGTGAGTATCAAAGCGGTTTTAGGCCAGGTAGGTCAACAATCGACCAGATTTTTGTGCTACGTCAAATCTTAGAAAAAACCAATGAATTTAATATTGACACGTTCCATCTCTTTGTGGACTTTAAGTCAGCGTATGATAGCGTCCTAAGAGGTAAATTATACGAAGCCATGAATGAACTTAACATTCCCCATAAATTAATAAGGCTCGTAAAAACAACTATGAGTAAAGTGATCTGCAGAGTGCAAATACAAGGCGATATGTCACAAGCGTTTGAAACATATGCAGGGTTACGGCAGGGAGACGCGCTGGCGTGCCTTCTCTTTAATATAGCGTTAGAAAAGACTATAAGAGATGCCGAGTTACACAATAGGGGAACAATCTTTAATAAATCAACGCAGATTATGGCTTACGCTGACGATCTGGATTTGATTGCACGTACTACACGAGGACTTAAAGAGATGACTTCCGCCTTCTTGACAGCCGCACAAAATATGGGCCTTAAAATAAACGAGGAAAAAACCAAAATAAAAGATCGGCGCGGCAAATTGGCAACGGTTGGCGATGAACAGAAACGACTGGCGAAATAGACTGGGGAAGGTCAAGGCTCAACTAGAGCTGTAGCACCACTGATGATGATGATAGCCATGGCTATAGTTATAACTGGAATGGACCGCAGGAATGTGACGTCACGACTGTCACATTGTCATTATTACTTTCCAAACAATAGTTGAAATGTCAAAATCTCAAGACATTTTAATATCTATAAAGTTAACATTTTGCTTCCTCTGCTGCTTTTTCTTGTAAGCATAGTATTTTTTACGATAATTCTGGGTTCTATTTCTATGAAATATAGTTTAAAAGTTTAAATTAAAGAAATACTAACCTTACTTTATTGATACATGCATTTTATAGCTATTAGCATAAAACAATGTGTTTTATTATTGACACAACCTTGTAAAATTGTTGTAGTAACTATTAGAATACTTAAATATTGCAAAAAGCGGAAAGATTCTATAAAATAAATGAAAAAATAACTAAAAATACAAATTATCCACACTAAACAAGGTTTGTTTGGAAAGTGAAACTGACAGATGTCAATAAAATCTACGTCATCACTCCTGTGGTCCATTAAAAAAATATGTGAAAAGAAAGATATTTTTTCTAACCTAGTATCTAAACTATTTGTACTCCAGATTAGAAGCCATTTTTAAAGGAATAGTTTTAAATATTAACAAACTTGATTTTAGTGTTTATTTATTTGATTTTTTAGTTTAATATTCAAAACGGCTTTCGATGTTCAAATCTGGAAATAATATTTTTCTTCTTCTAGTTCCATGACCATTATGGATCGTTGGATATTATGTTGGCTACCATATTCGCTATCGTGACTATATTGACAGCAGCTCTAAATAATGATATAGTCGATTTTCCATACCATTGCCTTAGATTTTTTAGCCATGATGTTCTTCTTCTACCAGGACCACGATTACCTTGGATCTTTCCCTGAATGATCAGACGTAAAAGATCATATTTTTCAGGGTGTCTCATAATGAAACCTAAGTATTCCAGCTTGCGTTTCTTTATTATATTGACCAGTTGTGTTGTTTGGTTCAGCCGTCTAAGGACCTCCTCATTTCTAACTCTGTCGACCCAGCTTATTTTCAGTAGTCGTCTGTATACCCACATCTCAAAGGCTGTCAAGCGCTTAAGGATAGCCTCAGTTAGAGTCCACGCTTCCACTCCATACAGCAGGACAGGAAAGATGTAGCAAGATGTCATTCGAACTCTAAGGTCAATGCTAAGATCATGACTGCAAAGTACATTTCTCATTTTTACAAAGGCAGCTCGGGCTTGTTCTATTCAGCTTTTAATTTCTGCGGTTGGATCTCAGCTCTCATTGATATTACTGCCGAGATACACTAGTTACTCTACTCTGTCCAGTGTGGCATTTCCGACTTTTATACCTTATACCGTCATCCTGTATTTCAAAATTGATTGCACCAATTGTATTTCAAATACCTTTTCAAAATTGATTGCACAAATGTACGCATTTTGATTTATATCTCTACATCTCTGTACTAGCACCTGTATACTAAACAAGGCTTCTTTTGTACCCAAAAACCTGTGTGTTTGTTCTGTCCTCTAACCGCGTGTAAATTCTGCTGTGTATTGCTTGCAGGAAGATCTTCAAAACGTGACTCATCAGACTTATTGTCCGATAATCACCGCATGTCTTTGAACAATGTTTCTTAAGTATTGTGACAAATGTCGACTTTAACTAATCAGTTGGTAATATCCCAGTGTCATAAATTCTTTTAAAGAGATTACACAGAGCTTTAATTCCATTTTCTCCCAAAAACTTTAGTATTTCAGCACTTACTTCATCGGGGCCAAGTACTTTTCCATTTTTTGCCGTTTATATTGAACGTGTAACCTCACTTTCTGTTATATATGGACCTGATATAGCAATCGGTGTATAGGGTTCAACTCTCTCATCTTCAAATAATTCAGAAATGTAGTTTTCCCATTCTTTTAACTGTTCATTGATGTCTAATATTCTGTGTCCGTTTTTGTCTTCTAAACTTTGGAATACTTGTTTCCGTTTGTTTCCAGCGACCTCTTTTAATTTCTTGTGCAGATGAAATATTTTCCCGAAGAGTGTATTGTTCGCGGAAATGTTTTGTAACGGTTTTTGTAAAATTTGCACGTGGACCGTAAGAAGCCTTTATTAACCTGGAGCCACGGCTCTGCTCATACAAGAAACGAATAAAGCCAAAGCAGAAATTATTTCTTTACAGCAAATGGGGTGAACTAGCTCAAGATTCCTGGAAAAAAATACCTGCAGTATTTACTACAGTGGACATCCTACCCAACACGATTTGGTACCGAATTTATTGTAAGCAGCAAGGTCAATTCATAAAGTCTTGGGAACTCATCAATGAAAGAATTATAAAAATGGAGTTGGAACTATGAGGAAGAAGAATAATAGTCTTAGGAGTTTACGGACCAACAGATGATAGACCTGAAACAGAAAAAGAACAAATCATGGAAGCCCTACAGAATCAAATGGAAAAGGTCAAACAAGACCAAGAACAAGACCAAGATTTTGACAGGAGATCTGAACCGTAGAACAGATTATGCTGTGACTCACGCAAGGTTGTAAAGCCAGAATGATGATGATGATTTAGTGAGCGACTGGGTATTTATTACTTCCGGCTATTGATCTAATTCTGGAACAAATAATTACAGACCACAGCTTAAAAAATTCGAAAGCAATGAGCCATTACAATATTTTTTTTTGTAACAAAAAAAGTCTAAATATGAAAGAGATAACTATTTTTAAACTAATACCTGAGAAGCAGTGCTGTTTTGAATATGTCCCCGTATACCCCACATTTGTTGAAATTGCACCCGTATTTCGTTAAAAGTTTCAGTGATAACAGCTATGAAAACATTCTTGACCAACCAAGCTAGGAAGAAAATCATCGTACTGAAGTATAGAACTGCTCTCCAACCAGGTAATGAATCGATCGCTCTGTACATTATAAAAACCCATCCTTCTTGTGACGCTGCTTGGTAGACGGTAAAGAAGCTGGTTACTAAAATAACAAATTAGAGCATGAAAATATCGTAAATCCCAAAAGCAGATACAGAACTTTTGATCGTTTATAAAAATTTCTGTATCTGCAGCTGCAAATAAATTACTTTTTATAACTATTCTTATATGTATTATGATATAAACGAAAAAAAAACTATAAATGCGGTGAGTTGTGGTTACATTGTATTATTGGTTGCATATTTATAAACACAAATAATATTAAACATGTTAAGAGGTCCATAATCTGAATGATTGCATTTTTTAAATAAATATATATTTTAAATTGTATTACAAAATCGTATCAAATTTCTGATAAGATATTAAACACCCAATGTATGGAAGAAAAAATACAAAATTGCGCTTGCAGTGATCTTTATTTTTTCCATTTCCATTTAAACTGCGGAAACGAAATCATTCAAAAATCAGCTTCTAAACACCTCCTTTTGGTAGAAGTAAACGGAAGATTTGTTCAACAAATTACGATGGCGATTTTACTACCATTTGTACTAAGTAAAGTAATAAATTTCAATTCGAAGGACCACCCACTATAGTGGGAAATAAGAACACAAGCAGTTCAAACAATACGTAATTTAATGATTGAATGTTACTACAACTAAGTTAAGATCTTTCTTTAATGCTTTCTTCTGTATTAATATCATTATCAATTAGCCAATCGCGTCCACTGCAACATAGGCCTTCCTCAGTTCTTTCCAGTGTTCGCTACACTGGGCCGCTTGTAACCAGTTTCCCGCTACACGTTTTATATCATCGGTCGATCTAGTCGGTGGTCGTCCTCGGCTTCTTTTATAGTTTCTGGATCTCCATTCCATAATACGTCTTGTCCACCGTCCATATTGTGTTCTGGCTAAATGCACTGCCCAGTTCCACCTAACCGTCGTGGTTCTTTCGATGACGTCTTGAACTCCTGATCTTTGCCTGATTTGTTGGTTTGTTATGTGGTCTCGAAGGCTCACGTTCCGCATTGCACGTTACATGGCTGGTTGTGTAACTCTGAGTTTATTCGCAGATTTTTGCGTGAGTGTTAAAGTCTCTGCTCCATAAGTTTGTACAGGTAAAACACATTGGTTATAAACCTTTCGCTTGAGACATATGGGAATTGAACTTTTTAGAATATGGCTTAATTTACCAAATTCTGCCCATGTCAGACCTATTCATGTGTTTGATTGAAAACTCTGACCAAAACGCGACCAACCAAGCTGGGATACAATTTTACACTGACTTCTTCTTCTTCTTCTAGTTCCATGACCGTTATCGATCGTTGGATATCATGTTGGCTACCATATTCGCTATCGTGACTTTATTGACAGCAGCTCTAAATAACGATGTAGTTGATTTTCCATACCATTGCCTTAAATTTTTCAGCCATGATGTTCTTCTTCTACCAGGACCACGATTACCTTCGATCTTTCCCTGAATGATCAGATGTAAAAGATCATATTTTTCAGGGTGTCTCATAATATGACCGAAGTATTCCAGCTTGCGTTTCTTTATTATATTGACCAGTTGTGTTGTTTGGTTCAGCCGTCTAAGGACCTCCTCATTTCTAACTCTGTCGATCCAGCTTATTTTCAGTAGTCGTCTGTATACCCACATCTCAAAGGCTGTCAAGCGTTTAAGCATAGTTAGGTTCCACGCTTCTACTCCATACAGCAGGACAGGAAAGATGTAGCAAGATATCATACGAACTCTAAGGTCAATGCTAAGAACGTGACCAATATCTGACTATGTGACTGTTTTGAAATTATCGCTGCTTCAGGTCTCAGAAGTCAGGGGAAATTTCTATTAGGAAGCTAAAACCCTTCTTTAAATAATCGCTAAACGTAGATTTTTTCAATGATTAAAAACAGCTTTTGAATACTTTATACCAGCGATTTCTTTGGAACTTGCTCGGAGAAATTTATCTCGGTAGATCTTATGAAATAAGAAATTGTTTGCTACACATAGCAAACACTTGAATAAATTTCTCACAGAAATTTATCCATACTGGGGGCGCGCGGCTAAGTGAAGTATCACTTCAGTTAGAAAGATCCTAAACTTACTTCTTAAGCACAATTACAGTGCTACAGAAGGCTATATACAGTGTGGGGATTGCCTCGATGGGAAATGACTCGTTTAAACGTTGCTGAAAAAGCATTAGAAGTTAACTCACTAACCAACTCTAGACGAATGGTTTTTGTAGCCATGCAAATGAAAATTGCAAAATAATATTTAAGCGCTTGCATCTTTCGAAATCTAGAAGCCCTAATAAACAGAAAACCTGCAAAATCTACAGCTACGGTGTAAGAAGCGCACGAGATTTTAACTTTATCCAATGGGAGTGGAGACATAAAGTTGTGGTGCGGTGTGTGCATTGAATCTATAACAAGTAATGCATTTTTTGATGATGCGTTTAATATACTTGACCCCACTTAAAGGCTAATATCGTACGCCCAAATTGCCTAACACATTTTGAGATAAATTTCTGTAATTTCTGTAATGTAGATCTATCTTAGACTAACATTGACATATCATGAACAAAAGTTTCTTTACATGGAAAAATATAGCTCTTAATAGGGAATATTTACCGAATTCATCAAATCCATTGAAGCCGATAATGTAACGGGAAACTCCCTCCAGCTTCATGCATTTCATTCCTTCAGGACATTGATAGCCAGACGAAGGATCCAGAGAACAATATGTGTCAGGTATGGCTAAACTGTTAATTGTTATTTCCCTAAAAAGATTTTAAACATATTATGATAAAATAATCCTCAACAATTTATGAGCTATTAGAATCAAAGTTGACGCATACAATGCCGAATAAAATACGAAAAATTATACATAAACAAACAAAAACAACCTTACTTTAAATTTAAAAATAAAGTTTATACTTTGGTTCGGCAGTATCAACTGTGACGCAGTGGTTTTTCAACTCTCCGAAAAATTGCACTCCCAATAAGCCATACAGTGACATGAAGAAAAGGAAAAATAATGTCACGTTGTAGATTTGCTGACTCGATCGCCTGAAAGTTGATAAAAATATTCAATTAAGTATCAAAAATTATTTTTCAGACGTGCGTTCAATTCACCAAAATGATTGACTGCAATAAAACGATAAAATATCCTAATTTCTTTCTATCTCGGCTAAAAAAACATTAGTTGAGTAGTAAAATGGTAATCATATCGTTAGTGATGGTGTAAAATTTTAAATGACTGTTAAGAATCTTTGACCAGGAACGAATTGAAGTTCTGAATGTAAGTAAAACCAACATCTTCATCATTCTGGCTTTAAAACCTTCCTCCGTCAAGCACGTATTCCCATATATTTCTCATGTCTTCATCAATGTTGCCAAGGATCTTGTTTTGGGTCTTCCTCTTCTTCTCTAACCAATGTCTTCTTCTCTAACCAATATCTGGTTCCTGGTATATTCTATAAAGTTCGAAGTTGCATCATCTTGTTTTCCCATCAAATAATGAAAACATCCCAACATGTTTTCATTATTTTTTGTAAGAGTCCAGGTCTCTAAGCCATATTAGAACGGAAAACGCTGTACGAGAAGCTAAAAGAAAGAATCAGCTACAAAAATGGGTTTTATAATAAACACCAATAAAACGAAGTATATGAAAATAAGCATGTAACCACAAATCCTACGACCACTTGTTATAGAAAACGACGACGAAACGATGAGAAGAAGAGGAAGGTCTAGAACAATGTTCCTTAATAACATCGATGAAGACATGAGAAATTTGGAATACGTGCTAGGTGGGGAAAGGCGATGAATAGGGACGACTGGAGAGAAATTCTTGAATAGACTAGGACCCAAGCATGATTGTAAAGCCAGAATGATGAAATTGACATTCTAAGCAAAAATTAGCTTGTTCGTATAATTTTTAGAGGTTTCCTGGCATGTTAATCTTTGAATAAACCCATTCAAAAATTTTCAAAACAACCTTCGTAATAAATAAAAATAAAAATCTTACTTGAATATCTGATTTATCCGAGATTTAGGCATAGAAAACTTCAGAAATACTCTCAAAAATCTTATCATGATCAATGGTCTCGGTGCTCTTAATATGGATAAGTAGCTGAATCGTGGAACTATGCTAAGCATTTCGAAAACTTGCAAAATAACCGATATCCAAAGAAAAAACACCATACTTGCATCAAATTGGCACCAGTGGTCTTTGAGGTAAGGTCGATCGCCCTACAATAAAAAGATAATAGATAATTAAGTTATTTCTAATATTCCTATTGATAAAAAAAAGAATGAAACTTTAACTAACAAAGAATGACTTACTTTAACAGTGTACCTTAATTTACCTTAATTTTAAATTAAGTATTTAAGTATAAAAGTTTTATTAACATTTGAACAAAATATATTGATTATCATTATTGTCTTCTTCAAACAATTCTATTCTTAAACAAAGAATAACCTTGATCACTGTTATTCACTACTTTTAATTATAGTAATCTTAGATCCATTAATAATTAATTAATATTTAAACAATAGCATGCCCTAATATAATTACCGATGATCTGACATTATATAGGGTGTTTAAAAAAAGGTAACAGTGTCTCTATGATGGGTAAAAAACTGAAAAATAATTTTGTGCAAGCTTATAGTCCTTTTCCCTCATATTGATAGCACATTATGTATGCAAATCCTAAAGAGGTCAAAAAACCATAGGCGTCACCCTATACTTGTTTTGAAATAAATAAAAAAAATTAATATTTTAAGATGTCGTCAACAATTCATTATCTTTTAAAAAATCTTCTGTAAAATAAGTGTCCACTAATCTCACTATACCTTTTTTGTGCGTAAAATTCGTCGGTATATATGCCACACGATTACTGTTAATTATACACAGGTGATTAACGAGAGAATTCAATGTTTCATGAAATAAATTTATGTAAACAGTAATTTAAAGGTGATTATTGTTTTCTATACAAGTTATCGCCTGACACAAAAAGAATACCTTTTTTGAACGATTACCTGGAATTACTGATAAGGCTTTACTAATGATAGTTTAAGTAGTTTTTATGCCACATTACAGCTTATGCCGCTAATATAAATTAGAAATTGTTTGCATCTTCCATATAGTTTGTAGATGTACATTGTTCGTGTTTTACCTACCTACGTTTTTGGTGTCGATATTTTGTTATTTGCATTTAAAAATGACGTCGACAACAGGTTTTATCCCGGTTAAGTGTAGTTTTAAAAGTGCCTTCAGTCTAAGAGAGAAAAATATAATATTAAATGTACACGATGCACTTGTACATCAACGCCCTTTAAGTAATGTTCGTGAAATCGTTAACATGTGTTCAAATATGACAGGGGTTGGAAAAGCAACAATTTATAGATTCCTAAAAGAAAGAAAAGGAGGAACTGTTTCATCTCCCAAGAAGAGTGGAGGGAGTAAACCCTTGGAAATTGAAGAAATACATAAAAACATGATAAGACGCAGCGTCCACTCATTTTTTTTTTAACAAAGAATTTCCAACATTAGACAGAATCCAAACATTAATTAGAGAAAACGAAGAGTTACTAATCATAAGTAACAAGAAATTATGGGGACTATTGAGAGAGATAGGATTTCGTTGGCAAAAGAATAGAAGAAAATCCGTTTTAATTGAAAAATATTACATTGTATGTTGGAGACGAGATTATCTAAGAACTATTAAAAAGTACCGAGAAGAAGGGAAAACAATTTTTTATTTGGACGAGACTTGGCTAAATGAAGGTCATACTGTACCATATCTATGGGTTGATACAAATGTGAAAAGTTCCCGTCAGGCATTCATCGAAGGTGTATCTACTGGAATAAACAATATTCCTGTTGGAAAAGGACGCAGACTCATAATAACCTATATTGGAAACGAATACGGTTTTGTCAATGGTATATTATTAAGTTTTGTCTCAAAATCAACCAAAGATTACCACGAGGAAATGACTGCTGACGTTTTTGAAGAATATTTTGAACAAATATTGGATTTAATTCCAAAAAATTCTGTCATAGTCATGGATAATGCTAGTTACCATTCAAGACTAGCAGAAAAATTGTCAACAACGGCATGGAAAAAAGGAGAGATAACCGAATGGTTGGATAAACACGCAATTGAGTACAAGGAGAATTCGACAAAAAAGGAATTATTACCTATTGTAAGGCAACATAAAGCAGCTTAAGAAAACTATATAATTAATGAAATGGCATTAAACCGTGATGTAATTATTTTACGTTTACTCCCATACCACTGTAATCTGAATCCGATAGAAAATATATGGTCTCAAGTAAAGGGTGAAGTCGGACGCAACAACAAAACTTTTAAATTAGAAGACTTACAACAATTATTAGAATATTCCTTATCAAAACTAACTCCAGAAAATTGGAAAAATGCTGTTAGTCATGTTCACAAGGAAGAAAATAAAATGTGAAATTTGGATAATATGACTGATGCAATGCTGGAACCGGTAATAATTAACATTGGAGTTGAAGATTCCTTAGATTCTGAAGAAAGCAGTGAATCTAAAATGGAATTTGATTAAAATAATATTCATTTTTTTACAAATAGGCCCCTGTTACGGCACAAATTATTTTATATATAACCAATAAAATAAACATCTTACATTTCTTGCAAATTCATTAGTACCTGTTAATCGCCATCACTCCGACACTGGCAACTTTATTTAGGGATTAGTAACCCTCAAAACTATTGTATTCTATTCTGCTTCAACCTGTATACCTGGTGATCATACTTCTTTAAAATTGTTTTCCAATATACTTCTGTAAACTTGTTGACAAATATCTATTTTTTATTGAGTCACCCATATCAACAGTTTAGAGATTTGCATACATAATGTGCTATCAATATGATGGAAATGGACTATAGTACAAAATTCATTTTTAATATAAAAAGCGTTGAAGAAAAAAATCTTACTACCTACACATTTCTTATAATGTTGGCAACATTGTAATGAAATTTTATGCGAATATGTTTTGTAAGCTGATATACTGTATCCAGAAATTTAGTGTCTCATTATATAAGTTATTTTATTAACAGCTGTAAAACTGAATAATCCCTTGTAAATACTCTATTGTTGTATAATTATCACAGCTACCCAAGCTGCCAGGACCGGCATATAGCCAAGTCAACTTTATTTATTTAGCGTATGGACTTTCACAGTACGATAAATATACAAATACAATTACAATAATATACACATATATATTATATACCTATATATTATTCAAACACTAAAAATAGTAAAAATAGAATGAATATAATGAATGACACTAAATATTAATGTCCAATTTACATAGCCATTCAACTGCTTCTGGGGAACATTCCGCAAAGTCCTGGAGGTTTCCACGGTAGGCACGATTCAAGCACTCTGAAACACAATGGCTTATGGTCTGTCTAGATTCTCCGCAATCGCACTGTGGACTTTCTGCACGACCCCACCTGAACAGCGAATCAGCACATTTACCATGTCCGGTACGTATATGATTAAGCCTTGCCCAAATGGACCGGGGCAGATTTGATCCGATGAAACCCTGAGTTGGGGTGGATATCTTAATATAGTCCGATTCTACTGTTGGCATCCATCTTGTTGTCCATTGCCTATATATATCATAGGAATTACCAATTTTTCGGGCAGATCGTATTGGAGGATTTCTAGATCTCAATCGTTGGTGCTCTTTTGAGATGACTGGGATATCTTGATGTATTGGTAATTGTACGTTGGCTACAACTTTCTGGTACTCTCTCACTAATGCTGCTGTACGGCGTAGATCTGGTGGAGCAATATTGCTCAGAGTAGACAGCCATCTCACTGGCGTTGATTTTATTGTTCCAGTGATTATTCTCATGGTTTGGTTAAGTTGGACATCGATTTTGCTTGTATGTGCACTATTTATCCATACTGGTGCACAATATTCTGCCACTGAAAAAACCAAAGCTAGAGCAGAGGTCCGAAGAGTATCTGCAGAAGCACCCCAAGTTGTTCAAGCAAGTTTTGATATTAAGTTATTTCGTGTTCTTAGTTTACCGGCTGCGTTTGTAAGATGACTTTTGAAGGTGAGTGTTCTATCAAGTGTGACGCCTAGATATTTGGGGTTGTTGTTATGTTTGATAGCTGTGTCATTTAGAGTTACATTGAGAGTATCGCCCGCAAGTTGATTCGACAGGTGAAAGAGACAGGTTTCAGTTTTGCTTGTGTTAGGACGTAAGCGCCAGTTCTTAAAATAGTTACTTAGTGTAGATAAGTCCTCCTTTAGAGCTCGTTCTCCTGCTTCTTTACTATTATCTTGGAAGCCAATGGCCAGGTCGTCAGCATAAGCAAATTTTCTCGATTTTGTTTCAGGTATATCTGCTGTATAAAGGTTAAATAATAAAGGAGCTAGCACTGAGCCTTGAGGTAAGCCGTTATTAAGTTTTCTAACGTTACTCTGTGCATCATTCATATATACCTGAAACAGTCTGTTAGTCAGAAGATTGTTTATCAGCTGACAAGTTTTGAGGCAAGGTATGATTTTCATCAGCTTATAAATAAAGCCTTCTCTCCACACCGTGTCATAGGCAGCCGTGAGATCTATAAATGTTATGGCAAATTTTTTGCGTCTTTCAAAGCCAGCTTCAATAAATGTAGTTAATGACAGCACTTGGTAAATCCAGCTTGTTCAATTGGTACAGCATCCTCAATGGTGTTACATATTCGGTTATATAAAAGTCGTTCTAGTAATTTATAACAGCAACTGAGTAAGGCAATAGGCCGGTAACTTTCAGGCAGCTGTGTTCACAATGTCGCTAAAGAATTTTTTGAGCCACTGTCGTGTTTTTGTACCAGTGTGGACTATAAACTCAGGATACATTCCATCGAAGCCTGCTGCTTTTCCTGTTTTTGCTGGGGTGTAATGATAGATCGCCTCCACGTGGTGCACCCTGGGTAACGCTAAATGGTCTATCAATTTTTGGACGCCAAACTAGCCGCTGAGCTCTCCTGGCAACCAGTACGATAAAGAAAAATAAGCCAAGTCAACTGTAGATACATATAATCAGATCAAATATTATCATTCAAGCGTATTGTCAAAAAACTCTTTTTATAAACATACAAATTTCCCATAATTATTTCTTCTTCATGTACCATGTCCTTTCAGAACGTTGGTTATCATCATAGCTATCTTAATTTTATTCACTGCCACCCTAAATAGCATGATTGTATCAACACCATACCAATCTCGCAAGTTCTTCAACCATGAGGTTCTTCTTCGTCCTGGACTGCGTTTGCCTGCTATTTTTCCTTGCGTTATATTTTGTAGCATCCTATATTTGGGACCTCTCATTACATGTCCGAAATATTCCAGCTTTCTCTGCTTGATACTTTTTATGATCTCAGTAGTCTTGCTGAAACGTTCTAGTATTGTGGAGTTTCGAATCTTCTCCACCCAGGAAACTTTTAAAATTCTTCTATAGCACCACATTTCGAAAGCCTCAATGCGATTTAGATCGATTTTATTCACAGTCCAGGACTCGACAGCATAAAGTAAGACCGAGAACATGTAGCAGCGAGGTAGGCGGATCCTCAATGCCAATTTTAGGTCTCTGTTACATAACACCTTGGACATCCTTCTAAAAGCGGCTCTATCCTAGATCTAATTTCGCCGTGACTTTCTGCGTTACAATTTAATTGCTTTCCAAGATAAACTATTTCACAACAATAAACAATGTCAAAGGTTGTTTAGTCATTTATGCTTACCTTCAGAATTCCCCTTATGTGCATTTTGGCTATCATTTCAGAGGTAAAAAGAATTGTGACAACAGCATCGACAGAAAAGGTGGTAGTCTGCATAAAATGGAATTTCTCGAAGGTTTTTGGAGTATTGCAACTTACAGAGGCCAGACTTAGCAGAGCACATGTTCTCATCAAACGTCGTACCCATCTCTGAAAATAAGAAAAATAATTGGAATTATCAAAACACTTGTATTTAAAAAAAAATGTTACAAATACTTTTTACTTAGAATATATGTTGATAACTCCAATTTTATATTGGTATGACAATGGTTTATTTTGTGTTATTCACAAAATAATTGTAAAATATGGTTTGTTTAAATTTTTCTCTTTTTACAATCTGTTTCTTTCGGGACTATACAGGAATGATTCATTTGAAGTCTATGTTCATTAACATTTTTCCATGCGTATTTACATATTTGAAATCTATCAAATTCTTCATTTTTAATATAAGATTGATGTTCATTTACTCTAACATTTAATAGCCTTTATGTTTCACCTAAATAAAAATGATCACATTCACAAGGTATTTCATAAAATACAATTCTTTATTCTTTCTTGTTCGATACTAGTTTGGTTTCAGATAAAAGAGGTCTCATGCGTGTGTGTGTGTGTGTGTGTGTGTGTGTGTGTGTGTGTGTGTGTGTGTGTGTGTGTGCGTGTGTGTTGTTTTCGTTTTAGTAAATCTTAAAGCTAACTTAAAATCTAAATTTATTTATAAAAACAAAACATAATTACCTTGTTCACCCATTCAATATCTGCGCTTTCGTTGAAAGCCTCATCAGGTCCATAATCAGCCAAAATGGGTTCCCCTTTTAAGCTCTGCTTCCTTCCTAGCATCATCTTGATTCTTTCCGGGATAAATTTCGAACGAATTTTACCTAAAAATACACAATTAATAACCCTTCACAGCTAAAGATGCTTAAACGTTTTTATTACCCATTGAATGATCGAACATAATGGCTGTGTAGATGGGGTAATTTGATCATCTGTTGTTTATATATCACGTTCGCGGATACGTCTGCAAGATATCCGATTGTTGTCGGTTTTTTAGAGCAGATCAAAGCGTTTCGGTGAGAACGTCCGACGCCTGTCCACACATCTGACCTCTGACTTCTTCTTTTCCATTTTTTAATGATTTTATTCCGATGTACACTCAAGTAGTAGTTGAACGTTTTAAATATATAAGGCATATAGTTGCGGCAGCTATGGTCTCAACATCAACATCCATTTTTTTAATGTTCGCGTAGATATTGCGTCTCCCGGGAATGAACACAGACTGAACGATTTACAGATGTGTCCAGATGTGTGGTCAGCTTGTGATAATACATCTGCAGATGCGTCCGCAGACAGATAAAAATTTCCCAATTTGCAATTAAAAATGGTATTTGAAAATATGGTATTTGAAATCCTTGTCGTCCGAGACATTGATTAAAAAAAAAGAGCAAACTTGGTTAACAAGAAGCCGAGATAATGCAATTTTTAACGCGCGCTATGATTTTGAACTCGCCGATTCACATTTCGAGTGAATGTCCCCCACCACCACCTCTCACGCATTCCGAGCGACATTTTACGCGAAAACGGTTTTTTATTTGTCTTTTTTATGGATGTTGCCATGAAGCGCATTACTTAAAACGTTTCATATAAAAAGTACTTGACAAGACGAGGGTATTTGTTTAAAAACGAGCCCTCTATCACTTATGGTTACACGGCAAATGTATGCCAACTTTGACCTTCAATATCTCGGTAACCAGTAAGCCGAATGTATCTTTTTTTTTAAAGAAGCGTCTTTTAATGTTCTTTAAGTGTATAAATTTTAAAATTGATATGTTTAAAGCTCGTAAAGTTATTCAATTTGTTTATAAGCCTAAAAAATGTTTAAAACTTTAAAAAATTTCTAGGCCCTCCTAGTGAACCGATTTGAATTTTAAAGAAGCGATTGAAAGTTTGCGCCTTCCTTTATATGTAAAAAAATTGCAACTATCTGAGGGCCTCATTTAGGGCATACTATAAATTTGAAAATTTGCTATTTTTTTCCAGTAGGCTGGATTGCAAAATTATTATGCAAAACCTATCCGACCCATCTTAACAAAATTTAGCAGACGTTTTAAACATATTAAAAAGTTTTTCTAAGCGGAATATGGAGCTTATAAGTCAAGTTTAGAAAGTCGAAAACATTTAATGGATTAACTTCATTTTTTGTACTTTTTTCCAACTATTGCTATTTTTCAACAATAAACAATAAATTTTCAATTTCTAGCTAACGAAATATTATGTAAAATTGAATAACGAAACTTTTAACATCTTATAATTTTTTCTCTAGGATCAATATTTTCCGAATCATAAACGAAAATAGGAGCAAAAAAATGAGAAATTTTCAATTGTTTTCAGATTTTGTTACTTTGTTATGTAAAAATATAGCACAGGGTTTGCGACTGGCGCATATCGTGATTATGGATATTGGGCACATCCTGAAGGGATTCCAGCAAAAAAATAGCTCCCTATGGAAAATGTCCAATCCAAAACAAATCCCGCCTAGACTATTTTTGCTTTTCTTCGACAGTGCTTAAAATATTGTGACTGCTATTAACTTTCTTAGCACAGCAGAAAACCCTAAACCTAAACCCTAAACTCTAGAAAATCTTACAACCCTTAAAAGTTGAAGTGGTAATAAATAAAAATAAATATCCGGAATCTGCTACTCCAGAAAAGTTAAGTAAATATTTTAGTTAATATAAATCATACTTACACTATTTAAATCGTCTCCCTTCAAATAGAATTGATGGGGATTTATATTTCCGTTTTATCATGTTTTTAATTTGTGTAATTGTCTTCAGACTTTGTGCCTGGCTGTTTGTAATTTCATAAGAAGGGAAGCTGTGGCGCGCATGGACCTAAAAGATCAATATTCTCTGACACTTTTAGTGCCTAATATAACAAACTGACATTGAGATTACTTTATTATTTTAAGAATTTTCTTATAATTGTATTTAAATATATTTAAAAAAATTCAGTTTTTATTTACCCTTCTAATTTTTAATTTTTAAAGTATGTGGAAAATTCAATCTGGGCATTTTAAAAAGTATTTAAATAATCCATAGTTGGTAGACCTGCTAGCAATCCGCTACAGTGTTGCCGAACATTTAGTAGAAACTTTGTATTTTGTGCTGTGTGATATTCAGTAGAATTCGGTTCAAAAGTAATGTTAAAGATCGTTTGGAGTTTTCAGTTAAAAATTTTGCATTAAAACCACGTCTGAAATCGGGCTTTTAAAAATATTTGTAATAAAATTTATTTAGGATATGATTATTACGATGGGTGTTGTCTTCTTCTTTAAGTTCCATCTTCTATCGAAGGTTGGAAATCATCATGGCTATGCGGACTCTGTTGACTGCCGCTCTAAAAAGTTCTGCACTACTGCATTCAAATCATTCCCTTAAGTTCTTAAGCCAGGATATTCTTCGTCTTCCCACATTTCGCTTTCCTCGGATTTTGCCCTGCATAATAAGTTGTAATAATGCGTATTTTTGCCCTCTCATCACATGTCCCAAATACTCAAGTTTTCGTCTTTTAATAGTTAATATTATTTCCGCCTCATTGCCCGTTTATAATTATACCATCCGTGGTGCCTTCCAAAGCTTTCTGAAATATCTTCTCAGAGTAAACATTGAACAGCAAAGGTGATAGGACACATCCCTGTCTTACTCCCTTCTCGATATTGATTTTTCCAGATGTTTCGCTTTTTATTCTGATTTTAGCCTTTTGTTCTTGGTAGAGGTTTAAAATGATCCTTAAGTCTTTATCGTCGATATTACATGACCTTAAAATATTTATTAGTTTATCATGTTTCACCAGGTCAAACGCCTTCCGAAAGTCTATAAAATATAAGTATACATCAGAATCGACATCTCTACATCTTTCAACTAGCACACGTATTGAAAAAAGTGCTTCTCTTGTTCCGAACCCATTCTTAAAACCAAACTGAGTTTGACCAGTGTGTTCGTCTATATAGTTTATGGTATACTCTATTGTGTATTACTCGTAGGAAAAGCTTCAACATATGATTCATCAGGCTAATAATCCTATGGTCTTCACATTTCTTGGAGTTTCTCTTCTTTGGTAGAGGTAAAAACACCGATGTCAGCCAATCATTTGGTATTATGCCTGTTTCGTATATTTTGTTAAATATATCTTCCATTACTTCGATGTGTTCGTCTAGTAATATCTTTATTATTTCAATTGGGATATTATCTTCCCCAACAGCTTTTCCGTTCTTTAACTGATTTGCCGCTTTGATAATTTCTTGCTTTGTGATATAAGGTCCAGGCGATGCCTCCTGCATGTAAATGTTCGTCCTCTCTCGGTCTTGAAACATCTCTTCCACGTATTCTCTCCATCTACCTATTTGATCTTCTATGTTCAGTAGCGGGTTCCCATGTTTATCTTCGATGAAAGACGTAGGAGTTTGTTTAAATATTCCAGCCTAAATATGGCTTCTTTTACTTTTTTATGTAGATTGAAAGTATCATGTCTTTGTTCCAACTCTTCAATTTCTTGGTATCTTTCACTTAGCCAGGTTTCTTTGGCTTGTTGAATCTGTTTTATCGACTACGAAAAAGCGTCTGATCGAGCAAAACACACAGAACTCATAGAAACCCTGACACAACATGGTATATACCATAACAATGTAGCACTTATTAAAAAATTATATTGGGATCAAATGGCGTCGATCAAAATAGACAATCGTCTGACAGCAGAATTGCCAATAAAAAGAGGAGTTCGTCAGGGCTGTGTACTTTCTCCACTGTTATTTAATATATATTCAGAAAAGATCTTTTAAAATGCCCACGAAAACATAATTATTAAATTTTTGTTGAAAATTTTAATTTTGGCTTAATAGTTTTACATCGATAGAAGTAAAGTTTTTTTAACTCCGCCTACATGATCACTGAGTAGATTTACTATTTCAATGATCTTGTTGCCGGTCCCAAGCCCGGATAAAGGAGGATGGTTCTTGGATCAGATTAGAACTTTAGGCAAGAAACCTTAAAAAAAATACTGTTATTGCTACAGACTATTTAAACATCCATAAAGATTCCACCGAACTTTTTATTTATTTCTATATTGTAAATTGGTGATAATTGTCATAGCTGACTTTTATAAAAAGTCCTTTATATTTTCAATCATGGGATATATTGAAATGAAACATGTTGGTCCTGTACTGCTTACTGCATAAGCTCCTGGCTAATTGTTATTTTACTTTTTAAATGTAAGACAACTATTGTAAAGGACATACATTAAACGATTGCTTTGTTTTATCAATATATATAATTATTATATTATCAAGAGTACAAATAAATTGAAAAAGTTATTTAAAAAAAATCACAACTTTTTGTACTCATCTGACATCACTATTCACATCACAGAACCAGTTAGATAGAACACCAGTTTTCTTCAGCAGTGTTGCCACACATTCGATAATTATCGATTATGAAATAATAAACTCATTGACAATTATTATTTTTTTATGATAGAATTTGATAGAATGGCTAAAGAATGAAGAAAAAGAACTACAAAAAAGAATGTATAGCCTTATCAAGAGGACGTGGGAAGAGGAAAATATGCCTAACGATCAGGGCCGCCCAGAGCCAGGCCGGGCCCCGGGGATGAGACCCGGCCGGGCCCCCCTCCAAACCCAGTTGGACGAAAATTACCAAAAATCTAATAACTCATAAACTGGGATATATAATAGTGAACATTCATGCTACTGACACAAGAAGGAAGAAAATTAAAACAGTTTCAACAATTAAACTTTGTTTTTAATTATCTACAATAGAACTGTTAGTTACAACATAACTTTTCTTGCTTTCATATCTGCAAAGTTTTGGATCACGTGCTCGAAATCAAGAGTTTTTGCAAGTTTCGACTCTATGCTTAACAGTCCCAAATCAGATAATCGTTGTTGACCCATAGTAGATCTTAAACAATTCTTAATTCGGCTCAAAACACTAAATGATCTCTCGGCCTGAGCAACGGATACTGGTAGGCAACAGAATATGCGAAGAGCAATGCACACATTGGGGAAAAGATTTGTCACATTAAGGGATACGAGCTTGTTCAAAAGTTTGGCTGGTTTCAGCGACGTATCTGAGATGTTTGATTTACTAACAGTTTTCAAGTAAATCATTTCATCAACTAGATCCCTGCTTACATCTGAATGGTACTCTTCGGCGAATCTTACACAACTTTCTGAGATCGTATTCTCGTCCATTTCGTTATACTTCCATAAAAATGAAAATTTCATTTCGATTTCTCTCAGTGCTGTGAACCTCGTTTTCAGGTTGGCCACCAAAACATCAATTATTGTGTAAAAAACTTCTATTTTGAAGCGTTCTTCCGGGGATAAATTAAACATTACATCTTCTGTAGCTGTTTCATCGTGAAGAGTCTTCCTCTTTCTCGCACGGGAAGTGGAGAGTTCCGGTTCGATACCATAAGCATTTGCAACATGTTTGCATTCAGACAATATCTTGTCCCAGTTATTTCTTATGGCACTTAAATCATCAATTAGGCTCTCTATATTACTACTCTCAACATCCAAAGTAGCGTCCATAGTTTGAAGTAGTTGACTTCTGTAGTTGATGGGTACCAACACTTTCACCCAAATTGACGCCATAAGGATGCACTTGAAGGTGTTAAGATATTCTAAAACCCCATTGATTGTGGCTCTCGTTTCAACAGTTACGTTAAGATTCAACAATGATGAAACTGCCTCAATGATTTTGCCTATGTGTGCCGCTATTGGTTTCACACATTCTACTCTAGCACTCCACCTCGTATCAGACAATGAGTGCAGTGAAGATCCTACTATCTCTTTCAGAAGCTCCCATCTTTTTGGGCTGCAACTGAATAAATTGTACAGATTCTGAACAACACCAAAGAAAGTCTGTGCTTCAGTACAACTCTCAGCAGCGCATACTCCACATAAGTTCAAACTGTGGCATCCACATGGTGAGTACACAGCCAGAGGGTTTGATTTTAAAATATGAGCCTGAACACCCTTATACTTGCCACTCATATTACTGCCGTTATCGAATCCCTGTCCTCTACAGTTATCTAAGGATATGTCATATTTTTTAAGAACTTCTTTGATTAGATTTGCGATGTCTTCTCCAGTTTTTTCATTGCAGTCGGAAAACTCCAAAAATCGTTCATGGATTTCATATTCTTTTACGTCTTCTTTGAAAATAATGTATCTAAATACAAAAGAGGTCTGTTCTACATGGCTTGAGTCTGGTGTAGCGTCAATCATAATAGAATAGTATTTAGATCGCTTGAGTTCGTCCACAATAACTTTCCTTACATAATCAGCACAACTTGCTATGAACTCGTTTTGAGTTCTCCAAGACAAATAATGCACTTGCATTCTCTTATTCGATTCTTGAGATTGCTTAACCTGATCTAGATGCTTCGATAAAATAGGGTCATAATGACCTAAAAGTTCTAGCACGCCCAAAAAATTGCCGTTGTTTGGATGACCCACCTTTTGAGTTTCTCCTCTAAAAGAGAGACCTCGCTCACTTAAAAATAAAGTTACGTGAAGGAGTCTGTGTAAGATCTGTTTCCAGGTAGTGATTTCATTCTGCAATTGTTTTTCAATGCTACCAAATATAGTACCTCCTTTGTTAAGATTTAATTCCAGATCTTTCCATTTTAAGTAACATCCTTTATGGCTAAGGCTGTTTTGGTGCTCAGGAATCTTTTCGTACAACTTTTTCCATTTATGTTCTTTTGGAAACCCACTAACTGAGGCGAATTTGGATCGCACCACCTCTGTCTGAGTACAAAACAACCGACAAGGAAAGCAAAACAAAGCCTGTTTCACTTCGCTCCAAACAAGCCAATCCCTTGGAACAACTTCATTATTGGGTAGTTTAAATTTAAGCAGAGATAAAGGAAATTGCCGTCTCGTTGAGTCTGCAGGAAACGTGTTGGGATGAGCTTGTGGCCCCTTTGTGACAGCAACTTCAACTTGTTTAGTACTAAGTTGTAACAAACTCAAATTGCCTACATCAAAAACTTCTGGTTGGCTCAAAATGTTCGTAGACGCTGACACTGCCTCATCCTGTTCGTCACGTTCTTCTAAGTGTAATGGAGTTAAAAATTCATCACTACTAAGTGAGGATAGCTCACGACCAACATTTGAGCTGTTGGAGGGTGTTTGTGAATTTGAAGTGCCCGGGAGGATTAAGGGCTCATTTTCAATGTTAGTTTCTTTCTCTTCATTTGACACATTTTTCGGCTGTGTTAAGAAAACAGACAGCTTCTGTTGGCCTTTCTTTGCCTTCTCCTCTCTTTCATGTTTTTCTTTCCTCTTTACGGCCCCAGATTTGTGTCGGTATTCCATTTTAAATTCTAAAAAAAAAAATGAAAACCTATGTAAGCTAATTGATTAAAAAAAACCGTTAGAGGATAGAGGTTAGAAAGGCCCTATATTTGTCCTTTTCCCACAGAAAAAAATTCATCCAAACCACATCTAGAATTAATTTAATTACAAAAAACAAGACCATTTGCACCTAAAAACTGTCTTTCGCCAACAGTTTCTATTGAAGCTATATCATATCCAGGACAGTATGCTTAATATATATTTGTAATTAAATAAATTCATTACATAATCTTACTTATGTTATAGCATTTAATCATTGGAGAGAACATAAAATAAAATAACAGACATGTTAGGCAGATAATAAAGCACTTCGCGAAATTCACGAATAATCTCTGCCAGAATACAAGATTAGAACTAGGAGGCCCATTATAACTACATATAGTTTTAAAGTTTTAGTTGTGAAAACTTACCTTATTTTGTTATTCTCAATATAATCACATATAATCTTCAGAATCTTTTTAAATAATCACATAACAGCTACTAAAAACCGAAAGTAAACAACAGAATAACACCAAAGCTGTGTTCAACGTCCTATTTAAACTCGAACTGCCGAAAATTGCAATTGAAACCTGTGACGAAGGGGGTATAATGGGAATGTTAAGGCCCGTTTTCACGCTACGTCTTATTGTACGTTTTGTTGGATAGGACAAATCCTATACAATAAAACGTGGCGTGTAAACAGCAAAACGTACGTCTTGTCGAATCGAAATGAAATCCAAACACGTAGTGTGTATACACTGGACAAAACGTACGTTTTGTCGTACGTTTTATATGACCCACAAAACGTACAATAAGACGTAGCGTGAAAACGGGCCTTTAGAGAGTCAGGACGTAAACTCGTAAACAAAACAGACGTCGCGCCTGCGAATCGTGTGGCAGTGGCCGATAGAGCAAGCTTCCGATCAGGGGCTCCACGCGCAATGTATTCCCGATATATTTTTATTAATTGTAACTTATACGAAGAAATAATTTCTTGCATATTGCCTTTTCCAAATGCATAATATTCATTATAATAATTTAATAATTAAAACCGCAAGCAAATTCAATCTGTTGTAAAATATTTTAATAAAAGGAATTTTTTTAAATTTGCTAACGACGGCCGGGCCCGGGCCCCCTTTGGGCCCGGGTATTTTGCCCCCCCTGCCCCCCCCTCTGGTCGGGCCTGCTAACGATTGTACCAAAGTTTTATTATGCCTCGTATACAAAAAAGGGGATAGATTGGAATGTGAAAATTACAGAGGTGTTGCTCTGTTGGATACTTGGTTCAAGGTTTTAGCCAGGATGCTAAGGTAGAGACTTAACAGATTTGCTGAAGATAAACTAAATGAATATCAGATTACAGTTAATAGATCAGTGACGGATCAGAAGTCCAGACCATAAAAACATTGATATAACAACCTGCCTGTTAAATCGTCATATTACTGCGAAAAGTCACTAACTAACAATTTTGTAGTTTCGAGTTATTGGAAGTTAAAGATGAAAATTGATTTTATAAATTATCTTTTAAAAAACAATTTATGAACTATATTTTTTTACAAAGTTAAACACCTGCTGTAAAAGTTGTGCCATCATTTTTCAAATAAAGTTTATTTTTTCATAATGTTTTGAGAAAAATATGAAGTTAGTGAATTTTTGCACAACAAAATTACATGAAGTATCAGTTAGTTACTTTATTAATTAATACCTTTAAGAATACAAAATAGGGTTTTAAAAAATCATTCACTTTCTTCTTCTTGATCTTCTTCGTCGTCTTCTCTAGCAGGTTCTGCAGTATATTCTGAAGTATTGTTTGTGACGGCTAACGATTCATACCAAGGATGTAGCTCTTCTGGTATAATACTTTTACGACAAAGTTTCATTAAGTCTTGTTTCTTCAGAATGCTTATGGGAAGTGGTTGATGGTAAGCTTTTTTGATATTTGTAATTGTATTTTGGCGACCTCGCTTACAAACATTAAGAGTCATGTAGGGTCCAGTATGACTGTAACGGAATTTAATTAGACCTGGATATTGTTTTTCATAACGTAGACACTTTATTTTAAGCCATTTTACCGTATTACCGTCAGTATCTTTAAGGCGATTTTTAATCATTCTTGTACTAAGGTCTTTAAGGTCAATTATATCGGAGAAACTTAATTGATTAACATGATACGGATTAGCCTTTTTATTAATTCTGCTGGATCTGGCCTTTCTCATTATGGTCATCCATTCCATAACAGAGTTAACTGGTACATGCCTTTTTTCTCTCTCAATTGCGCTGTGCATACTGTCGACTTCCATGAAAGAATGGCCAGACTCCAAAAATTTTTGCTCAATAATATCAACGTTTGTGGTTTGAGTAAGAAACAGCAGTAGGGCTGCTATGTGCTGGTTTCTGTTTTGCCCTCCGCATGTGTCAGAAAACAGGGATATTTCTTTGATACTGTTCGGAAGTTTGGTGATCCACTGCATTAGGGCAGTACCGATTTCGTTGCTACCTCGTTTACCATTTACTTCCGACCAAACAATGCAGTATGCCTCGTTAGGAACTCTAGACTCATAAATTGTTAGGTTGTAAATACTTAACTTCCTACAATAGTATAGAAGCGATTCTTCACCAGAAGGTATTTGGAGCACACTTTGTAGATCGACTGTAACAGACATAAATGTTGGATCCTCATTAGATCTGACTTTATCTTGTACTTTAGCTAAATTTGCCTCATCTTTTCGCTTTATATGATTATTGTAATCGACTTGAAGTTGGTCGTTTAATGTCCCTGTCCTCTTAGCTTCACTAAAGGTATGGCACGTGGAACATTGATCTTTTTTAGGGACGAAGAATGATAAGTTATACGACTTGCAAAATATGTTTCTATACATTGAGTGTGATACCGGAATGCGATTATTTTCATTACAGTACTCTTTATACAAGAAGTACATTTTTGTGATGGATAATTTTGAGTCTAAATATCGCCTTTGAGTATTTTTCCTGCAGTAATGTGACTCCATTACAGGAAAGCTCTCAATGTGCTGTTTAACAAAAGCCATATCATCGTCTTTACACTTATTGTGAGGAGTCTTCTTACCACGCTTATCAGCTGCCGTAAAATTTCCATTCTCGCTACCTTCAAAAGCTCTATTTATAGGACCATTGCTAATGTTTAAAGTTTTTTGAAAAAACTTCTGACATACCCTGTATTTTACCTCGTTTTTCATTAGGTAGCATTCCCTGCTATGCTTTCGCTTTTTGGAAGGTTCCACATTTGCTCCAGGTCGCGCTGGTGGTTTTTTGTGTTATAAATTTTAAGATAAAATCCTTTTGCCTGGTATAACTAGAAAGACCCCAAAATGATTTGCAAATATTAAGCCTATCCGTATCATTAAAATGTGTATTGCATTTAAATTTACAAGTGTCACATTTAACTTTTTGAGGAACTTTTGCAGGTCTTTCTTTTTTTGTTTTATATGGCAAACAATCAAACATTTTTTTCCTCTCAATATTTCTACTCCAATTAGAAGGATCTGCTTTCATCCAACGACATCGCTTTTTCTTGGGAGGAGCTGCTTGACCTTGTAAAGGGATTTCTTCTAAATTAATATTTGATAAATTATCTTCTTGTTCACCTTCACTGGTCCTTTCTGACCCCTCATTTGGTTCCCAATTTTTATCCTTAACGGAGTCGTCGTCATCCGTTTCATCCTAGAGTAAAAAAACATCGTAATAAAGCAGTGTTTAAACCAGGTTCTAGTAATTAACAATCATAAGATACAAAATTATCCTTACAGCATAATTGTCTTCCACGGGTAAAGTCGAGTACTCGAACTGTTCCTCAGGGTTTGAAAATTTACTGCATGAAGCCATCTCAATTATACGGGTCGTTTCCTGAAATAATGATTACTTTCTTTTTAAAGTGTAAAAAAAATTGGAACAAGAAAATAAATTTGTCCAGTCAGTATTACAATTACCAACCTTTGTTGCAGCTGCACCATATGTTTGGCTGAACCCAGTCTCACAGTTGTTTGAATTTATGGAACTGTCGTTTATACCTATGTCTTTTTCCGCGGCCATTTGGTCATCAACCTGTGATTCTACTGCAACACACATTTGGTTTGGCCTTATCTCGGAGTTGTTTGCGTTTATCATATTCTTACGGTCGTCTTCTAAACTTATTTCTTGGTCTGCGGTTATATGTACTGCATTCTAGAATTCAAAAAAGTTGATATTTTTACTCGTATTTTAATGAAGAGGGATGAAATCTATGATAGAAAAGTAGAAACTATTTTGCCCTAACCTAAACCATTTAGATACTAGATCATTCCAAAGTGTAAAAAAATGTTACTTTTAGAATCGAGTGGTCTCAAAAAATATTGAAAATTCGAATAGGATGTACATGCTAAAGCTTTCTTTTGACACTATAAATTAGATATCTAACAATAATTGTGTAGGGTAATTTATTAAAAATATTAATAAATACACGTGGTATTTTTTTAAGCACCCTGTATATTTTTTTTTTCTAGCATTTTACGAATTTATTTAATTCTAAACACACAATTACAATCTATGAGCATTGTATTAGCAAAACTCCAGTGTACCTATTTAAATTACCCAAATTATGTTCCGCGGTTCAATACAAGGGTAGACCTCTAAAGTCACGTCTGCAGGTCCTCCCACCTCCACATTCTCCGAAATGTAAATGATATAAAATACAAACTCGTTACAATAATATTTATTTTTCTAACTTACCTTTGTCAACGCTAACTGAACCAGTTTTAATGATCTAGAAGTCATTATTCCGTGTGTGTTTACACAATGTTGCACTAGTAATAATATAAAATTATTGTTTTTTAGAATCTATTAATCACCAATGTAGTCACTCCACTAATTCCTAACACCGACTGAAGACTTAAATTTTATCTAACTGCTGACTGTCCTGACGACTGCACATTTTTATATAAATATGTTATGATAAAAGTCACTAACTACTGTTACTGAGATTTTGCATTTATCATTTTTATCATTTGCAGCAGTTCAGTTCTGCGAAAACTCATTAACTCACTTAAACAGTTTTAGCATATCTTATTATTATCTAATTCTTACTTAGTGATTTTTACCGCTTAAGTATTAGCTTTTAGAGCGTTCTGATGTAGTTAATGATTTTATGCACAGTAAGAAAATATAAAAATAAGTCTTACCATACAGTTAGCTCATTTTAAGGTAAAATGTCAGTTAGTGACTTTTCGCAGTAATATGACGAAATATAACGAGAAAATCGCGTAGTATAGAGACCTTGAGCCTCATAGAGAACATAAAACAGTTGTTTCTTAATGAAAATCTTGGCAGCCTACAGTATCAGCATACCATGTCAACTAGGGCTCGATAACTTATTTAAGAGTTTCTTCAGAAATCAATCCTTTTGATACCATATCTAGAATCTATAGGTATCTGGAAGTGAATGTTCTCCTTATGACAGACATTATATAATGATTGTATATATATATATATATATATATATATATATATATATATATATATATATATATAATATATATATATATATATATATTTAATACAATATAGCTTATATTTCAAAATCAGATTAGAGAAAATTAAAGATAATATAATATAAAGATAATATAAAGATAAATCTTTCTCATTGCGGTTAATGGCAACAATGAAATCAATAAATAAATCGTAAAAACATAAAATAATTAGGTATATATGTTTCTTAAGGAGAATCTTTGACAAAACAGGCATTTTATTAATCCAAATTATAAAATAAACATAGATATAAATGAAATATTAAATTCTCATATTAAGTTAGAATATAGGTAATATGGGTAATTTATTATTTAATCACATGTTTTCGCTTATATTAAGACTTTTTACTATTAAAATTTGTCTTTAAAAATAAAGAAACACTTAAATCTATTTTTATTCGTTCTAATAATTTCATTTAAGAAGGGGCTAAAATATTTAATTGCAAGTACAGTAATTTTGGTTGAGCAAATACGGTATTTTACTTTCAGATATGTGGCAACACCGTTAAACCTGTGTCAAATTCAGTATGTCATATTCACAGCCCGATAAAGGAAGGTTTTTGCTAAGGTTGTAGTCGAAATATTTGAGAAAATCTTGGAAGAAAGTATAAACAATAACCTATATTGTTTATTAGGCGAAAAGTAATATTTCGTTCAAATAAAGTAAGTGAAATGTAGTGTTTAGATGGTGATACTTGTGTAATGTGTATTGATTTTTTGGTCTCGTTTGCAACCATATCGACGCGTCGTGTTCCTTCCAGGTAAATTTAGATATTTTCGTTTCGTACCGTCTTCGGGCAATCAATTGACGACGCGAAGTGCTCAAGTGTTGCATTTTTAATTTCTTACAGACTTTAGTGTAGTGTATTTTGAGAAAATTCTCTTTATGTGCGGACTGATTTTTTTTGTGACTCCCTCTCACCACCTTTGGTGACCTATTTATTTGTGTTCTCGCGACCGTGAACCGTGGGTGGCAATACGATTTGCTAGCTACTTTCGCTAATCCGAGCCAAACCAATACTTTAGTATTATTTTAAACTTGTATAACTTTCATTACAGGTCAAGTATTTTAGTAGAATTGATAGGGAGTGTGCTTGGTGTCAGAGCCGAATTCAGCCCATTTGTTTCTTCTTACATATTTTATTTTTATTTTCTTTTGTTCCAACGGTATATCTAAAGAAAACATCAAATTACGAATGTTTTGTAGTATCTTACATCTCTTTTAGTATTCATACATTTTATATTCCTATTTATATAATCATACAGGTCATTAACCTATCACATTTAGCTTATTTTTTCTTTTTCATTATGATTTGTAGTGTGTTTATGTAATCACTACTTTTTGAATTGCATTTTGGAAAATAGTCCTCTTGAATTTTTATGGAACATTTTTTCTTTGAATTTTATTTAAATCATCCTGGACCTGACTTGTATGACTTTGTATTTATGGTATGAATTTATGACACATGTATGAATGGTAAACATTTAGTATGTTGCGAGTAATTGAAATTTTTTTATATATTAACCATAGTATATTTAAGGTATTTAGGTACTAACATGATTTCGATCGTTATTCGTAAGTCACATTACTTATGGTGTCGGTTTCTGTAATGTGATTTATAAATTCGTTGATAATTAACGCGTGATTCGTGGTTTTAGCGTCGTAATAATGTAAAGCATGCGATTTCCAAGTGTTGCTTTTTATTGGAAAGAATTTCACAATTGAAGCTGTGGTCTCTATTTGAAAACAACATTTAGAAAAATTAACAAAAGTGAGTTATCCACCACTGTTTACAATTTTATTTAAATAAGCTGAGAATATAATAGACCTTAAATGCTTGATTGTAGAGTTAAATATCTTCTCATTTTGCAGCAGCCAGTTTACAAATAAAATTGAGTTTGACAAAAAATTAGGATGTAGTTTATGGCAAAGGATTTTTAATTTGGTATTATATTGCTAATGTTTTGTATGATTTTAATTAGTATGTATGATATGAGTCAGTCAATGACTATTTGACATGAGTTGGGTTTAGTGAGGTGAACGGAAATTAATAGCATTAAAGTAAATAAAAATAAAATGAAAAATAGGGCTTAACCAGCGTTTGAATCTACTTCTCAAATTTATTACATGTAGAGCAAAAACGAATTTTCAGAAAAAAAGGTTTTATTTCTTAAAAATATTCAATTTGTAAAAAAAAATTTATTGAGGAGAAAAATCCTTACTGAGAAAATTAATTGAAAAATCTGGAAACCATTATTACTCTTGAAATTTGATTTAGAGTTAAGTATTTTTTTATTTGTATCTTCTGTTTTTTTTTTCAGGATATTATAATGTAATTACTGGCCTTTATATATACGTATTATTTCCTTGTAGATTCGACTTATTCTCATTGTGTATGTGGTGGTTATGTAATGTCTTATTGAAACTCTTGTTTTTTGTAGTTCTTGTATATTTTATTTCATAAGTTACGAACAATGCATGATTTACTAACATCCAAAAGTGGTTGACTCGTTAAGGTGTCAAAAGTACATGTCAAAGTCAAAGTATCATACTGTGGAACATTATATATAACATAACATAACATAACAATATCTTTATTTTTAGAAAATAATATACATTCTGTGAACATAAAATTATTAAAAAAAAACAGTGTCACAAACGAAAATATTATTTACTTATTCCTAACCGTTACATATACAAATAATCCTCCACAGAATATGGCTCAAGAGCTACCAGTAATTTAAATATTTGATGTTTATACAAACTTAATCTTTCCTCCCTTTTAATAGGTTCAGGCAGTTTATTAAACAATTTGTTGCAGCAATAAGAGCGTTTTTTTCTGTTATACTTAACCTGTGTATTGGAATTTTATAATTATATAACCTGGTATTTACTATACTATTGGGCTCAAAGTTCCTAAAGAGTATTTTATTTTTATATAGACACAGTAAGCATTCTTGAATAAATACAGTGTAAACTGTTAAAATATTATTACTCCTAAAATGCCCTCTACATGATTCCCTACTTTTTAAGTCAAACATAACTCTGATTATTTTTTTCTGAACCAGAAATACATTATTTATGTCCCTACTTTACATGACAAATATTATATGAGTAACTTAACATACAAAATTTTACTTTATCTAATATGTTATTCTTAAGATTGATATTGAAATCTCTCCCTATAATTATAATTTTGTTTTCTATCATAATTCTTCCCAGTATAATATCAAATTTGTTTAAAAAAACTGCCAGATCGCTACCTGATGGTCTGTAAACTGATGCTATAATGAGTTTGTTATTACCTATATTAGCTTCGCATACAGCACACTCTATTACCCTATCTACTGATAACTCTTGTATATCCTTTCTTTCCTGGCCAATGATATCTTTACTAAGATATATAGCTGTTCCTCCATGTTCATTCACATTATTTCTACAATGACTAGCTGTCAGCACAAAATTGTTAATTCCATATTCACTTAATTCTTCTTTAGTTTTCCAATGTTCTGTTGTGCACAATATTTTACAGTCACTGTTGTTTGTTAGAAGTTCTTCTATGTCATCAATACAATTTCCTATGAATTTGAGGTTCTGGCGGATGATACTTATATTCTTTGCTCGTGTGACTGTGTTTTGTATTTCAATTTCCTTGTGTTAATGTGTCTTGTGCTCTCTATTTTCTCCTATGAAAAATTTCCACCTTGGTTATCTAGAAAATCCTTATGACGATGCATCTGGAACCTTTTTATGCCAACACCATTAGGCCAAAACTCTGGTTTATACATGTCATCCTTATATTCAAAGGGAGCCGATACAACAAATCTCTTCAACATATTTTCTTGACTTGGCAATTCCTTTACCATAATAGACTCTTATTGCATTTTCCTCTTTTTTTATTAGAAATTTACATATCTCCTCTTGTTTTGTTGTTCTCTTCACTCTATACAAGTATAGCCACACTTTTTTCTTTTCCCCTGCAAAACCACTTGTGCTATCGTCATCGCTTACTGCCGTTCCTATATTCTTTTTAGTTATGTACCAATGTCTCTTGTGTATAACTTTTTGGATCCCATCTGAGTCACTATCGCTGTTTTCCTCAGTTATTTTATGTTTTTTTATTTGCTCATTAACCTCAGTTGTTTGTTTATTTTTGAGGTTGACATTAATATTGTCACTTGTCTTCTGTTCAGAGGAACTACTTAAACTTTTTGACATTTGAGCTACTACTTCTGTGAATGATCTATTTTGTGTATGAGGTGGTAGCGACCTTGTGAATTTTTTATCAACAGAGTGATCCATTATCTGATCTTGTTTATTTACACTTTCGTATTCAGTTTTTTTTGCGGTTTTTTGCTCTAGATAACTTACTTTTTGGCGCAATAAATTATTGTTTTCTTTTAATACAACATTTTTGTCTTCCATTTCCATAATTAGTCTTTTTAAGAGAACATTTTCTAATCTCAGTTTGGATAATTCTTCTATAGTTGACATCTCGTTTGTTTCGGTATCACCGCCTTTTTTGTCACAGCATATTATGATATTTCTCTCATATATGATATATGTTTCAAATCCACATTTTTTTGCACAGCTAGAGTGAAAAACACTATAACAATATTTACACACAACTATTTTACACTCTCTTTTATACATAGATATTAATAGTAACCATAATTACTATTTAAATGGGAATAAGCCACAATTAAAGGTTAAAGTAATATCCTTACTATTTCAAAGTGTATCGATATTTCACATGTTTCAACATTTATCATTTGTTATATTTATGTGTGTATGTGTAGTGTAAATTGCCATTATATTTTTAATTTTTTTACTATTTTTTATGCAGAAACTTTTATTTCACAGTATCTATAAAACAATTATTAAATTAAAATAATGAAAATATGCTGCAAAATGAGTAGATGTGCTAAGGGTTTAAGTCTATTAGATAATTATTAAAAAATACATTTTGTATAAGTAAAATCACCAATTTATTTTGTATTACCAATATCTAATGGATATAGGACATTTTATAGAATGTCTACAAGACGAAGAAGTAGAAGTAAAGATAGGAAAAATGTGCCAGCAAAACTTAGAATGGATACAAAACCCCAGGCAATTCGAATTACAGGTATAGAAAAATACAAATAAATAAATTTATTTTTTCAAAAATAAATTCACTTATATTAGAAAAAGAGGAACTTTAGACATATTAAACAACTTTGAAGTAAGAAATGTGAATAATTTCAGATGTGTATCTTCATCTTAATAAACTCACCAGCACAATTAATAATCCACCTTGTATTTCTTTCAATTTGCAAAAATATAAATAATTGCAATAAAATTATTGAAAACAAAGACGTTTATCAAGGGATGCTTGGCAAAAATCCAATGTTTAAGAATCTTTGAAGGAGATTCTTAGTTTACAGTCTAATTAAAAAAAATATGAGTATTAATAATGAGTGTTGTCGCCCCTCATCCTTAGGACTTTTTGGAGCCGGTATTATGCCACTCTTCTGGCGCAGCCATCTTGAGTTTTTCCAAGGATGTAGGCACTACTCTTGCTCTTACCCGTCCTTTGAGGTTGTCCCAAATCTGTTCAATTGGATTAAGATATCTTCCACATATCTTTGAGCATTCACATTACCTCTATTGAATACAATAAGATCAGTACAAACTTTGTAAGAGAATTTAGGAATCAAACTGACGGTACTGGTGTTTAATTTTTTATTGCAGCGTGCCTACTTGACAGAATACAAAACAGTTGATAACCATAGTTAATATAAACAAACAGGGTGACACATAATGGAGGCGGGGAGTTAATTGTGCTAGTGAGTGTATTACCATGATATTGTTGTAGAATGAGGATAAAACAAAAGTTGTGGTAGATTAGGCAATAGGCGTCAAAGGTCAAAATCTATGTAAGATCAGTAAGTATATTATATATAAAATAAATCCACTAGTGAAAAGGTAAAAGGAAAAACAATAAGAAATAATATTTCCTGGATAATCCTTTACCTAACTTTCCAATTTAACTACATGATTATATATTATGACTGTATTGGCTAAAATTTCAAGCTAAAATGAGGACACTGTTTAAAGATATGCAATAATGTGGTCATTGATGAATTAAGAAGTTTCAAAAATCACTGAAGAATTAAAAAAATATATTAGGAAGCCTGTAAGCCTTGCTGATCATATTGAAAGAAGGAAATATGAAAATTAATAAGGAATACAATGCCTGAATAACAAACAACATTTGGTTAGGACCAAAGTAAAACAAATAATGGCATTTATAAAAAAATATTCTTATAAATTTTACCAATAAGCTTTAAGAGTAGCAAATATATCAACCTCACCAAAAGTGATTAAGCAAAGTCAAATCTGTTGGTATAAATGGAATTAACTTATAAAATGTGTTAGGTTTTAATGAGCTATTTTAATCAGTCTATTGTTTCTTTTTTTCTAATATAAGTACTAAAAGGGGTTTTAAACCAAATTAGTTTAAAAATTGCCTATAGTAATATTACACACAAAAGGAAACGAAAATTCCATAGTGTTTATGGAAAACTTTATTTTCAGACCCTAGTTTACCTGCTGGCAGAAGAAGAGAAATTGATAATGTTATGAAAAAAGCTAGGGCTCAAAAATCACCTAATTCTGGCGTATTTTGGGACAAAAAACTGTTGGAAGTCGAAGCTAAAGATCCAAACAGGTGAATAAACAATTTCAAATTTATGATGTGACTTTAGATAGTCATATTTGTGGGTTTTATTGTTAGTTTAAATAATAATTTAGGTAAGGTAAGGTGGATAAATTTTGTAAATAGAGTTATTTGTATTTTGAAGTAGATTAAAAGTCTTAATTCTAAATTAACCATAGTTCTATACATAAGTGATGGATTCAACTGTTACTTGATGGAAATTCATTTTATCTAACACTAAAACACTGAACATTTATGTTTTCAAAACTTCCACAAAATTTATTTTAAATTCTTAAATTAGGTATACTTTTTAGGATAAACCAGGGGCATGTTGTTAACATTTTTCTTAAGTTGTATTTTTTAAGGAAAAGTAACAGTCTGAGGTATGATTCGTCATTTCCTTCCATACTATTGGAACTGCAAATGGCATGTGACGAGAAACATTGGCTCATCTAGTCAAAAGTTTATAGCATGTTACATGCTGGTCACCCATCTTACAGTAGTTTTTGTACTGGTTACCCATCTTACATCCAAAATAAAGTTCATAACACCTTTTCATCAAAGCAGTAAAATTTCTTCTTCGCAATTCAAAAGCAATGTGACTTGAATGAAGCTTACTGCTTGAGGGCCACACAGCATTGACTGAGCTTGAGTTGACAAGAGCGAGCATATAATCATACGACCTACATATGCTGAAAGACCTTGATACAAGTGTGAAAGTCCAAGACACGTTAGACGAACAAGTGACTGCAATTAGAGACAAATCAAACGAAGAATAAACGACCAAACAAATTATAGAAATAGTGCAAAATGTACAGATGTACAGAATAAATCAAATAAATCATGGATGACAGATGAGATCCTGAAACTGATGGACGGGGAAGAGAAGCCAAAAATGACCCGGACAAATATAAAACCATAAGAGAAGCAAAAGAAAAAGAAGCAAGGGAAAGATGCAAAGAAATTGAGACTCTGCAGTCAAAGTACGATAGTCACAATGTACATAGGAAAGTTAAAAAACTCACAATGGGACTTACACAAAGACAGAAAGGAAAGATAAATGAAGAAAGCTCTGTAGAAAGAATGACGCACTACAACTACTTTAGCACGATAATAAATGAAGAATGGATCAACAACCAGTAGATTAGAGCACATATCAGAAAAGCTAGATCCACCTTCAGTCAGATGGGGGCCTTCTTCAAGAGTCACAACCTCTCTCTTGATACAAAAGTAAGAATGCTGCAATGTTATGCCTCTATAGTTCTTACACTTCAGTTGATCACCCTTTTTATGCAATAGGCATATTCCCTTTAGCCACTCTTCTGGTACCAATTCATTCTGCCATATAAGTATGATTAGTTTATGGATTGCTGCAAAAAGTTTATCACTGCCTTTTTTATACATTTCCGAAAAGATTTCATTGATTCTTGGTGCTTTATTATCTTTGAGTTTTACACTTCTTCTCTTGTTGGGTTTTCACTGTGTAGAACTAATTATGTATTAGGAAGTAGTTTTCACATGAATGATTTTGCGAAACTAATTAAAACCACAGTTTTTCCTTTAACCTTCCTACTCTCTCGAAGTAAATGTTACATTCTTTGTCTATGGGTACGGGTGGACCCAGTGGATAAAACTCATACCTGTTGTGAATTAAATTCCAATTTTTTTTTTATTAATTCGTAGAAGCTTTTGTAGTTTCATGTTATCGATGTATCAAAACTAAAAACATTTTTTTGTAATAAAAAATATAATAAAACTTTATATTCAATTAAAATTATATATTTATTCAATGCAACTTTTACAAAAGATATTGAATGGTCAGGACAAATAAACCTCTTACATGCTTGACATCTTGTATGAGATTTTCTGTCTTTTTCCCATCTGCAGTCTTTACACCTTCCACGTTTTGTACTTTCATTTGCATTTCCACTTGTTCCAGCTACTGCATGTAAAATTATTTGGATTTTTTGTGGAACGTTTGTTGTCATTCGGGTAGTTCGGCATTTTTTTGTTAAATTATATGCCGATTCGTTTATAAAAAGCCTTCTTTTATGTAGTTTGTTCCTACTATATTGAGGATTTACATGCATATATAACACATATGCGTTAATTACCGCCAAATCTAAAATATTATAAAATAAGCAAAGTGGTCACCTTTAGTTCCTCTTTTGTAGGTATAAGCTAACGCTAATTTATCTGTTGTATCTACACCTCTTCACTGCGAGTGGTTCAGCAGATGTGAGTTCGATCCCCAGCTCGGTGTACAGAAAACAAAAGGGCTAACGCAGCAGTTTAAAATTCTAAATGAATCTGCGACTAGAATATGTTGGTGTCTGATCGGCCTATGGTGGAGCAGTACGGCAAGAGATAAGGGCTTGCGTCTCAGTGATACTCCTCAATAGATCCCTACCGGAAGGGCGTGTGCCGCCTAAATACCGGGTATATATATCTACAACTCCTTTGGTTCTATTGTATTCTAAAATAATGTCAGGTTTCTTATATTCTTGCAATGACACCTTGTCATCTAAATGCATCGAAGACAAAAGACAGGTTTACCCTTTTTAGGATTATATGAAAATAAAGTCATTATTCTTCTGAAAGCCAAAAATTGATGATAGGGCTTCTTAATTTGGTAGAAATTCAACTGGAATAAAAGTTTTCTTCTTTCGTAATGTTCCAATTAGTGTTACTTTTCGACAGTGTCCACGTCTCTGATCCATATACAAGGACCGGTTTTATCAGGGTCTTCTATTTTTGCATTTGGTTTTTCGTGTGATGTTGTTAGATCTTAGATTTTTAATTTGTCCATGATATGTTTTATTAGCGATAGGTATTCTTCTCTTAACTTCTTCACTGATATTGTTACCTGCGGTAACTAGTGAACCTAGATATGTACTTTCATGATTTCGATGGTATAGTCTCGTATTGTTAGATTCTGTAGGTTTCTTTGGCCTGTCGATTTACTGGCCTTCATGTATTTGGGTTTTATTTCGTAATGTTTAGGACACTGTTTTGTGCCGCTCTTTCTATCGCATTAAATGCTTCTATCATCTCTCTTTCGCTTCTAGCTATTATATCAACATCATCTGCAAGTGCCAATATTTGTACACTTTTTGTTATTATTGTTCCTCTGGTGTTGACTTTTGACTCCTTAATTATTTTCTCTAATGTGATGTTGAATAGGATACAGGATAGGGCATCTCGCTGTCGTAGGTCCGTTTTCACATGGATTGTATATGTTAGTTCGTTTTGAATTCGAATTTTGCTTTGTACTTTAACTGTTTCTTTTACTATATCAATGAGTGGAGTTGGTATATTAAACTCTTTCAGTGCATGGATCAGAAACTCTCGATAGATGCTATCATAGGCACTCTCAAAGTCAATGAAAAGATGATGTGTGTCTATATTAAATTCACTAGTCTTCTCCAAGATTTGACTAAAGACGAAGATCTGATCTATTGTGGACTTCTGCCTGCAAAAACCACATTGATATCCCCCAACTATTTGTTTCGCATATGGTCTCAATCGGTCATACACAATATTTGACAGTATTTTATATGCCACAGTCAGTAGCGTTATTGCCCGGTAGTTTTTGCATTGAAGCTGATCTCCCTTTTTATGTAGTGGGATAATTACTCCGGTATTCCAGTCTTGTGGCAGTTGTTTATTATTCCACTTCATCACTAGTGACGGTTTCTAAATTGGTAGACTCATCTTCATGTTCTGAGTCTTATTCAAGGATTTTTCGTAATTCCTCTACCGTGAGTCCTCTCGTGGAGCTTATTTTTTAGCAAGCGCTTATAATTCTGTTTTTCACAAATGATTGTACACCACACTCTCAACTCTAAACTTCAAGCGATCAAGTCTGGTAAAACACTAAAGATACTCGACAAACGCTTATTAAAATAGAGCCTATAAATGCTAATTACCCTTCTCAGAAAAATAAACAAAACAAACATCGCATACATTTGGAAACACTTCTGGGTACAGGTGGACCCATAAACAACAGATGTGTTTCTTTTATTTCAAAGAAAACCAAACTGATATTTTAAAACGCAAATACGTTAAATTGTATATAAACCTTATCTTAAGGATATTATAAAACTTCACGTCTCAAATTTACGATATAATAGATATTTGAATTTTACTACTGGGCCCAGGCGTACCCGGAGACAATTTAAAGAAAAGTAAAATAAATGTTATGTATACTAAACTAAACTTTTAGGTAAACTTTTCAAGTCACATCGATTAAGTTGATTATAACGTTTGTCAAAAAATGAATTGTCGAAAGAAAATGCAAAAAAGTATTTTTGAAGTATGTATATTTTAGGCAATTCCTAGCTGAGCGCTTTCGGCTTTACAAAGCCACCATCAGAGCTATGCTACAATAAAATGTTCTTATAAGTACTAATTCGTAAAGATTATAATTTTTAACTTACGTCAATTTTTTAAATACCACTACAAAGGAGAGATCTCATTTCCTTATATTTCAAAATTATGATTTTTTTAGTTGTTGAAATTTGTTAAAACATATAAAAAGCCGACACTGGACTTCACAAACACGTTAAAAAATTGAAAAATTTTTGTCATGGTACGGGTGTAAGAACCCGACCATTGATTGATGTGAGGATGTAGACAGAATAGAACTAATGAAATCAAATGTCGGTCCTTTTAAACGATTTTTCAAAAGTGACAGTTGACAAATGTCATATATAGGAAATAGAGATTGTTTTTTTAAATTCTTACAAAATTATTTAATAGTTCGGAATTACTAATAGTCATCAAAGACTTTCTAAAAATTAAGTTTTTAAATTAAATTTTATGTGTTCATCACATCATACAGAATGACATTAGTTTGTAAATTCACTCAAGTCATTGCTCAAGGTCAATGTATGTTCAATCTGACAGCTATCCTTAAGAAACAAGGGCTCACATTGTTCAACAACAATATAAAGAAGAAACATGGTATTAATGTTACGTTATCTGATACTTAAGTGTATTGAGAATTGTATCTCTTGATGGAAAATTGTAAGAAATTTGCATAAATTTTTTAAGAATGTATTTTCATGTTTCAATTAAGAACAACTGTCAAATGAATTACAAAATGTTGTAAATTTCTAATAAAGTTTAAAATTTGTTTAAAAATATAAAAGTATGAAAAATATACAATAAGATTGCATGAGGTCACCCTTCTTCCTCTAAAGTCTCCCATAATAATTTAAAAAGAGGTTTATAATTGCAATTGACGTTGATTTGTGTGTTTAAGCAACAATCAGGGTTTAGTTTCATTTCTTTGGATATCTCAAGATCTTCCAAGAGATTCATGAGTCTAAAGTTTTTATTGGGAATGTTGTGTAAAATTTTACTGTTTTCAGAAGGAGAAAAGGAATGGTTATTAAATTTAATGTGATATCCAAAGTTTGATTTTTCTGCGTTATTGAGGTGTTCTTTGATTCCTTGATTCAGAGTTCTCATTGTTCTACCTACATAAGTCATATTACAGTCACCACAGGACAGCTTGTAAATACCACTTCTGTGTAGTTTGTCAACTTTGTCTTTGGTCTTGCTGAAGATGGACCTGATCTCAGCAAGACCAAAGACAAAGTTGACAAACCACACAGAAGTGGTATTTACAAGCTGTCCTGTGGTGACTGTAATATGACTTATGTAGGTAGAACAATGAGAATTCTGAATCAAGGAATCAAAGAACACCTCAATAACGCAGAAAAATCAAACTTTGGATATCACATTAAATTTAATAACCATTCCTTTTCTCCTTCTGAAAACAGTAAAATTTTACACAACATTCCCAATAAAAACTTTAGACTCATGAATCTCTTGGAAGATCTTGAGATATCCAAAGAAATGAAACTAAACCCTGATTGTTGCTTAAACACACAAATCAACGTCAATTGCAATTATAAACCTCTTTTTAAATTATTATGGGAGACTTTAGAGGAAGAAGGGTGACCTCATGCAATCTTATTGTATATTTTTCATACTTTTATATTTTTAAACAAATTTTAAACTTTATTAGAAATTTACAACATTTTGTAATTCATTTGACAGTTGTTCTTAATTGAAACATGAAAATACATTCTTAAAAAATTTATGCAAATTTCTTACAATTTTCCATCAAGAGATACAATTCTCAATACACTTAAGTATCAGATAACGTAACATTAATACCATGTTTCTTCTTTATATTGTTGTTGAACAATTTGAGCCCTTGTTTCTTAAGGATAGCTGTCAGATTGAACATACATTGACCTTGAGCAATGACTTGAGTGAATTTACAAACTAATGTCATTCTGTATGATGTGATGAACACATAAAATTTAATTTAAAAACTTAATTTTTAGAAAGTCTTTGATGACTATTAGTAATTCCGAACTATTAAATAATTTTGTAAGAATTTAAAAAAACAATCTCTATTTCCTATATATGACATTTGTCAACTGTCACTTTTGAAAAATCGTTTAAAAGGACCGACATTTGATTTCATTAGTTCTATTCTGTCTACATCCTCACATCAATCAATGGTCGGGTTCTTACACCCGTACCATGACAAAAATTTTTCAATTTTTTAACGTGTTTGTGAAGTCCAGTGTCGGCTTTTTATATGTTTTAACAAATTTCAACAACTAAAAAAATCATAATTTTGAAATATAAGGAAATGAGATCTCTCCTTTGTAGTGGTATTTAAAAAATTGACGTAAGTTAAAAATTATAATCTTTACGAATTAGTACTTATAAGAACATTTTATTGTAGCATAGCTCTGATGGTGGCTTTGTAAAGCCGAAAGCGCTCAGCTAGGAATTGCCTAAAATATACACACTTCAAAAATACTTTTTTGCATTTTCTTTCGACTTGTCATAAGTGTGTACAAAAAAATATCAGTCTTTTGATTATTAAAAAATGAATTACTAAGTATTACTTCATAAGTTTGAGACAACATTTTAATCATCAGTATTATTGTACGTTACATTTTAAAGATTGTTCTAAACGAATTCGTTTGTTTCAGGTGGCGCCACAGCGGCTATAAATCTCTGTATATCGACGGTTCGTCGTCTCCATCGTCCAACGGTAGACGAAGTCGTTCGCGGTCGTTTGGTCACGGCTCTTCACCCGCAACAGGTCGCCGCACTTCGCCGCCTTCTATGCGTCGCACGTCGCCGGCAATGTACGGAGGACGCTCTGCGCGCTCGCCTCGTTCCCCGAGATCGCCGCCTCCGCGTAGCACCCGTTCTCGTTCTCGATCTTCCTCGCCTCATGCTCGTCGTAGATCGCCACCGCCTTCGTATAGAAGACATGTACCTGGAGGTGGCAGGCCGCGTTCTCCGCCATCACCAAGGGACCCACCGTCATCTAGACATCTGAAGAGAAGATCCGTTTCGAACAGCTCTATTAGTAGCTGTTCTGATGACTCTTGTTCCGTTTGTTCTCCAAAGGTTCATAGAAATGCTAGATCGAGGTTTGTATAACTTTTTTTTAATATCCCAAGTATATCTAAAATCTGTAATATAATTAAAATAAGTATTGTCTGATACCTATTGTCTGATTGATATCGAGACGAGTAAGAATGGGATGGGCAGCGTTCGGCAAACTTTCTTACGTTCTAAAAAATCAAACAATCCCTCTATACTTACGAAGCAAGGTATATAACTCCTGTATAATACCGGTGCTCACCTACGGAGCACAGACATGGACATTTACACAAGCCAATTTGGATAGGATAAGGAAGGTACAAAAAGTGATGGAGAGACAAATGTTGGGTATATCACTTAAAAATAGAAAACGTAACCAGTGGATCAGAACCAGAACAAAGACAGTAGACGCGATAGAACAAGCAGCAAAACTGAAATGGAAATTGGCTGGACACAATGAACGTCTCCAAGACGGACGATGGAACAATGCCATCGGAAAGTGGCGTCCATACAATGCAAAGAGATCAAGAGGCAGGCCACAGATGAGGTGGAAAGATGACATCAGGAAACAAGGAGGTCCCACATGGCAGAGAACAGCTCAAGATAGGGAAAGATGGAGAGAACTGGGGGAGACCTATATCCAACAATGGAAGGATAGAGAATAGGTTAAAAAAAAAAGTATTGTCTGACAATATTATTTAACAATATAAATATTATTAAAAAAAAAGTTTTGTAGACAATTGCCCATTGACAATTTTCTGTGTATTTTTAGCACTATAGTATAATTCCACTATTTGGAAGAGTGATTCATCTTTTAAGGCAGAGAAGTGGGAAAAGACGTATGAAAATCCAGTGGCGTACATTCACTTTAATTTTAACGTTAATTATATTTTTCAAATATCATGGTTTGAAATAGGCCACAATATATTTACTTACGAGTTTTTAGTGACGTTTCGATCTCTATATCCAAAGACCGCTTTCAAATCTATAAATGATAGTTATATTTATTTTATTTGTTTATTATTATATATTTCTATAATCTTATATTACTTATTTTCTTTTTTTCTATCTTTAAAAACGGTCTCTGGAATAGATGTCGAAACGTCAGTGTATTAAACATGTAAATAGATATATTGTAGTTTATTTCCAACCTTCTCCCTAAAAACACAGAATGCCACAAAAAAAGCTATAGAAAAATAAATATATCTGTCATTTGTATGTTTGAAAACGATCTCTTTATAGAGATCGAAACGTCCGTAAATTATACATTTCAATAAATATATTGTGGCTTATTCCCTACATTATTTGTAAAAATATAGAACGACAAGCAAAAAGTTATAGAAAATAAATATTACTATCATTTGTATAATTAGAGACAAAAATGGACATGGACATATAGTCAGTACCGCTGACGCAGTACAAAGCAGATGGGTTGAGCACTTCAAAGAACTACTTGGTACCGAAGTGGAAAATGATGCGTCACCCCAAAGACCAAGAAATAACACTCACGTAGAACCTCCTTCAATATTTGAAGTGAAAGACGCAATCACACGACTCAAAAATGGCAAGTCCCCAGGAATGGATTGTATCCCCGCAAAGCTCATCAAACATGGAGGTAACAGCATTATGCACCAAATTCACAACATAATAGTCAAAGTCTGGGAAGAAGAACAAATGCCAGAGGAATGGTGCACTGGAATCATATGTCCACTACACAAAAAGGGAGATTTGTTGGAATGTAAAAATTATAGGGGTATAATTCTTCTGAATACAATGTACAAAATATTCTCCAACACCCTGTACAGCCGTTTAAGTACGTACGTGGAAGAAATCCTTGGTGAGTATCAAAGCGGTTTTAGGCCAGGTAGGTCAACAATTGACCAGATTTTTGTGCTACGTCAAATCTTAGAAAAAACCAATGAATTTAATATTGACACGTTCCATCTCTTTGTGGACTTTAAGTCAGCGTATGATAGCGTCCTAAGAGGTAAACTATACGAAGCCATGAATGAACTTAACATTCCCCATAAATTAATAAGGCTCGTAAAAACAACTATGAGTAAAGTGATCTGCAGAGTGCAAATACAAGGCGATATGTCACAAGCGTTTGAAACATATGCAGGGTTACGGCAGGGAGACGCGCTGGCGTGCCTTCTCTTTAATATAGAGACTATAAGAGATGCCGAGTTACACAATAGGGGAACAATCTTTAATAAATCAACGCAGATTATGGCGTACGCTGACGATTTGGATTTGATTGCACGTACTACACGAGGACTTAAAGAGATGACTTCCACCTTCTTGACAGCCGCACAAAATATGGGCCTTAAAATAAACGAGGAAAAAACCAAAATGCTAGCATCTATTCCAAATAACAGAGATAGAGCTAGAAACGCCGAACAAAACTTCAGTATAGACCAATATAATTTTGAGGTAGTAAATAAGTTTACATATTTGGGTTCTCTCATAACAAACGATAATGACACATCTGAAGAAGTTAAACGGAGGGTACTGCTAGCAAACAAATGTTATTTTGGACTAAGCAAGCAGCTAAAAAACAGAAACTTAAGCCAGAAAACCAAACTAATAATATATCGAACAGTCATCCTACCAGTGCTGACATATGGGTCAGAAACATGGACCATCTCCAAAACAGACGCAAATCTTCTGCTCGTCTTCGAAAGAAAGATACTAAGAAGAATAATGGGCGCATTCTGTGAGAATGGTATTTGGAGAAGGCGATATAATTTCGAATTGTACGAGAAATATAAAAAAAATAGTAAATGGTAGAGATGTAATATCCTTCATAAAAATAGGCAGGCTTAGATGGGCTGGACATGTGTCAAGAGCAAATGAAAATTACCCACCCAGACGAACTCTATTATCGGTCCCAGTGGGAAATAGGAGTAGAGGCAGACCACGACTGAGATGGAGGGACGGTGTGGACGAGGACGCAAGGAAAATCGGCGCGGCAAATTGGCAACGGTTGGCGATGAACAGAAACGACTGGCGAAATAGACTGGGGAAGGTCAAGGCTCAACTAGAGCTGTAGCACCACTGATGAATGAATCATTTGTATAATTGAAAACGGTCTCTGGATATAGAGATCGAAAGCCTTTAAAATTTGTCCACAAGGAATTGAGGAAGGAAAACTTGAGCAATTTACCGATGACGACGAAAGACATTTCTTGCGTCCGAAGAAATATTTATGCTGCAAGACGAAAATCCACACCATCAATTTAAATTTCAAACCGAAGAGAATAATTTCTGATTTTGAAATAACAATTCAAAATGTAGCCAAGTTAGTGTGACCCGACTTTATTATTTTTTGTTGCAAATTTCATTTAACATAAAATTTACGAATTTGTATTGCACTTGTAGCGAGACATTGTTTTACATAATAAAAAAAACTTAACATAACCCTCTAATGTTGTAAAAAAAACTTAAAATTCTCCATTTTCATCCTCCTAAGCTGCATAGCCTATTGGTATTCTTCCTAAAAGTTTTTCCTGTTGGCTCTAATTATAGCTTGCAGGTTATTCAGCAAATTTTGCTTTCTCTCTTGACTAATTCCTCGGCTAGATGTTCATGAATGTGGAGAAAGAGAACAAAAATTGAGACAGCACTTACTGAGAGAAAAAAGCGGAAATTATCATCTGTCAAGTATTCGTACAAATATTATGTACAGGATGCTAACGGATTAGATATGCAAGTATGTAAACTTTTTTCCTTGCCACGTTAGGCTATGACAATAGTAATGATCGAGTTTTGAAAAATATTGAGGAACTGATAATGTTATTGTTCCCAAACAAGACCAACGAGGGCGCCGACCAGCTCTGAATTTGATTGACAAACAACCGATCGTTGAACATACAGAGTCTTTTCGACCTACTGTACCTCATTATCGTCGGGAGCATGCTCCCAATCATCTATACTTACCATCGGATATTTCAATTACAATGATGTACAATAACTACAAAATAAAGAATCCTGATTGTCAGGTTAATTATGAGCTCTATCGTCAGGAAATTACAAAACTCAACATATCGTTTTCAAAACTTGGCTGTGAAGAGTGTTTCCAGTGTGTATATGATCTCCCTAAGACCGAACCCAATCAAATTACTCCAAACACACAATTGTGTAGGGTGAAAACTATGTATCCCACAGAAATAAATATAGTACTGCCAGGAAAGAGTATGAAAGAGTATGAAAATTATCAGATCTCATAGTTTCAACAGATCTTCAGAAAGTGATAATGCTTCCAAGAGTAGACATATCTGCTCTGAAGGTATAACTAAGGAAAATAACATAATTGAATTTAATCTTATGAAGTTAAGGTTGGTAGTTTCAACAAAGCATTTGATGAAAAATATGACGATATTTCCTGATATTAAATAGGAAAAAGGGCAGATTTAAATGTTAGCATTATTTTTTTACTTTTCAGATCAAGATCATTTTCACCGAGACCACGCAAACAACCTCCCAAAGTTGTTTCACCTCCTCCAAAATCACGAGTTCGTCAACGACCGCCGTCACCATCACCAGTGCCCAAACGTGTATCTAGACCCACGACTCCTCCACCAGTGCAAAGAAAACTTCCGAAACCAAGTACCTCAGATAGACCTACTGATCCCAGGAGACAACCACCGCCTCCAAGGCCAAGGGGAAGTACCGGCGAAATTATCAATGTTAGAGGTGTGAAACCTCCTGCTAAACCTGGAACCCTTAAAAAAATTGGGGAAAAACCTATGGTGAAACCGGTAAGTTAAAAACAAGACTTTTTTAAAATTAAATTTTTATCATTAATCTGTTATCTCTTCGTGTTATAAATATATTCCTCTTCCAATCGTCTTCATATATCTCTGTCTTACATCTTTCTTTTTCACATTACTTCATTACTAGACATACAAAAAAAAATTTAAAAAAATACCACTGTTAGGTAGTGTAAACACTCCTGACCATGGAGCTGCGCGAAGGCGGAGTCAAAATTCACGTAAAGACAGAAAGGTTCTATTGTAAGTGGAATTATACAATACATAGTACAATGCGTTTCGCATGGAAGTGGGGACTAAACCAAATTTCGTCTACTGCGCCGTGGTCAGGAGTATTCGCACTATCTCTACAAATATATAGGTACAGTAGATCTGCTGGATCTTTGTACATTGTCATCATTTGATCTTCTTCTTCTACGGCACTACTGCCCATATTGAGCCTTGGCCTCCTTTATTTTTTGCTCTATAATAGCTTCTATTCAGTCTACGTCCTCACATCAATCAATGGTCGGGTTCTTAAACCCGTACCATGACAAAAATTTTTTCAATTTTTTAACGTGTTTGTGAAGTCCAGTGTCGGCTTTTTATATGTTTTAAGAATTTCAACACCTACAAAATCATAATTTTGAAATTTAAGGAAATGAGATCTCTCCTTTGTAGTGGTATTTAAAAAATTGACCATAGCTCTGATGATGGCTTTGTAAAGCCGAAAGCGCTCAGCTAGGAATTGCCTAAAATATACACACTTCAAAAATACTTTTTTGCATTTTCTTTCGACATATTGGAAGTACTATATTCATATTGAAAAGTCCAAATATAGTGCTTTTAATATATACTCGTTTTTTGTTCATGTGAAAACATCGATTGGTTCATTTTTAGGAGCGAAATGACTTCGTTATCCACAATTTACGACTTTTCTTATTATTACCATTATCTTTTGTATTAATTTGTAATACGACGATGGGGGCTTTGGTGACTGATATCGAAGGAATGCCGTATCGACATCCCAGAAGCACTGTATTTAAATAGTGATTAAAAGCAACGACATGATTTTGGTTTTAATGAACAATGATAACAATAACAAAACAAAAAAAAAACAACTTAACTGTAACCTGAAAGAAAAACTACTAAAAAATAACTTAATACTTTGTATTGCCTCCCCCAATCCCTATAACTGTCTGTAGACGTCGGCTCATGCTGTTTATAAGGTTGCGAATATTATCTTGCTGAGTGTTTTGCCATTCCTCTTCTGTAGCCAAGCGAAGTTCGTTAATTGAGGCTGGTGCGATTTCTAATATTTCTACCAAGCATATCCCAAACGTGCTCTATTGGGTTCAGGTCTGGTGAACACGCTGGCCAGATCATTTTATTAATACCAACTTCCTCTAAATATTGCGTGACACAATTCAGTGTGCGGCTCTTGGGATATTCCTGCCCATACCATCACCGAACCCCCTTTATGGCTAACACGGGGACTGAAAGCGCACTCTGCAAATCTCCAGTTCGACGCCATACTCGTTCTGTCCCATCTGATGAGTGAAGACAGTATCTCTACCCATCCGTAAAAAGAACATTACTCATTGTCCTAAATTTCAATGTAAATGTTTCATGAAAAATAGTAGTCTAGCCACTCTGTGCCGTGGAAGTAATTTGGGCCCAATTGCTGGTCTGCAACTTTGCAAACCAAATTCATGTAATCTTCGACGAACTGTAAATACACTTACATTATTGCCTCGAACAGAGCAACGGCTTTCGCACAATCTTCAACAGTAAGAACCATGATCAATCAAAGGAAAACAAAATATAACTGTCAATATTACATAATAATAACAGTCACCAAAGGTACCTCGTCGTATTACAACATAACTACAAAATAATCATAATTAAAAAAGTCCTAAATTGTGGGTGGCAAATTCATTTAGCTTTAAAAAATGAACCAAGACATATTTTGAAATGAAACAAAAAACAAAACGCTTAGGAGACATGGTTGCAACCGAAAAATAAGGTTTTACGAAAATTCGCAAACGGAATTATTCCACAGGATGTTTTAAAGTTAGGGTAAAAAACCACCTTTCGATTAACCCCGTATAAATCATAATATATTTATTTATTTTATTAAAAAACTCACTATACTAGATTAAAATTTATAAATGTATGTACAGTGTGCTAAAAAAATCATCAAAATAAGGCTAAAAATAAAAAAATTGAAATACTTGCGTTGCGATATTTTTTTGCATCTGAGTGTACATATATTCGAACGACTTTTCGATTTTAGATGGTGCTGAAAAGGATCAAAAAAGAACGAACAGGTAACAGACCAGGTTCTCCAGGTGGCGAATCATCCGGTTCAGCTGATAGTGGTCCCGCTGTATTACCTTCGCCAATAGTAGCTACTACAAATTTGACTTTGTCAGAAAGATTTGGAAAAATAGCCCAGTGGAGTGCAGATAGGGAGAGAAGGGAAATGGAGAACATGCGGATTACGAAAACGGGAGGCAGCATGAAAGTGTTGGTAGAAGAGGACTTTCTTTACGGCAGTCCCCCAAGAAGGTACAGGTTAGTTATAGTTTTATTTAAAAAATTTTGGAAAATTATTCAGTAGTAATAGGAAAAAACTACAATAAGGCACTATTACACTAGTAAAAGCCATTTTATATTGCGCCTTACAATGCAATTATTGTTTAGCAATACTGTTTGCTGTATTTACAGTCCTTTTACATTGAGTCAACCAAAGTTAATATAATTTATTATTGAAATGCGATTGTCACTTTTGCCATAATAACAGGTGATTCAATGAAACGGTACGATCTCAAACAAGCAAAAAAAACTGAAAAAATATTTTTTTATTTAATTTAATAAAAAGTGTAAGTGAAGAAATATTCAGTTTTTAAAGATAATATTGGAAAAGTGGTCCATTTTATCCTACACATTTTTACAAAGTAATCCCACAAGACATAGGTCTTGTGGGATTACTTTGAAACACTTTCGACTTAGATACCCACAAAGAAAGTTGTCGCGTAGGGAGATGTCCGGACTACGAGGTGGCCAGGGAATATCGCCATTTTTACTAATAAAACGACCGGGAAACGATGTTCTTAATTAATCCATAGACACTCGTCATATGTTACACTTTGCACCACCAAGTTTCTTTCAATGTTGATATCAATGTAATTTCTATTCAAGATATTTTTTGCTTTTGCTTGTGTATGAATAATTTTCCAATGATTTTTTATTCAATTGCTTGTTCAATATTACTTTGGTAAATATTGATATAATGGTGTTTTTAACATACTGTAAAAGTAAAAATATCGTTTTGTCACTACTAGAGACCTGATTTATAAGCTCATCAAATTTTGCAAAAAGAAAGCATATTTTGCAACAAATGTAAAAATGCAAGCCCCCAAATAAATTGTAATACAAAAACCATGATATATTTGTATTTTAAGGGGGTCACCCTAAGGGGGGGTTTAAGTTACTTAATGAAGAAAACCTAGACATTATTGTCAAGCTCTTTAACGACATCTACGATACGGGCCAGATTCCAAAAGATTGGCTTCGATCTACATTTATTGCCCTACCAAAAACACCACGTGCGAACTTCTGCAAGGACCACCGACTAATAAGCCTAATGAGTCACTTTTTAAAACTTTTCCTGAGAATACTTCACACTAGATTGTTTAAGAAATGTGAAGAGGTCAGTGGATGGAGTCAGTTTGGTTTCAAAAATGGACTTGGCACGAGAGAAGCGATCTTTAGTATGCAAACATTGATACAGAATTGTTTAGATCAAAGAAAGGATGTTTTTATCTGTTTCATCGATTACGAGAAAACATTCGATAATGTAAAACATGAATTGATGATAAAATACCTACAAGAGTTGGGATTGGATGCAAAGGATATAAGAATCATCGCCAATCTGTATTGGAATCAGACAGCAACAGTACGTCTTCAAAATTTCAACGAAACAGAAGATTTTTCCATTAAAAAAGGAGTAAGGCAAGGTTGTATACTGTCTCCAATGCTGTTCAATTTATACGTAGAAAAAGCCTTCGCAGAAGCAGTGGAGGACTCTAATAAGGGTATTAAAGTTAACGTCATATTTATTAATAACATCAGGTATGCCGACGATACAGCCATAGTGGCAGATAACATCGAAGATCTTCAATGCCTTTTAAATGATCTAACTCTTGCAAGTGAAGCTCGGGGTTTGAAAATAAATATCAAGAAGACAAAATCAATGATTATAAGTAGAAATGATTACCCCAACGCAAAGATATATGTCTCTGGAGAAGAAATCGAACAAGTCAGGCAATTCAAATACTTGGGATGTTTGCTGAATGAGGGTTGGGACCCCGAGAATGAAATAAAGAGCAGAGTTGAACAAGCCAGAAATGCTTTTTTGAGGCTTCGTAAGTTTCTGACTGATCGCAAATTGGACTTCAATCTCCGATACAAGATGCTTAAATGTTACGTGTGGCCTGTTCTCCTGTACGGAATGGAAGCATGGACGTTAAAGGCCAGTTCCATTAACAAACTTGAAGTGTTTGAAATGTGGTGCCTGCGTCGAATGCTCAGAATATCATGGACGGACAGGGTCAGAAATGAGGAAGTACTCAGAAGAGCGGGCTTACAGGATAGGGAACTTTTTAATTATGTAAAAAGTAAGAAGACTGCATACTTGGGGCACATTATACGAGGAGAACGATACACTTTTCAGCAACTGATTCTCGAAGGGAAAATAGAGGGTAGGAGAGGTCTCGGACGTAAAAAAATGTCATGGCTGCGCAATATTCGACAATGGACAGGAATCCACAGCTATGAAATGCTTCGCAATGCTGCTAAAAACAGAATTATTTAAACCAGAATATTTAACATCTCACCTGACAAGACGATGTACGGTGGACGCCTACGCAGAAATGCACGGCACCTTAAGAAGAAGAAGAAGGGGGTCACCTTTTGATGGTACAGTTTATCAGCGGTATTAGGAACATTTTAGGAATAACCCTTTACTCCGAAAATACATCTATTATAATGGACACCCCACGTCGCGTAAATGGACTCTTTCAACTTTTTATTGTGACTACTATTTCGTAAAAAGTCACATTTAATATGTGCTGATTTATATGTGCTCTTCCAAAGTATAAAAGTAATTAAGTATCAAAAAAAGAATATTAAATTATTTATAAAAAAAAAATTATTGACGAAAGTATATTTTAACTTTTCCTATAATTAACAATGACAGTATTACATAAAAATGTCGATTTTTGGGGATTTTCTTCATAAATTGTTTAAACAAATGAAACTGTTTATTGGTTAATTAATTTATAAACAAATGTCATATTTGTAATGTACGCAAAGAGTACATACAAATTTAAAAAAGATAGATTAAAATCCGTTGAGTAGATCCGAGATTTAAAAAAGTTTAGTAGTTTGAAGATACGTTTTCATTTTTTGGACGCATAGATTTTGTGGGTTTCATCTCCACTCACGACTACTATTCTTAATTTGATAGATGATGAAATAATTTCAATCAATTTCAAAATAATTTAAATCATAAACAATAAGTAGCAACTTAAAAAATAAACAAAAAACATTAAAGAAGAAAAAAAGCAAATGAGCTTAAAGGTCGGTCTCTTTTCGCGTTCTTAAACGACTATAGGTGGCGGCACTTGTATTGAAAGATGGCGGACAAAATAGGATATCGTTTGTTGACATTGTAAATTTGACAGGGAATTTTAAAAGACCTCTAGTTAAAAGGCAAGCAAGCAATTTTTAAAATTTGATGAAATTTGTATCAGTTTTAAACTCTAATTTATTCAAATTTTTATCTCTATTTTATTAGTTATCTATTTTGACAGCAGTTGGCAGCACGGTCGTTTGAGAACGCGAATTTATTACACCTAATAAAAATGGTATTATGCAATTATGCTTCAACGTTTTTTTCTCTTTTAGTTTGTCTCCAGTTCCAACAGGTCATTTTCCAGATAAGTTAATGTCATCCGGCCAATCAAGACAAGCCGCATGGGACGACGTACGAGTCCGTTATCAATACTATAAAGATCTGGGCTACTTGCGTGATCTTACATTGGACGATTACGTCAAATGGGAGGAATGGTGGTATAAATACCAAGACTGGTTGGCCAACGAGCGACATTACGAACATTGGCTGGCCACTCAAGGTAGCGGTAGGCGGAGAGGCAAGAAACGTTTACCTGCAACACAGCGGTTAAATTAAAAAAGACGACGGTTTATCGGTGTTTCAAATTCGGTAATGAGATGCTTAGACTGCGTTGTTGAACGGTTTTTAAAGTGTTTATTTTATTGTACATATAAAGTTGGCTTATATAAGTTTTTTGCAACAAAATAGAATGAATGCGATGGAAAATTAGCATTCGGCAAATTTTCTATGCTACGTATGTAAAGAACAGTCTGTATTCAGATTTTTCTTATCTTATACCTAATCTGTTAGCTTCCATGTGGACCTAACATAAAAGTGATCAGGAACCAAAATATCACCACCAACACATTTTCCATTGTGTAGAGGTCAAGACATTTAAATTCTCCTACACCTAGTTTTTCCCCAAGTAATTCGATATTCCAGACCACATATACTCCGTTTTCGATCTGCTAAACGTAAGTCCTCCCTCTTCAATAGCTCAATATTTCTTTCTCGGTTCCACTAACTGTCAATCAATCTGACACAAGTGCTTACTTTGGAGTATGTTCTCTCATACATAACCTTCACGAGCCTTACCATAACAATACAAGATCGCTTTGGAAGATCACTACGTTCATGTAGTTAATCAAATTCACATTTTTTCATGTATTTAAAATTAGGAGCATAGGTGGCAGCATATATTTATAATTTCAATTAATGGTAATTATTTTTTGAGCAGATCTGATTAAGAAAAAATATAATTATAAACCTAGACAACTAACATAAATAGTTATTAAATGGCAACAACATCAAGAAAACAAACTAATTACCTAATTTTCAATTTCTTCATGAAAACGTCTAAAACAATTTTCTAAGTACAATCCCTGATGTTCAGGAACTCCGCACAATAAAACAATGAGTCCTTTCTTTCTTTTTTAGTTTGTTAGCAATATTTACACCGTTGTCGTTTTGTATTACCATTAGCTGATTTAGAGTAATGGGATGGCAAATGAAACGTCAAATTTTTCTTGACTTGAGGGGTTTTGGGTTTGGTCCCAAAACAGTATCAATCACCGACAATTGAAAGTCGTACAATGACATTTTTCTATTAGAATTATAGAAATACTATGCGTTGATTAGTATAATTTGCAAAATATGTATGCCTATTTTTTTATACCACCTCATAGTTTTGTGTTCACAACTATAATATTTTAACATGTGGTGGCCTAAATCAATGCTACTTTTGTTTTTGTTATATTCAGCTACTAAATTTGGCTTTTCTTTATCAATTCCTTTCGTAGATATTGTTGGAACCATTTCATGACCAAATTCGGAAGACATTAAAATATTTCGCTGATCTTTCTATTTACATACACATATCCCTTTATTATTGTAATCACTCACCAGTTCATTTTGTTTTAATTTTCGAGAAACAACTTCGTGTGGATTTTCCGCTCTTCCTGTTTTCGTTCGGGAGCTCTTTCGGGGTGACAGACTCAGTAAAACACAGGTTGAAATAAAAATAAATCTAATAATTTAGCATATATACAATAAATAAAAATAAAATGAATTATACTCCGTATATACAATAAATACAGACTTATACTCGCTTCCGCTTCAATTCAGCGGGAGCTCCGAACGCACTCACAAACTAAATATTCGGCAGTGCAGGTCCACGATAATGTTCAATACACAATACCGATGGTTCTGCTTAGTTAAGGACAGAGTATGATCCTGAATACGGAAATCTCTCTGTCCGGGTTGGCTCTAGCTACAAGACTGTCTAATTCCGCCATTCACACGCCTTAAATAGGCGCTCCGAATCCCACTTCGCCGTCTCGTTTTAGAAGTGGATGCGCAAATATTGACACTCCCACGGTTCAAACTGTTAAACGATCAGAACATCGTTACAAGATAAGTTTTAACCGAAAGTAGTTTTTTACACGATGGAACACTGTTATAAAAATTATCCATAGAGTGACCAACATTTAGTTTCGAATTCATCAATTTTAGCACTACTTTTTCCGTATGATTACGTCCTCCAACTACGGGGTCACTAGCTCCACTATAAACTAATATGCGCTGAATCATCTCGGTACATTTTGCCGAAGTATACAGATTGACACCATATTTGTGTCGTTTGCTTTTGAGAAATTGACGAAAACTAAGTCTTGCTCTCCATAAAATCATAGATTCGTGCAGGGCTAATTTTCTTTTTTCATAATAAAAATTCTCCATTTTATTATTAAAAAAATCTAACAATGGAGATATCTTGGCATGTCTAGACTGGTCATTGTCACTATTATTGTTAAAATGTAAGGCACTCAAAATTTTAACAAAGTTATTTCGGCTCATATATTGTCCAAACACTGGAATACTATATAAATGAGTTTTCTTCCAATAATCATTCATACGATTAATTTTTATGGTTCCCATGTGAAACAACAAACCAAGAAAAATTTTAAATTCTTCTACAGTTATATCCTTCCAAGCTGCAATTTTACTTTTCTCAGATTTACTTTGAGAAAGAATATCAACGGCATATAAATTGCTATTTTGAATAATCATGTCATAGAATAATTCACATGCCAATAAATTGAAGTAATGAATAGGATTGCTGCCACCCACACTAATTTTCAATCTTAGTATTGCTGTAAATGGTAGCACTGTAGGGTGTTGAACCTCCGAGGACTATTCAATAATATTTTAAGACTCATCATCACCATCATCATCTTCAGATTCTTCTTGTAAATTAGGATCGTTTGTCTGATCATCTTCATCGCAACATAAATCTTCATCACTTGCGTCACTTTCGTCATCTGAATCTTCTAAAATGTATAATAATTCATCATCTGATATTGGCTGAGAAGTTTCCCACCTACTTCGTTTAGAAGTCGAAGGTTGACAATATTCATCGCTCATTTTAAAAATAATTTAAAATTGAAGTATTTAGCAAAACACTTGCAATGGCTCACAGTAAAACCAAAAGGCATCCAACACCGAAGGCTTAGAAAATATTACTGAATGCATAGCAAAATAAACCGATGAGATCGGATTATGATAATACGACAAATTATTGGAAGTGCAATATAATCTAAATACATCTGGTGATTCTTATGACTTTACAACCTTTTATTGCAGCTAATTTTGTCGTTTTCGAGCACGTCTAGCTTGAATATTTGAAAAGTAAGCAATGAAATTGAGGATTTCATATTTTATCATCCAATTTATCAATGGGGCAGAAGATATTTGTTATAATTTGTGAAAAATCCGCCGACATAACATTCATACTTTGTCATATATACTCAGAATAAAGTTTAACATTAAAATTCGAAATCCAAACACAAACTCCAGTATATGCCAGTGTTTCCAAGCGGCCAGCAGATATTTGTTGTAATACAGTTGTTGAGATAACGTTCATATATTGTCAAATAGCCAAAGACAAGCGACTCGCGTTGGTGAAGTGGCCTCTGAGGCTATATTCACTGAACGCGACAGTCACATAGTCGGACTTGAACGTGTTAAGTCAAAATCTTTTTCGGAGTCTGTATAATTTTAATTATTTTTATATATTTAAAAAAAAAATTGTAAATAAATGTACACTTTTAAAATACAAGCTTTTTACATCACATTTCAGCGCTTTTGCTAATAATATTAATTATATTAGCATTTTATAATACTTCATTCAACACAGTCTAAGTATCTGAAGGCCATTTTGGTCGTTGGCAATAGAACGAATACGTGCTGAGACTTTATGTTTATGTTGCTTATTTAAAGAAACAAATGAACTTCTTAAGTGAAAGAAGGTATTCGAAGGTAAGGTATAAAAATCATAAAACGAATAGTTCAAAACTATACAGGGTGTCCCATAATTAATTGGACATTAGCTAATGGGTGATAGCTGACATAAAAAAAGCGTTTGAGCTCAAATTGCTTAGGCAAAATTTTGCTAGTTTTCGTTCTACAGGATTAATATTTTCTTATATTATTTTTAGGGATATATTGCACACATAACACAATGCAGATGATTGAAACAATTATTTTTATTAAACCTTTTATACAGTAACAAATTAAAAAAAACAATCTGAAATTAAATTAATCAATGAAGTGAATATCAAAGAATTGACAAAGTCAATAATTCAAAACGAAACGAAAAAAAATTACAATAAGTGTTCAAAATATTCACTATTAGATAAACTACATAATCTAAATCGTTTGTGTAAGTTTTAACTCCCTCTACAATATTTTGTCATAACTCTTGGCGATTATTTTTTTTTATAAACAAGTGACTTTATGTAACCCCACAAGTGAAAGTCTAGGGGATTTAGTTCGGGACTGCGTGCTGGCCATGGGTATACACTACATCTACCAATCCACCTTTTGGGATAAATTTCATCTAGGTAATTTCTAACTTCTAGGCTATAATGTGGTAGTGCACCATCATGAAAGTACCAAGAGTTACGTCTGAAATATAGAAGTATGTCTTCTAAAAGCGTTGGCAAATCTTCTCTCAAAAAATTTAGATAAGTTACTACGTCAAGCCCAGTTGGTAATTCGAATGGTCATACAATCCCCAAATATGCCACACCATATATTTATGGAAAACTGTTGAAAAAGATGTTCTTGAAATGCATGAAATTTTCTGTCGCATAGGTATGGCTATTGCGCCAGTTAATTAAACACACCTCTTCTAGTAAATGTGGCTTCATCGGTAAATAAAATTTTATTATAAAACATTGGATCATCTAAATGCCGCGCTATCATAAACTGACTAAATCGGAGCCTTGCTGGCAAATCCTGTGGTAGAAGATTGTACTGGAGTAAAACGATACGGATACAGATTTTCTGTCCGTATTATTCTTGACACCGTATATTTGCTTATACCAGTGGCCGCAGAAACAAACCTTGTACTGGTTTCTGGATCTTCTGCAACACACACAACAATTTCATCCTCCATATTGTAATAATTCGCGGGATCCCTACTGTCACTATTCTAATAAATGCCGCTGTCCGCATTGTAAAAAGACGCTTGTCTCAAATCCTTGGATGCGTCTAAAATTCTTAGGGGATACTTATCCCTGCGAGCGGAGGCAAGGCTTACTGTTCCCACTAGTCTGAACTGGCTGGTTTCGCCTTCGCGGGTTCAGGAGGGTAGGGAGATCTGGAAAAGGGGGTTAAGGACTTCTAGGTCTCAGGTCCTGTAAAAGGTTGAGTCTATGGGCTTACTATAGAAGCCGGAGAAATGCATAAGCGGAAATTGTGTACTATTCTAGTCTCTGCCTGTAACGGCCGGGAAGGGACAATAAAACCAAATTTCGAGTCTACAATGTATTAAATAGGCTGTATACTATAATTAAGATAACGAGTTGTCAGTTATAACCAATAATGATTCGTTCAGGCCCGAAGGGAGACGAGAAGAGACCTTAGCAAGAAATTAAAGGGTGGACAATCTACGTTTTTATATATTCCTTGGGTTAGTATATAGATTTAGTTACCTTCGCGTATTTAGGCCCTAGCTTATAAATACGCCCTTCAGTCCTACTGGAATTCAGGATCAGGATCATACTTATACGGTACTATCCCCGTCGAATTACAATATGGGCTGCGTAATGCCTGATCGCCCGTGCTTCTGGCGTGGAGCACTCTCGGCTGCCCCGCTCTTACCGACTCCGGCGTTTACTGGACGCTACCGCCTCCGAGCACTCACGGGTGCCGGCAACTACTGCCGCCGAGCACTCTCTGGCTTCGGTCGCCCGAATGCTACCGGTGCCTAGCGCTTACTGCCTTCCCTGGCCCATTTCGTTCGTTTTTTATGAAACCGGATCAGGCGGCGGTGTTACATATCAACAAAGGTCTACGTTTTAAACGTGATTTTTTTTCTTTTAAACAATTTTGGCGACCTGATATTGAGATCGTGTAATACACTTAAACTAGGTCGAGTTATTTGTTCCTTATTCAATTTGGAATATATAATAATTATTCAAACAATTATTACTCTTATCTAGGCTACTACCCCTTATTTTTTTTTCTTTATTTTCTTGCTATGTTTACAATTACATTATCCGCATTAATTACTCTCGGTCTTCCAGCATTCCTGTTTTTTGGGATGAAATGATCCTGGTTCGGCCAATCTGTCGAACAATGATCTAATAGTTTTATGGTTTGGTTGCCTTCTATTGAGATAAAGTTCGAAATAGCGTTAAGCTGCTTTCAGAGAACAAAAATTTTCCTGGGCATTCAAACGGATCATATCGCGCATTCCTACATTAAAATATTCAATATGACGTACAATTTTACCTTTATCTTAAGTGGTTTATAAAAAACTTAATAGCACTTTGACAAATATTGACACTTTGACAACAAATAGTAAACACATTCGTACTCACGTATGGACTTTGCCATTAGTTCACAGTATACCTAGGTACCCGGTTTTTTTGCGAAAAATTAAATACAAACATGGGTATCATTAACAAAATAGGTTTATTTCGGAAGCGGTGTACTTTTTTGATTTGAAACAAGAATACCTTTTTTGTGTAGAATTGAATATTTCATGTTTTTTCCTAGAACGTTTATACAGAGTGGACAAAAAATTATGGCCGCTTTAATGAACCAATGTTATAGTAGGTGGCGCCACCTACTGTCAATGGTAAACCTAATATTACACATACTAAATAATAGCAACTTTCACTTAAATCGGTTGAATAGTTTTCAATATATCCCTAAAAATAATATAAAAAAATATTAATGAATCACCCTGTAGAACGAAAACTAACAACATTTTGCCTAAGCAATTTGAGCACAAACGTTTTATTTTGATGTCAGCTATCACCCATTAGCTAATGTCCAATTAATTATTGGACACCCTGTATAATATTAATTTACTTGAAATTAAGCTAGTTTTTTAGTGACCGAAAAACACACATGAAGTTTTGCTGTAAATATAAATTGGTTCATACTGGGGGATATACTTAAAGTAATAATTAAGAAATTGGAGGCTTAATTAAATTTTACTTTTATACAAATTTAAAACTTTTGAAAGCGTTATCCATGCTAAAAATGTATAATTTGTTAATTAAAATAAAACTAACTATTAATAACACTGGTAGACACACAGTTTGCTGCCGGAAATTGTTTACTGTTTCTAGGTAATTTGTGTCTGTTGAATCCAAAAATATGAGCAAATCCAGATTTGCTCCATCAGATCGTTTTTAGAAAATACGACAACAGATCGCATTTATCACATATATAGGGTAATATAACGCAGCACTTCTTCTTCTTGATGTGCCTATCCGTTAAAATTGTTGGCGATCATCATGGCAATCTTTATTTTATCTGCAGTAGCGCGGAAAAGCTGCACAGATGTTGTATTGAACCAGATTCTGAGGTTTTTTAACCAAGATGTTCTTCTTTCTGGACGTCGTTTTCCAAATATTTTTCGTTGCAGGATGACTTAAAGGAGAGCATATCTGGATTCATTTCGCATAATATGTCCGAAGAATTGCAACTTTCGAGATGTGATGGTGGTCAGTACCTCTCGGTTCATATTCATTCTTCTGAGGACCTCCTCATTTGTGACTAGGTCAGTCCACGGGATCTTTAGTATTCTCCGATATAGCCACATCTCAAATGCTTCCAGTTTTCTGCACATATCTTCGTTTAAGGTCCACGATTCAACGCCATAAAAAAGGACAGAGAAGACGTAGCATCGCAGCATTTTTACTTTTGTATCAATAGAGGTTGTGACTCTTAAAGAAAGCCCCCATTCGCCTTGTCTCCTTTCTTGTGTATTAAAATTGTTACTGCATTGTTCCATGTTTCCGGTGCTTTGTTGTTTTTCATCTTTTTCAGTGCGTCTCGGATTTCGCTTAGTGTGATCTCTGGCATGAGCTCTGAACCCTGGTTGATAATTTTGCGTATGCAGCGGCTTCCAAGTTCGTTTGGTCTTCTCTTTGACTTGTGTATAGTTCTTGATAGAAGTCTTCAACTATGTGTAGTAATTCTTCTCTATTTGATATGGGGACTCCTTCTTTGTTCTTTAGTTTGTGTATTTGACATTTTCCATTGTTTAGCCGTTTTCTCAGGACTTTCAGACTTTTATTCTCTTCTATAATTCGGTGGACCTTTTTGTTTTTAAATCTTTCCTTGTAGCTTTTGATACTTCTTTATTTATTTTTCGTAGTTTTTCTTCGTCAATGCTTTTGTTTACTTTGATTTCTGTTCTAGTTTCCATTGCTTGCTTTGTTTCAATGGTTTTTTGTGTTGGCGTCTTTTAGGACAGTAAAATATTCTCTTAAATAGAAATGCCTAAAAAATATAAAGCTACCTACAATCTGGACAACTGAGTGAGTAGGACACTGCTTCTGTGTATGATTAATGTACCTATTCAAATGGTCTATCCTTTTTCTTTAATATTCTCTATTTACTGTCTTTAGAAAATATACAAAACCCTGTGGAATCTTATGTTTCAGTACTAATGAAACTATTACAATGTAACCTGTATCTAACGGTTTGTGATTATGTGAAACTAAAATATATTATGTCTGAAAGTAACATCTTGATTAACACCCACAAATGGCAGCTTTAAAATTAGATCTGACAGTGGGGGGTAAAGAAAAATTATATGTATAATTAATTAATATGTGCAATACGATGATTAAATCCTTTGTGACTTTATATAACTTTATCTCCAAACATGGAAAAATCTTAAATTGTTCATTCGTATTATATATACTTAACCCAGATAACTCCACAAACGCTAATATGATTAGGAATATTTTCAATGTGTTGTTTGAAAAAGTAATATCTAGTAAAATCTAATGAAACGTTCAAAAATGAATTAAGCTCATTTTTTGTATTTTTTGTGATAAATCGCAACAACTGTGTAATTTGATTTTTACTAGTGAACAAACACGCTGTATAAATACATTAAGGTTAAAGTGTATAATGATCTTATTAGGTTTATTTATCATTAAAGAATTTTTTAACTCGACTTTTTAAAATTATACAATATTTCAACTAGCTTCATGTATTTATATTTAAGTAAATAAAATTATTTATTTGTTAAACTGTGTTTTGATTGTAATCATGCATTTGTACCGCTCCCTAAATCCAACAACGCTAAAAAATGTAACGACTTTCGAATGATAAGTCTCATGTCCCATATGTTAACGTTATTGCTGAAAATAATTTATGATAGAATTTAAGAAAATTGATGAAGATGAAGATATAGTGGGACGATTCGAAGAAGACGAAATTAGAAACGACAATGGAAGTCGGCTAATCGAAATATGTCGAGAATATGATTTAGCCATAACCAAAACAAGATTCCAGCATAAAAACATACATAGATACACATGGGAAGAACCTAGTAGAAACCAAAGATCAATTATTGATTTAATAATAGTAAGAAAAGCCAGCAAAACAATAATACAAGATGTAAGAGTATATAGACAAGCAACATGTGCAAGTAACCACCGATTAGTGCTAGGAAAATTCATATACACGGGAAGACGACAAAGATAATATCCAGAAAGATGAGGAGATGCAAAAAATCGCAAATACGAGGTATAAAGTAGAACTACTACAACAATTTAGTACTCGAACACTATATCAGAATAGGCTACAGATGAACGAAAAATGGACCCCAACCGAATATCTATCAACACCTAAAGGAAAAAATAAAGCGGCAAACGACGTGCTGGGTATTGAACAACATAAGAATACATATTTGTAGAAATACAGTGACAACTTAGAAGAGGTGATTAAAAGAAAAAAGTGCATTTCATAAATGGCTAAACGACAGAACCCCAGGAACACGGGGAGATTATGTTACCCTAAGACAAGAAGTTAAACAAAGAAAGCTCGAGAAAAATGAATACTGGGAGAGACATGGACAACACGATAGGGTATAACAGATCAACGGAAGCATGGAAAAAAGTAATAAACGAAGTAAAAATACCATACAGATAATTACATCAAAAGAGTGGACAAAGCATTACACAAAATTATTGCAGGAGAATAGGCCGGAGTATATCTCATACGACCCTGTGAGAATAATAACTGAGGAAGATATAAATAAAACACTAAAGAAATCCAAAAACAATAAAGGACCAGGGAACATAAAAATGGAACTGCTGAAATATGGAGGCGCAAAGATAGTATCCTTTATACGAATGTTGTTCAATAAAATCGAAGCAGGAGAGAAGATTCCCGATGAGTGAAATTTATTGAAACTTTTATTTTTTGAAAAATTTATATCAAGAGGTAATGCCTTCAATAGCAAGAATATTTTCATCAGTTATAAAAGAAAAACTAGAACAACACATGGATCATTACAGCGAAGAACAAGCCGGAAAGCCAGATCATGTTTAGATAATATATTCATTATGAGACAGGTGATTGAAAAGAACAAAGAAAAAAAACATTGAAACACATATGACCTTTATCGACTTAGAGAAAGCATACGATAGCGTGCCAAGGAAAAAACTATGGGAAGCAATGAGAAGAATGCGCGTTAGAGAGAAATGGGTGAATATAACACAGACTGTATAAAGAAACACAAGTGCAAATAAAGTTAGGTAATGAAATAACAAAAACAATCACCGCAACAAAAGGCCTCAAACAGGGATGTGGTCCCTCACCTACACTTTTTAACATTATATATATATATATATATATATATATATATATATATATATATATATATATATATATATATATATATATATATATATATATATATATATAAAATTAATGTTTCTTGGGTTTAGGTTCAATAAAGATATGTTACATGTGGAACTAGATTTTATTTTCCATTGCAATCAATCAACGTTTCGGCAGGAAACCCTTGCCTTTGTCAAGATTCTAAAATGTGTATATATATAAGGACAAAAAGTGGCCCACAAAGGCAACAACCTCTTAAATAAATACTTCACAAAACTAAAAACACAAACTCCAAAACTTAAAAAATCACATGTTGTTTACGAGATACCATGTACAAACTGTGAAGGTGTCTATATCGGTCAAACCAGTCAACTGCTTCAATCCAGAATTCGTTCTCACAAATACGACAAGAATAACGTCACTGCGCTCACAAAACATGAAAGCTGGAAGAAGCATAAATTTGACTTTGAAAACATGAAAATTTTAAAAACAGAAAAAAACAAAAAGAAGAGGGAGATATACGAATCAATAGAAATAAAAAGAAACACAACGCAATAAATGACAAAAAAGATACACAAAACCTAAATAAAATATATTTCAATCTGATTTAAACAATAATATAACATCATAAAAAGCTCTTAGATCAGGCTTTGAAAATATGGTATAGAAAATGCGGAACAATGGACATACCAGTACAAGAGAATATATTACATTCACTACTTTTCGCAGATAATCAAGTTATTTTTCCACAAGTCAGGGAGGGTATGGAAAATATGATAAGGAAATTACAGGAAGAATATACACTTTGGGGACTCAAGATAAATATGTGCAAGACAGAATACTTATGTATTGGACCCGAGGTTGCAGATTTAAACTTAAGTTTAGAAGAAGAGACTTTTTAGTATTTAGGGTCAATGATTAGCCGAGATGGTACTTGTATGAAAGATATAGAAATGAAAATAGCACGGGGAAAACAAGCCACAAGAGCACTTCATGGAGTGATATGGAACAACACTCTAACCGAAGAAAACAAAAAGAGGATCTTTCAAAGCATAGTGATGAATACTACCCTATATGGAGCGGAAGTATGGCCAATGACAACAACAATACGAAATAAAATAAGAACAGTTGAACTGGACTTTATGAGAAGATGTCTACAAATCACAAGAGCGGATAGAATAAGAACGGAGGAAATATGGAACAGAATTGAAGTAGAATGCTCAATTACAAAACAGTTGGAAAACAGCCCTGCAGTGGTACGGGCATTTACAAAGAATGCCACCACATAGGTGGCCGAAAAGAATATTAAACTGGAACCCGCCGAGAGGAAGACCTGCTACAAGATGGAAAACATACGTCGGAAATGCTATGATAGAGACCTCAGAGAAGGTGACTGGGAGAATAGAGTGCTGTGAAAACGGCGAACTCATAATGGGAAAAGCCGAAAAAGAAGAATTTAAGAAAAAGTGTGAAGAGGATATCGTCATCAGTGGTATTACAGCTCGTTATGAGTCAAAGACTTCTTGGTGTTTTATATATGGCAACTTTAATTTTTCTGGGTAGTTTTGGTGCCATCTGTTTCCTCAAGCCATAATAGCACTTATTAGCAACTACTATTCTTCTTTTAATTTCTTCGCTGACATTGTTGTCTTTGGTCAGCAGCGAGCCAAGGTAGACGAAGGTGTCCACACCTTCCAGTTCCAGATCATAAATTAATAGTCTAGATATCTGGTTGCCTGATCTAGTACAATACATATACTTGGTTTTCTGTGCGTTTATTTTTAATCCCATTCTCAGTGCAGGCGCCCTTAATGATCAGAAATTCTGTGGACCTAGCAATAATGTCTATGTCATCTGCATATCTGATCACTTGTACAGATTTATTAAAGATTGTGCCATTCGTATTAATATGACATTCTCGAATTACTTTTTCTAGTGCAAGGTTAAATAAGAGACACTACAGTCCATCTCCCTGTCGCAGTCCATTTTTACAATGGAAGGGTCGTGGAAAGTGGTTTTGGATTCTGACTACACTCTCTACGCCTGTGAGTGTAAGTTCCGTTAGTTGAACAAGATGAAGCGACATTTGAAATTCCATCATAGCCTGTAGAAGTTTTGTCTGTTGACTGAGTATGCGGCTTTGAAATCCACGAATATGTGGTGGGTGTCGACTCCGAACTCAAGCGTTTTCTCAAGAATCTCCTGACTGTGAAGATTTAGTCCGCTGTTGATTTATTAGGTCGAAAACCGCACTGGTAGTTCCCAACTATTTGTTCAGCATAGGGAATCAATCGTCTGTACAATACGTTGGACAATACTTTATATGCCACGTTACGTAGGATGATGCCTCTATAATTATCACACTCCATCATATCTCCCTTTTTGTGAAGAGGGCGCATTACACCTAATTTCCAGACTGCAGTAGTTTCCTTCCGTTGCCAGATTTCG